TTCTAATAACATGCTCCAATGATTACTGATACTTTCAACTATTGAATGTCCATCAAAAAGAGAAAGAACAATTGACTATACGAATGAAAAAGAAAAAATGGAATTTCTCTTTATCTGGACTCCGAAGTATTCCCTCCATTTCAGTCCCGACTATATTTAATTTTAGGTCTGACACGCCTGTTCAATGACTCCATGATCTCTCCTTCCATACTGCTCGCAAAGTATATCCAATTCGTGGCGATACGAGGGTAGTAGGCTTATCAGGGTCATCGGGAATGAATTCGAAAAAGGACATGCTGAAGATAGAAGAGATAAACGTAGCTGGGAGAAAAACCGCACGTAATAGGGAGAGTGTTTTCATTGAGGTGCTGTCTCTTCTAGCACTATGTGCTAGACGTCGCTGTTCACCTGCCATTTGCAGGTTGAGTTTAGACTTCCTCTGGGACATATAGTTGTAAACCTATAATCGAGGTCCAAGGGTTAGTATTAGAAATGTTTGAACATTTAACATAGCGAGTATAATGTACTGTTGCCCGATAAATGTCTAGCCATTCCAGTGTGTCATTAGAAAAATGCTCGATCCTCGTTAGCTGGACCCTGTACAGTTCCAGTCCTGAGTGCAAGCTGTGATGTAGTTTCTCTATCTCGCTACTTTCATCCCCGTATCCCTCATATCGATCCCTAGTACTAGCCACTGACAAAAATCGATCCATAGCAGTGCATAGTACCTTAATAACTTCCTTATATGCTTGTGGAAGTTTCTAAATAATCATATTACGAGCCTCGATAATATCACCGTCGATGAGTTCAAGGTTGAGCGTGCCTCGATCGCTGTAGCGAAAGTAGATATCTTCAAGGTGCTCTGGTATTTGCTCCCTGCCTAGTGAAACGGCGAACTGTATATGACGCAGCCACTCACGAACATCTCGCTGCTTTTCATCGCTACGTTGGATTTCATGGCCAAAAATGATGATCGGTAACAGTAGGGGATGCGGGATTTGGGAGGGTGTTGCTATACAGGCTCTCAAGAGTTCAAGGCTCGCGGTGCCTATATGGGAGATTGCTAGGGATTTGAAATATGCCGTTGTGATACCATTACGGAACGAGTGTGCAAGGGTAAGCTCCCAATCACGCTGTTTAATTACTGAGCAATGGAAGTTATAAAAGACAAATCTAATACGGTCAACCGAGGTATCATTTTACAGTTTTGCCTTAGAGTAAAACTGATGAGTAAGCAAATGAAACTCAAGTCGTTATGTAAAGCTAGAGAAGTATACCTTTTTCTTAGCACCGGTCTTCGGAAGATTGCCTCTATTTCCATTTCAATTAGGGCACTGCAGCTCAAAGTCTAAAGTCCGTTATGATATAGAGGAACAACACCTATGCAGGTATGGCCCGTCCGGGCTATGGTTGTATGCTGACCAGAAAAGAGGCCCAACAGAGCCGGTAGCTCAAGAGTCTTCAAAGGCAGTGCCAAAGTCCTCAGCATTTCCTCGTATAATTCTGGTCTTAAGATATATGTCGAGGAGCATATGTTTCGGCTTTTTCGGAATCTTTCTGCAGACCAGCAAGATGTAGCATGTTAGAAAACATCGACAATATATGTCTCGAAGATCGAAGGGTACGAAGTTTATATTGTCGCCAGCACAATCATAATAGTTAATAATCTAGTTACCACGATATATTCAACTGTAACTCTAACAAGCATCACACTTAGGCTAATGGAAGAACAAAGAAGAACTTAACTGCCCAAGCTTACATCATGCGTAGTCCACCAAGCAATCTAGCTTTCGATGGTACTGTCGGTGGTGCAAGGGTACCACGACGGTAAAGAAAGTTGGTAAATTCATCGTTCAATCCATCTGAGCTGAACTGATGCTCATGAATAACATTGAAAGTGGAATCCTAATGTATTATCGCCCGTAGATATCGTTAGCAGAGTATGATTTATGATATAAATTTCTGCGGGCTAGCCGCATTCGGTCATTTAACAAGTTGGTTCTATTATTGGCAAGTACTTTTGGCGTTTGGAATCGAGATTTTGATCACTGGGGACTAGTGGGGTTGCCTACCGAGTAGATGAGTATTTCAAGACAGTTAGTCGGTTCTTCTTCAAATGTGCATCGGTCTAAATACGTCCGAAAGACATGCTCATCCATAGTAGCAGCTATGTCCCAACTCTAAGGGCTCAAGGATTCAATCCATTATGCAAAGGGGGTCAAAACAGAAAGGCAGCCTGCTAGTGACTCTCATAATGAGGAGTCATAGAAAACTTAAAGTTAGCGCAAGAAACCCCGTTTTATATTTTAAGATGTTAGGCAACCTGTAACAGGCGTGGCCTGCCTAATGAGGCTAACAGTAGATTACTGCTTCGCCACCACACTTATGCAATTCTCTGTAATACAGCAGTGGTGCAGCCCTGCCGTTATCCATTAGCTTGAGACATTTATGCAGGCTACAATCCTTTATTTTAATATAACAGTACCATATCTACTCATTCAAGCTAGACACAAGTCAGCACTACAAAGGCTAGTTACTGGCCATCAGAAGAATAGTTACCGGCAGATCTGCAATCTTCTCTAGCCAAGATCTCCGCGCTGACCTCGCTTACGAACTGAGGGCTGAAAGCACTAGGCGACTGGGCAATCAGTGGTTTGGTAGTGGCTTGTGCTACCTTACTCCTATCTAGGGCGCTCGCCCGACCTAATTCCAGTGCGAATGAGTAAATCTCAAGCAAGTAACTACCCTAATGACTGGACTTTTGTAAGGTGAGGTGAGTGCAGTTTCTGCCGCTGATTGGTGCAGATAATAAGCTGCGGTTTTTTCAAGGCTGAGCAAAATGTCGATTCTCTGGGCTGTGGTATATTGTTTTCTAGCCAATGTTTAACTAACAGGACTTGAGCACAGTGTATCTGTCTTAATTCATATTAGCGGTATAAAAATTCTCCGACCGTCGGGGATGGGCCAGTGGCGGATTACCCCTTACACAGAGTACAGCACAGAATGTCTTTTACCCGCTTCTGTAATATGATATATCAAGTACTATAGCAGACTTTTTTCAAACTGGACTTTATGGTGAACAGAGAGAACCTTGCATTTCGCTGCAACTCTGACAAGTCAACGAAGGGTCACCGAGGAAACCCCATGTGGTAAAGATTCCGCTGATTGCTGCCGATATGGCAACTTTTTATATCAGAAGAATATAGAGTTGCTGCCCACTTCACCCCGACTGCTGCGTCTTGTGAGAGGGAATTTGTTACCACTATCTATCACATTCAACAGTCCAGCCTTTTGCATTGCCAACTCGAGAGAATGCTAAGGCGTTCTCCAGGGTTCCGTTCACTCGCACTGTGAATCTTTGAGATGCATCTGATTATCACGAAACCGTTTGGAGCTACAAAACCTATGATTGCCTATTGATAGTCTCTCCAGTCTACAGCATCCGTGCCGTCCCGTGGGAGTTTCAGTAGCTTATCAGCCCAATCGACGGTTGGAGACCCAATGCAAATTCGGCGCTGCACAGTTTACTCTAGCTCTGTGCATGTTGATATGTATGGTTTCCATCTGTTTCCCCAAAAAATCAACGACCCGGCCAACCCGGAGAATAGAAAGCATCATCAAGCACAATAACAGTCATAAAGATATTGCGACTGCAGGCAGAAAGTGCGCACTAACGTGTATGTGGGATGCTATCTACCATCCGGATTGGTCGTCGGACGTCCCGACAGAGTGGGGAGTCATGGTCGCTGCTGACTGCATCAACGCGGCCCCACGGGTCAGCTTTCCAATCCCAACAACTTTGTTGGATTCAAGCTATTAGGAGCTAACGTTCTTGGGTCTGAGTTCAGCTCCTATAGGTTACAGCTGTGGCTCCTATTCAGCGCGGAAACAGCTGGGTAGCCACACTTCTTGGCAATTGAGACACGAAAGCAGCATGCTGGCGGCGACCAATTCGTTGCTCGTAAAAAGATCTCTGTTGTCGAGTCGGTGATACCGTAATAAAGGTTCAGCCGCAATGTTGTCCTTGGATGGCTGTGACACGTCAGGGAGAACCTTAGGATTCGCGGACCGCCGGACTCAAACATTAGCTACTGGAATACCATCATTATACCCAAGACTTTAGTGTCAGGCGTGAGTAAGGCTAATGCAGTTGGATGAGCATAAGGCAAACATTGGCGTAACTCAATTACCCCCAGGATTGACAGAGTTCGACAATCAATGAACTTATTTCTTTCCATCTCATCAACCTTCATATCTCCATCTAAGTTGTTTCTTTCCGTCTCATCAACCGTCATATCTCCTTTAGGTCAAAAGAGACTTGCCACCGCTGGAAAGCCAACTCCTCTTCCTGCCCAATCCGAGCCAGTCAGAGCGTCTAAACTCCGTATTAGTTAGTTCATCACTAGGGACAGATCTATCAGACAGTTTCGGGGTTCCTGAAAACGTCGAAACAGCCATGCCTATGTTGAGTGGCATAGGCTATAATGTCGAAAAGGAGATCATGTCTCACAGTGATCCAATGGAAAGCTCAATACTGGCAACGGCATTCAGCACGTGGCGTGCAGAAGAGATCTGGTGTTGATCATGAAGAGCCAGAAACGATGTTTCTATGACACGCGGCTGTGGGTGTTGATGTACTTCCTGCCCGAAAGTTGCCGGTTGTCCGCCCAAAAAGACTACCCCCTGGTGTGGATGAGGTCAAGCGACCTATCCCCACTTCCGACCTTTCAAGTCCTTCCAATCTGTGCCAAAACAACAGAATGCCCCTGCACACTAAGCCCCGCTGATATCTCAGTACCAGCTATGACTGGTCAGGAACAGTCGGAGGCAAGAATAATCCAAGCGCATATCGCCGGCTAGGGACAGCATGAAGCTTCCGCTCATATTTACCCCCCAGATCTTCCCTTCACCCTAACGATATGACCTGGGACACACTTAAGCAGCGAGACTTCCGTATATTTGTCCTAGCTACCAAGCCTGAATCATCCTTCAAGCTCATCATGTTCGACACAATCAACACGCTCTACCCAGACTACTGTACCACAACCAAGCTCGACGAACTGAGGGCAAACGAATACTCTTACCTTGACCAGCAGGACCATATATACTTGGACTACACCGGTTCAGGCCTGGCTGCCAACTCCCAGCATCGCCATCATCAAGAACGCCTGACCAAGAACGTCTACGGCAACCCACACTCCACAAATCCTACCAGTCTGGCCGCCAGCGAGGCCATCAACCAAACCCGAGACCGTATTCTCTCCTACTTCAACGCCCCTGCGTCTGAGTACGCCGTTGTCTTTACACCCAATGCTACCGGCGCGGCCCGTCTTGTTGCTGAGGCCTATCCCTTCCGGCCCCGCTCCCGGTTCGTGCTGACGGAGGACAATCATAACTCCGTCCAGGGCATCCGTGAGTTCGCCCGGGCAGGCGGCGCCAAAACTGTTTACATTCCTCTGCAAAAGTCGGACCTCCGCATTGACGATAAAGATGTCATCGCTGCCCTAACGCCCAAGACCAGCAGGCGCAGGTTCATGACCTGGTGCTCGCAGGATCGGAGGACCACTGCCGAGCCCAACGGACTGTTCGCTTATCCGGCACAGAGCAACTTTTCTGGGGTGCAACATCCTTTGTCATGGATTGATGTCGCCCAGAAGCGTGGCTATCATGTCCTACTCGATGCCGCGGCCTACCTGCCCACTTCACAGCTGGACCTTTCCCAGGTGAAGCCCGATTATATTTTGGTCAGCTGGTATAAACTCTTTGGGTATCCCACCGGACTTGGCTGCCTCATCGCCAGGCGAGATGCCCTCGAGTACCTCCGACCACGCCGACCCTGGTTCTCTGGGGGAACCGTCCAGGTTGTGCTGGTGTCCCATCCTTGGCATCTCACGGCCTCTCGGATCGAAGAAGTGTTTGAGGATGGGACACTCAACTTCCTTTCAATCCCAGACATCCACTTTGGACTCGACTGGATCTCTCAAATCGGCATCCCTGTTATCTCTACCCGGGTACGGTGCCTGACAGGCTGGTTCCTGACCCGTTTGCTCTCCTTAAGACACAGCAACGGCATGCCCATGGCGCGAGTCTACGGACCCACGGACATGACAATGCGTGGAGGGACAGTAGCCTTCAACCTGATCGATATATCTGGCCGTTTGGTGGATGAACGGCTTGTGGAGATGGAGGCGACGGTAGCGAAGATATCCCTTCGCACAGGGTGCTTCTGTAATCCGGGAGTTGGCGAAAAGATCACCGAGGGCGACTTCAAGCATGGCCTGAATAAGATTTCCAGCAAACGGCGTTCTTGGAGTTCAGAAGAGATGAAGAAGTTAACTGGTGCAACCACACTTGGGGCGGCCAGGGTCTCGTTCGGCTTGGCCTCCAATGTGGATGATGTTAACAAGTTCATTTCCTTTCTCGAAAAAGTTTTCAAGGACCGGGAAACCAGCGGTATTGAGCTTGAGCCCAGAAACAGATGTTGACGAGATCTTTTTGTCTCACTATGATTCAGATAATCCGAGGAGGAAATGCGGCCCGGCAAAGTTATGGTTAATCCACTGGTGTTGTTACCTAATGCTCACAAAACAATGGTCTCCTACACAACGCAGGGCATGGCCGTTTTGTTACCAAGATACCAGGATGAATCGGACAGATTGTATCCCCTACTTGTCTTATTGTCGTCACTCATTTTTTCCCCACTTTATCATTCGTTCATGATAACAGCGATCTTCTCTTTGTCTACCATTGGCTGTATGTTTGCTGCTATTTCATGTATGTATCTGATTGCGGTGCTGGCACCTCGCTAACAAGCAAACTGTGTCAGATTGTGTAGATTACACAGGGCGGGGACCTCAGAGAACGGAAGAGAAAGGGATGTGCTCGCAATAAAAAGTTGTAAATTTTAACGTAATCTGAAACTATCTAATACACGAGGAAAGAAGAAAAGGTACAGATCTCCGAGTTTACGCAGAGCCGTCAATTTTGATAGTGAACTCGCCGTCCAGAGCTTGGTTGACCTGGACCTCAGTTTGCTCAACCTCGCTGTCATCCCTTTTCCGACTGGCACCAATCACGACAACCTTGGCGATCTTGGCCTTGGTCTTGTAGCCAAAGGTACCCTTGGCGGTCAGAATACCATTCTTGTACTTGAAAGTGACGTCCGTGATCCCCTGCTGGTTCAAGCTGATGCCATCATCAAGATACAGCCGGCCCTCCGCAGTGCCATCAGCGCCCAGGGGCACCAGCAGCTCGAAGTCTTGCTCGCGCAGCTCGGCCACAGTCATGGCAGACTTGACGCGAGCCGGCACGATGACACCGCCACGCAGGAAGAGCGGGATGTCGGTCAAGGTCTGGTTGTCAACACGGATCGTACGACCGTGGCCGCGGATACGCTTGTGCGTGTACCAGTCGTAGAAGATGTCATTGGGCAGATAGACATCGACACTGCTAGAATCCTCCTCCGTAACAGGGGCGACGAGAAGACCCGGGCCGTAGAAGTACTGGAGCTCGAGACCGAAGGTCTTGACGTCGTTCGGGTAGAGGAAGAACATAGGGTAGAGGATGGGCGTGCCGTCGAGAGTCTGGCGGTAGAAAGCGGTGTAAATGTAATCCAGCAGGCGGTAACGGATGTCGATAGCCTTGCGGGCGGCCTCTGCGACGATGGGCCAGCGGTAGAATTCTTGAGAGATTGCCGGCGGGTACTCGTTGTGGTTGCGGAAGAAGGGGCTGAAGGCGCCGAGCATAGCCCAGCGGGCACAGAGTTTCTCGTTCGTCGAACCGCCGAAACCACAGACGTCGGCTCCGACCATGGGTACTTGGAAGATTGAAGCGAAGTTCAGAATACCACGGATGCTCTGAAGGTAATGCTCCCAGTTTGAGAAGTTGTCGCCTAGCCACTTGCCGACTGTGGCGCCGGCGCCGGCGAAGGTCGAACGAGTGATGATGAATGGGCGCTCTCCAGGGGTACGAGCCAACAGAGCCTTGCGGGTTTGCTGAGACATCACTGAGGAAAGCGTCAGCTTGGTAATACGAAGTTTTGGTAAGAGAGAAAGGCTTACTTAAACCATAGATGTTGTGCGTATCATACATGGCCAGGCCATTCTGATGGATGAGATCGGTGTTGACGGTCTTGTTTGAGATACCGCCATGTTCGGCGTTCCACGAGTCCATATAGGCTGCCTTGTTGTGAATGGCATACTTGGGATACAAGAGATCGCGTCCTGGGAGACCCAGCCACTTTCCGTCGGCGCGAGTATGGAGAGTACGAGTAACCTCAACGGGGGTATCAATCACCTCACGCTTCTTCGGAGCCTCAGCTTCAATAGTGCTGCGCTTGCACACTGTGCCCTCAGGCTGGAACTCGCAGGGCCAGCCAGGCAAGGGCCGAGGAGCATGAGTACGAACGTCCGGAGGTGTGGGAGGGAAGCCCTCGGCCGCAGCCCACGGGTTATCGCAAGGAAAGTAGCAGGGGAAGTTCGACGGCTCATTCATATCGATCCAGATACCGGAAACATCAAGGCCGGTCTCCTTGTTGAAGAATGTGGCAATCTCGTTGTTCCAATATTGAGTGATGTTGGACGCAAACCAATCAGGGAAGACAGACACACCAGGCCAGACAACACCCAGCCACTCTGAACCGTTGTCACGCTTGAGGAAGACGTTGCTCTCAATGCCACGGTGGTAGGGAGCATAATCGGCATAAGCGACCGCTGGATCGACCATCACGATGTGATCCTGCTTATTACCATGGAGATGGTCGACAAACTTCCGCAGTAGGGTCATGGGGAAACGTTCAGGATCGTTGGAAAAGACCTGCTTCTCGTTAGCTGGAGGACCAGATATACACAAATACACAACCTCGTAACTTACGCGTCTCCGATCCATGTAGTCAATATCGATCCACATCGTCTGCAGCGGAATGCCCGCGACACTGTAGTTGTAGACTACCTCGGCCACTTCAAAAATATCGCGGTAGCCATACCGGCATTGGTGGAAGCCAAAGCCCCAGTAGGGCATCATGGCCGGAAGACCAGCGATTTGAGCATACTGGCGCGAGACCTCAACGGGCGTCGGGCCAGCAACAAAGTAGAAGTCAAAGACGCCGCCCAGAGTGTTGTACTCGAGGAATTGACCGGATCGGTCCTTGTCGATTTTGATATCCATGCCATTGGAGTTCAGGAAGAAGACACCGTGAGCACCGGTCTCACGGTGCTCGAGGTAGATCGGATGTGCGCCATACAGATTGGACTCAGTTGGGATGCCGTACGAGTCCTGGGTCCAGAGGGTGCGGATGTAGTTGGAGGTCTTGAGTCGGAATGAGTCCGAGTGCTCGCCGAGGCCGTACAGGTTCGGGTTCTCGGGGAGCTTGGTCCTTAGACGCAGATACTGCGACTGGAAGACGAGGGGTGCGGCAGATGTGTCAAAGAGAACCTCGCCAGTTTTGGCCCGCGAGACGGTGAAGGAAAATGGGTTAACCGTGTACTTGAACACCAAGGCTGACTTGCTCGCCGACGTCCCTTTGTTCTTGGGACGGGGGAAGACCGATTCAGGGACCTGATATCCACGTTCCTCGGCGTCCTGGATTTTGACATGGAGGCGGTATTCTGTTTAATGTGATTAGCAAGCTGCTGCCAGTTTACTCCGTGCGTAGCACTCACCATCTTCATACGTAACCTCCAGCTTGAGCTTGGTTATATCAGTGCCGTAGGTGTTGCAAGGAGCTCCGGCGAGCTCCAGGTCGGCAACAAGACCCGTGGAAGTGGACTTGACATTCAAGGCCTTGTAGCCAGGGCATTCGCTCAGGGGCCGCTCTGTAATATTCTGATGAAGTCCGTTCACAGCGGCGGCGACAGCTGCCAAGCAGAAACTGCTCGTCAATAGGCCGAGACCCGCAAGACGGGGACCAACCATCTTGTCCCACGCTTTTTAGTCCTGACAGACAAGAGATATACCAAAGCGGCTACTGATCGCCAACATTTCTTCTCCCGGGGGAAGGGAGACATGCCTCTTTTATGTTTGCAAATTGCAGCACGACGGAGCTGGGAATCTGAGGCCCGAATCGCGGCACGACCCGACTCTCAAGCTTATTGCACATGAGATCATCGTGCAGTCTGGCTTGTCTTTTCTTCTCAGGGCAGGTAGCGCAGTAGTACAGGTAGCATGCGCGTGCTAACAGCACTCTGAAGTCCCAAGTGTGGACCTGCCAGTCCCGTGCCAGCGTTCATATTGGGTGCAATTGTTTAGTGATGGTAATGGCCGACGTTCATGGTGGACCCCTTGGACGCATGCCTTTGCCAGAAAAATATGAGTCCGGACACCGGGATGCTGGACGGCGGCCTTCGACGGCTCTACTCCCGTTTCTTGGGTGACGTCGTTGACATGGACCCCACATATCCGAGGTGCCGAATGGTAAGACAAAAGGGCCGTTTAAAAGCTTGCTCTGCAGCGGGCCGATCATGGTGCATCTTTGCGTCTTGTCTCTCGCGTTTTTCGTGTCAGCATACACTAGTGATGCTATCCAAGGTCCGACATCCTCTTCAAGTGCGCCCCTTTCACGTCATACAGGCTTACAGCTCGGCCCTGATTTTGCCCGCTAGTGCGGTAACTCGGCCAGTAACAAGGCCAACGACAACTCACCTGCAGACTCGTCAAGTCCTTCATTCTTTCATTTCTTCATACCTTTTTCCATTCCTTCTTTCCATCCCTTCCATGTTTCCTTCGATTTTCATTTTCCGCTTGTATTTATCCCTATTATCTTCCCATCCTTTGTTGGTCATATTCGTAGGCTCTCATGTCTAGGCACATGCCAAGGCCCCTTGAAGCGTGCCTTGCTGTAGAAACGAGACGCATATCCGTACCGTCCTAACAAGCAAGCTACAGTTGCGTCGTCAATGTTTGGCTTCGAGCTCTTGGCTTCTAGAAGACCTGCACAAACGAAATCAAAAGCAGTAAGAAATAAACATGTCTATGACTCTAGAACGAACGTGATTCAAGCAGTGTATATATGTAGTAATTACCTGTTCTAGCCCTAACCCTCATCTCTCGTTACCAACCTCGCCACACTCTCCTTCGGTGCCTGCATTTCTCTAAACCTTAACAAGCCAACCCCCCGACTCAGGTTGCAGAAAGGTTACACATTCAGTGGATCCCGGCCAGGCATCCGGCCACAGTCAAACAACGTACGTTACCACAGGATGCTGGATAGGGCCGATTGCGGGGAACATGCAACCACCGGGTCAGGCTGCTCGTGGGGCTGGAGTCAATAAGAATGCCGACCGGACAGTGGATGCCAAGCTGTCGGATGGATGGGGTTGGGCCGATGAGGTCGCTGGGACAAGACTAGGACTTTTCAAGACCGGGCTGTTCAATGTAAGTTCGGCTTCGGATGTCGATGGGAATGCCGAATAGTTGACCAGGCCGGCGGTTGAAGGAGGTCATTGTCCGAGGACGATGACGAGGCTTGTTGGAGATGGACGAAAGGACGAACTTCACTGCGGACCTACAGAGTAAGTTAGGACAACGAGCTGGCAATTATGCAAAACCTATACTGCTAGCATATTGCTCTTTCTCCTCATGTCCCAAACAAACCCGATATAACGGCTTGACTTACAAAAAATAACTTGCAATCCGAATCAGCCCTATGATACCAGTGAATTAAATTGATCCGCCTACCTACTCGTTGCTGCCAGTTTCCGAATAGTGACCCGACCCATATAGTTATGATCATATGAAGAAAGCTGAAAGAGTCAGACAAATCAGCCTGAAATCAGAATGGCAATGACCCCGCCCTGAATCAGTCAACTTCCATGCTCTCCGAAGCCAGAACAGGAACCTGTGGAATAGCAACAGTTATAGAAGGAGCATCGTCCTCCTCATCTTCCTTCTTCTCTACTTCATCAGCAGGCTTGCTGTCGCCATTTCCATTACTCATCGGCTCTTTGTCGTTCGCAGTCGAACCACCACTGCCACAGAGCCTATACTCGCCATCGCCAACTTGCTCAATGATACCCTCCTCCAAGGCCCATTCTGCCAAGAGCCGGTCCACACCGAGCAGCTGGGCCTCGTTCTTTTCCATGTGCCTACCAACGTGCTCCATCCATTCATCCCATGAGCCAGGACCCTCAAAGATCTTCTGGCAGCCAGGCTTGGGGCAGGATGAGCGTTGAGGTGGCTGTCTACGAATAACAAGACACGATGTCTGCATCTGCTTGACATGCTTTTCCCAGTCAGCCAGCAGCTTTGGGTCGGCCTTATTGATCGACTTCTTGATCGCGAAAGGTGCGTGCATCCGACGGAGGTGCTGAGTGAACAGGTCCTTGCGGTTGAACTCATTGCCCTTGCCGTCCCCAGTACTTTGTTTGCAGGCAGAGCACCGGTAGAACGTTAGGCAGAGATGCTGAGAAGCAATATGCCGCTTCCATTCGTTCTTGGATCCGAACGTGCTCTGGCAGCCTGCAAATGAAAAGGCACAGGGGAACGGCCGAGTATGAGCAGCCGCGACATGCTTTTTCAGAGACGATTGGTCCTTGAAGGGGGCATGACTGCAATGCGCGCACCGTGTTTCCTGCTTGGGTATTTGCTTCTGGAGTGGCCTGCGAACTTTTGTCTTGCCTGACGGCGTGCCAATCTGCGCCGCATACAGACCTCCGTCGAGACCTTCGCCCTGGGGAGGCGAGCCTGCATCGCCGACATGTTTAACGGCAATGCTATCTCCAAGCCGTGAAGCTTGATGATCAAGAGTTGCTGGCACCTCAGCTCCCAGATGTCGTACATGGCTCAAGGCCTTGAGCTGCTCAGCAGCCTCTTGCATTTCAGCCGAATCTTCAACGTCGTCCTTGGTAACAGCACCTAGAGGCTGATTGGGATTACCGCGAGCCAAGGCCGTAGACCCGGCAGCCGCCGCGGTCTGTGAAAGCTGGTTCGCGGGTTGCCCGGGGATCTCTTTCTGCAGGGAAGAAGACGGCTCGGCAAGCTTGATACCAGAACCACCCAGAGCCGAATTGACAAGCCTCTGGTATAGATGTATCATGTTATGAGAGCTGATATAGCCCAGGAAGCAGCATACTTTGTCATGCTGGACAATATTCCAGATCTGATGCGGCATGGAAATCAGAAGCATAGTGGGAGGGCCGAGGAACATACCCTCAACGGTGATTTTCGAGGCTGAAGGCGGCATGTTGTGCAGCCACTGATTGAAAAACATCATGTCTGGGCTTGCATCTCCGACAAAGGTAGTGCACACCAAGACCCTCTGCTCGTCTAAACTCAGGTCCAGCACTTCCTCTGGGCTGAGGAGTTGGTCATGCCTCCGAGCACTCTGGCCGTCTGCATCGGTGGGATGGGGAGATGGCTGAAGATGCGAGAGCTTCGGATCTAGAGGAACCAGAATGATTCCCTGGCCTTTAGCAGGGGTGAGAGTGAAGAAGGCCGGCGTCCTCTCCGGCGGAAGGCTGGGCTTGGCTGATCCATTGGCCAGACGTGCTAGAGCCTGTGCGCTCTCTTGCTGCCGTTGCTGCCGCAGCTCATCGTACAATCTCTGGACACTGAATGGCCGACCGGAGGTGCTGAGCTTTTGGAGTGTGTCCGCCAATGACGCTGTAAAGGACCGCGGCCCGAGCTCGAATGAGACTTGATCCGGGGTGTAAGCGGCAATGGCTTGTTTTGCGCCATTGCTCCCAGCCATCGGAGCATCTCGGACGGCACAGGAGTCCAGCAGAAGGAGGATCTCTGACTGGGCATCTTCGAAAAGGCACCGTACACCATCCCACTTCAACTTAGCTGCGTCCTCACGAGAGTTGCTACAAGGCAGGAGTTAGCTTGGGGAAACCTGTTTCAAAAGCCAGCTCATCACCCACCTCGCCCAGTACAGTTGGTTGTCTGGCCCAACATAGCTGTGGCCAGCGTAGTAGATGATCAAGAGGTGATCCGGACGGGCGTTCTCCAGAAATGAAGCCATCTGGACACCCAATTTGATGCTGGGATTTGGCACTGTTGGAATTGCCCACTTGCTAGTGTGATAGTGGTATCGATCGCGAAAGACGTTCTCCAACAGCAACAGATCTTGCTCGACAGACATATCCTCCTCCCATCTCAGCATCAGAACGGACACGCTCGTGTGCTTCGGTCTCAGGGTCTGCTGCTGAATATGGATAGCAGCGTCTTGGAGATGTCGCGCAAAGGCCTCGAACTCGTCGCGTTCAGGGGGTCGCGGTGCCATATCTCCATGGGGATAGTGTTGGGGAGGGATCTGAAGGCATTGTTAGCGTCAGGCTCGAGATCACGAGGAATACACGACGCGTAATGGAACACAGAGGCCAAATCAACATATCTACCTACCTGATCTTGAGAAAAGGCATGCTGGGAGGGCTGCTGCGCGGGTGGCAGTGAAGACAGGAGTGGAGGATCTGGCACCTTAGGGGCCAGCCGCCTTCGTTTCGACGAGGGCTCCATGGGGATTGTGAAGAAGCAAAGAACGTAAGCTCGCGAAGAAGGTCGAAAACAGAAGTGTAAAGCGTTATCGTGCCTGAGTTCAAGACAGGCAGTCGCAAGACACGGAAAGGTATTCTGACGATGAGTAGGTAGGTCGCAGGCGAGGGGTGTCAGCAGGCTGCAGATGGATGGTTCAGCCTTCTGTTCCGGAACCTAGCAGTTGAGACATGCAAGAATGGGGAATGGGGCAGATACAGAGGGCGAATTAACCACAATATCACCGATGAAAGGACGAAATTAGAACGAGGCGGGAGTTCTCGAGGTGAGGCAGCACGGGGTGGGAAGGTGGGCAGCGAGCAACGTGGGATAGATGGGTGAGAGAGGCAGGTAAGGCTGCGCTGCGAGCTGCAAGCACCACTCGGCTCTAGCTTAGCCTTGTGACAGGGCGATAACGGATGACAATTGGTCAGAAAGGAGGGCTTGGGTTCGTGTGTAGTGGAGCCACCGGCAGGAGGCGAGAGGGGGAAGCGGGGCTGACGATCTGCCTCGCACCACTCAAGCGCTGCCAAATGACTTCTCCGTTGATGCACAGGCTTCACCAGGTGCACCAAGTGCAGGTCTGCGCCTTAGACGGGCTCACGGCAACAGCAAATCGGCGTATCAACGCAGCATCCTCATCTCAGCGAGCAGCAAGCAGCGAGCGGCCACACCAGGCACATGAATGTCGGGCAATCTAAACAACCCATGAACCCTGACCAAGCCTGCTCCCAGCCCTTCCTCGTTTTCGCGCTGCCCAGTCTCGCGCACTGTTATCAGCAGCTATCAATTCCTGACAATCTTGAGATTTCCTGCGCATTTTCAGAGCAGCCTTCCCAACATTTGGATTATATAGGTTCTGGGCACATGGACACAAACACACTTCGCGGCTGTATCCCGTTTCCCACGTTCCCCAAGCCTCCCCGGCTCTTGTCCTGACTCTTGACCCTTGTGCCGCCCACGGCCTTCTCTTGTCCTTGACTAGAGGTGATGCAGCACCAACAACCCGTACCCGTCAGTCCCCTCTCTTCCTTTTGCCCCTCCCCGCTCCAGAATCTTGTGCCTGCTCCGTGGCGGGTAATGGGCTGGCGATGATGCGTCTTGCAAACTATGGCTATCTCGGATCAGGAAATACCCTTTGCGGAGCTTCTGCGAGAGGCCATTCGGCCACACACACTCGCTCACACACAAACGCCAGAGAAATGCCTCTTGCCCTTCTGGGGTCGTCACTGAATGGCCGAATAACGTCTCGGGTTTTCTCTGCGTTGCCCCAGTAGGCAAGCCCAATTGCCTTGACGGTAACTGTATCGTCACATCCATGCGTCTCTGCCCAACCCTCGCTGCCATCCATTTGGCCCGTGTCGCTGGCCCTCTCTAGGTTAAACCGTCTACCTTCCCCCGTGCTACTCTAGGCTGCCGACAAAGGCGACGAATCGGACCAGTGATGAGCTCATGCACGACAAGGCCAAATTCCGCCAAAACTGCAGTATCTCGGCAGCTGTATGCTCATTGGAAACGCCGACCCTCCCTGCGTCTGCCTGCGCCGTTTGATTGGCACAACTCAGCCATTCTCCATATCATGAAGCGATACGTATGCACTCCACCTAAACAGAGCTCGCGAGCTAGTCGCATGGCTGGCTGCCGGCTATGTTGCTGTCACCATCCACATTGGTGACTGTTCTAGGTCTCTCGAGTTGTCTCCTCCATTCCGATCTCTCATTCGCTCTCACATGAGTTTTGTGTCTCGGCACATGAGACACCGCGTCTTCGTCGTCAGTGTAAACTATCAACAAACAGAAGACGCCATAACCGGGTCGTTTCTTCCGCATTTCACCAGCCAAGAGCATCGGACCACTAAGCCAACTACAGCTGCCTTCATGTCTGGAGCCTAATCGCAGTCTCATGAACCAGATCGATCTTTCCTCTCTTGCGTGTTCCGCACTGCTGCATTTTCCCTCTCAACACAACCACTTCCGTTACAGAAGACTCAGTCTGATAATGTCGCAACTTCGCGTTGCACTCGGGTAACGCGGGAAGGCTTCTGCTAGTTGCTGTACACAACAACGGTTCAGGTTACAGAGGACAAGGACAGAAATCTTCCCGGGAGCTACCTTTAAGGTACGCACAGTCGTCCGCTTCTATGAGACAGAGTCCCTTAAATCCTGTGAGCGTTTCGTGGTGCAACCTGACATTATTCCTTATCAACCAGAAGATTGCCATCGTTCTCCTTAGTTGACAGGCAGGGCAATAGTCAGCCTGCGATGCCTCTTCACTAAGCCTCGGAGTCGGGACCGAGCCACATCGGTGGAGTCTCGGTATGTCCGTTCACTTGTCGGCCGCGGACCTGAGGTGACCCTCAGCTAATGCATCTGCCCCAAGATGGCAACTCTCTGCACGAGCTTAATTCTCTTATTGGTGAGCCTGCGCTGCCCCTCTTCTGACCCAACTCAACGGATCCAGTCTGGAAGTTTGCGTAGTGATTGTTTCGTGTGATGCTGTTGCCGGTTGGGGCATCCGGTCAAGTCGGCCATAGGCCCGGAGCTGGCTGAGTCCAGTGTTCTAGCAAAACAATTCTCAGTGGGTCATCTACGAATTCATCGGTTCCAATGCCGCTGCAATGTCTCTAGCCCCGGCCCATCACTCTAGTTCGGATGATGTTCAAAGCCTGAATTCCAAAGCTGGATGGAATTCCTGGGTCCTAGGGGCCTTGACGCGTCGCCCTACTCTTCCGTAGGGGACCGAATGGTTGGCTATGCTCCAATTGGAATTTCGGAAACGATCTCTTCACGCTGGCAGGGTTCAGAAGACGTTGAGGTATAAGACCCCCCAAGTCATATCTCAAGACGCACGAGGGCGCCTTGACTTAACCGATCGTGCGTATAGAGCAAATAACGTTCTTCCCCCATGGCTCGGTGTGCCCAGCTCACCGCAAAGCGCTAAACTTCCAATAACCTCCTGCTGCCTTGTTTATCAACAAAGCCCTTCAGCTCCCGGAGTTCGGTTCCTTTGCCACATTGTCTGCCCCTCTCTTGACAACCAAGCACCCCGTCGCTCCCCAGTGCCCAGGTTGATGGAAGGCCGGCAATTTGATGTGGGACGGCCCCCTGACCCGGCGTCCACCGGCTCGGGCCAGGTCCACCGCAGCGTAACGGCGCCCCACATGTTGCTGCATGAAACAGCCCTTGACGTCATGGCTGACCTCTGGGTCCGGCTCTGGATCTTACTAGCAGAAAACAAACATTTTAAGGACAGGAGTAGAGTCCGACTGGTTAGAATGCAAAGGAAAAATGTTCCGGCTTCTGGTGCTGATTATCTATTGTACGAATAAACCACATATATCAAAGTTCAATCGTCCCAAGAGCCATTTCAAGAGACACTTGAATGAACGACTGTAAGCAATCTCAGTTTTCGTAGAGAACCATAATAAACAGATACAAACTTTAGTACCTCTTAACGGCAAAACACATTAATGCAGCAGATTTTACCAGCGTCGATAGTAGCGGCGAAGGATGTAAAAACTGTCCGGACAGCAGTTGTTAGCAGATCCTGAAGAACAAACGGGTTTTGTTCGAGAGGTTATTACTTGCCCAAGAACAGAAGTAACCACCCATGATATGCCACTCAGGAAGCAAAATGCGATATTAGCCTTCCATTGGGAGCAGGTTTCGACACCAGAAAATGAGATATCATTCCAGTCAAAAGCCGATCTGCACCTCTCAGTTAGTCGCTCCGTCTTTCAAGACAGTCATGCCTCCAGATCCAGAGGTTCAAAACTCACCCACAAGTCTCCTCATACGCCTCATGCGCGCCCAAAAACATTCCAAACACGATAAACCAGTTGATGCCGACGATCAAATCAACAATCCAGGACCCAAAAATAGCCAGGCGGCGGTTCATCTGGTGGAATACAGCCATACCGATGATTAGCAGGATGGAAACGCTGCCGATGAACACTGCGTAGCCGGAGCGAAAAACCTCTGAGAAGTGGGCATGGTAGTACGGGCTGTCGAAGTAGTGCAGGTAGATGCCGTTGAGGACAACGACGATGACGGCGAAGATGAGCTGGACCACGCGCAGGGCGATGGACAGGAGTTCGTGTCTGCTTATGAATGACATTGTGATTGCATGGGGGTATCTGTGCTGAAATAGATTGAAGGTAGCTTTGCGAATATCTCTAGAGGTTATAAGGCAGGAATGACAGCAGGTAGGCGAGCAGAGGATCTATGGGTTGAAGTAGTAATACCAACCAGCGAATTGTATGAAGCAACATAAGATCAGGTTCAGAGAAGCTGAGTGACAGCACATTGGGTGTTGTCGCTGCGATGCCTTGCCAACTCAAGCATGTGGAGCGTCCTAACCGGTCATGCTGGTTGTCAAGGAACGGTATTATATGTCATACAACACGCTGTCATGGGTAACCTCATCGAAGCTTGAGACTTAGGGCTTTAGTCGGAGGATTTTAAACAACCCAAACAACTTGGCAAAGCTATTGAAAGAGTGTGAAAAGCAAAGCAGAGGACGAACCAAATGTTCACTAAAGCGAGGTGAACAACTTGTTGTTGGAAACCTGCCATCGACATAACTTACATCGGAAGTGCCATCCTAGCCGGCTATCGAGGATTTTAATGCCTCAGTAAGCTGGCACCGCGCCCTGGACGTCAAAAATACTGTTCCTCCATCCATCCCTCTGCTGCTCACGAATCCTCTGTGACACCTGTGTCGCTTCCTCTCTCCACAATTTGACAATGCTCCCAGGGGTATACACCCCCTCAAACACACCCTGTCCTGATCCAGTCAAGCCAACGCGCACGTGGAGATCAGGGTCCTCAGGAAGCGTCAACCTAGCCAGCACAGCCTTGATAAACGTCTTCAAGTCCTGCGGATCCGCAATTCGCGTGGCCCGTAACCTTTCCCGCGCGAAAAGCAGCTCCCGGTTGGCAAATTGGAAAGCCTGGGCAATTGCAGACGCCATCCTTATTTCTACCATTTTACGGACAATCGGCTTGAGGAAAGGCTTGAATAGCCAGGAGATGAATCCAAAGCTGCTCCTTGTCCTGTGTAAGGTCCAGTCTAGCTTATGGATGCGTACGCGTACTCCCCTGAGGGTCAAAATTTTATCCATCCTATCGCGACCAACCTCAACGTCCAGCTGAACATCCATACCGCGTTCGTCGAGAGCAAATGATGCGATACCTTCGTCTGCCCATCGCAAAAGACCTGAGTGTACCCGTAGCCAGAAGCCAATTTCCTCTCCACGTAGAGAGAGACCGTCGATGTGAAGTCGGACGAGAGTTTTAATTGCTGATGTTGTGCGGAACCTTGTCTTGTGGATCTCGACGTCTGTGAGGGTCTTAACTCGCAGTTTGTAGGGGAAGAATGAAGTGTTGTTGATGGTGACTCCAGGCTCCAGGATCAGGTTCTCCAGCAGGAGGTCCATCTTAGGCGTTGAGATTTCGGCTCGTGGGATAGGGATGTAGTGAATAGACTGAACAAGCAAGGGGATAAAGACGTTGAGGGCATCGGCCACAAGATCAGAGTTCACGTACTGCCCACTTGGAGACAGGATACTGGCGATAGCAGCAGAAGTCTTGGCCAGGTTGGCTATATCCTTGTCCTTCACCACTGAGGTGAGGGTGGACTGAACTTGCAAGAGCAAGGCATCAACGTCTTCCCGAAGGGAAGAGTGGGTGGTTAGTTGCTTTGATTGATCTCGGAGTTCCTGGAAGCTTTGCTCAATGCTGTCAAAGAATGCTGGATCAGTCAACATCTCTTGGAGGATATTGCCTATATGGATGGCGAGCTCTTCAAACTTGGGGTCTTCGCAGCCGTGTTCCGCGATCGCTCTAGCGCGGTTTTGCAATTCTTCCCATTCCCTTGGCTCGCCAAACGACCTTAAGAAACCCCAGAAATTTGCTAACGCTGCCTCTGCTTCAGGATTATGGTCAATATCCTCGCTAGCAGCCTCAATCGTATGGCGAGCCATCCGAGAATAGATCACGATATAACGCTTGAAAAGGAGTGACAGGGTTGACACGGAGTCAACGTAGGTAGGTCGCTGACGGAGATTCAGCACTGCTTCTTTCAGGCGGTGAACCAAGGTATCTTTTTCTGGACCGCTAAGCTTGCGGACAATGCTATTCTCTGCCTCGCCCACAACAGTGGAAGCTGTCCCGCTGAAGACCCTGCTGAGCTCAGCAGTCTGCTCTAACACGTCATGTTGAGAGAAATTACTGTGTGAGTCATGGTATGGTTGCTTCAGCGATTCTTGTTCCTCGGCGGACGGCTTGATGCGCTCTGCTGCCTCTCGTGAAGCTTCTGACACAGCAAAGGCAGTGTCTCTGAAGACCTCCCTCGCAATGACATTAAGATCCTTGAGAAATAGGCGAAAATTGGAGTTAGTAAGAAGCAAAGATGCAACCGTCTGCAGGCTAGAATAGACTATATTTCATCATTATTATTCCTGAGCACCAATATCACGCCATTGAATGCAGCGTACCGGCGGCTCTATCTGCTCCAGTCTTTGCTCTCATTGCGCGTTCAGCAAGGTGTTCGACATCCGCGGATAGCTTGGCCTTAGTCAGATACCAAATAAATTCCTGGATTTGATCGTCGGCATTCTTATGCACGAGCAGATCTATCAGGTGCTTTATACAGAGCTTGAAGCAGTGTACTAGGGCTTGGCCTGAATCACTGAGTGAGACACTGCCCGCATCTGGATTGAGAATGGCCGAGGAGAGCAGCGTGCGGAGATTGGCGACGAGTTGCTCGCTTGATGGCATGAATCCTTTGGACAGGGCGCGAACTATTTGATACGAATGCAACTTTTGGTGTACACGGCGCTGCAACGAGGTCTCGTCATCGTATTGCGGCAATAGAGGCTGATGTTCATCAGACCGCCGGCGATGGCCAGGTCCGAAACAGGAGAACATGATTGCTACAAAATGTTTTATTCAAAATGCTTCAGGCTGTATACCCGTTGGACTATCTGGCTGAGATACTGGAAAGTATTGTAGTTCATGAATATGGATTACAGTAACTATGGTGAAGGGTTTCTATACCCGGCGGCACAAGGCCCCCGATGGACTGTGTACCCACAAGCACGAACCGGCTCTCATGGCTGGTCATGGTTGTACAGTCCTCAATTGGTGACAATGACGTTGACGACTCTGACTTCAGCCTTGGCATGCGTCAGCACAGCAACAGCGGGCATCCGGTTAGTGATTTTAAATGAGCAAGACCCGCGTTGATGATCGATGGCCAATCGAAAATATAGAGAAATGAGAACAGTAGGAGTACAATAAATGAGAGCTGGAGAGATACACGGGAAACGGGAAGTTTACAAGAAAGGAAGAAGATAGCTGAAGATCAAGAAGAGGTCGCAACATCAGATCGGCCTAGCTCTTGGTGAGATCTCAATTTTGAGCTGAAGTGCTCACGCAGAACACGAATGCGACAGACTTGATTGCTAACTGGTGCATCAGTTCAACACAGCCACATATTGGTGTAGATGACGCTCCACCACCTCGGATCTTGTCGTGTGGCGTCGAATCAAATGGCTGGATCCGTTGGAAAGGTATCCTCCCAATCAACTGATGAGTTCTTGTGACCGCTGCTGGCCGCGTCTCTGGGTTTATGTCACGAAGCTTCGAACGGAGCGAAGCATGTGCGCACGGCGTCCAATGTCAACCATCAGTGCTTGACAGTCTGCTCTGGACAGCGTATAGTTTCTGTGCAGGACAGGTTTTGAAAGGTGGGCGCTCCAAACCTTGGCACTCTATTTTGTGGTTTCAGGATTTAAGACCGTCAAGACGGGATGAAAAGCAAGCCTGCGGCTTGCGAAGTTCAAACAGGATCCCGGCTGGCAAAGCAATTTAGTGGGGCCGGCCCCGCGACATCCGTGCCTGTGGACTCGACGAATGTTGACACTGCCACCGCGATCCTCTCTATTGAGGTTCCATCCGCTTGATCTTGTCCGGTACATCATCAAGCTGTATTACTCTTTCAACGGTCCAGTTTCGCTTTTGTGGCTCGGCATTCTACCTTGATTATTCTTAGGTCACACTGGCTGCGCTCTGGTAAATCGTTGGGCTGGGGATCGAGCCCGAGTCTGACCTAAGGCTCTGTGCAGTGTGCGTCACCTTTTCCCCTGCCACCCGCAACGGCCCAGGCCTCCCGGCGGCAAACGTGCAGCACCCCATCAAAGGTCGACATCACAACGCAGACTCCTGGGCTCGCTCGAGGCTGCGAATCCACAGCCGTATTCAAAATCATTCCTGGGCGCATTCTGCCATCCGCAACTGCTTCCCTCAGTCAGCCACGATTTTAACGCACCATGGATTCCCAAGGCTTGCGCCGCAGAGACACCACCAAGGGCCCTCCATTGCGTATCCTGTCGCTCGGTGAGTCAGCTGGAGAGACTCGGTTCTCACTGGTAGTAATGGGGCCAGTGCTGACTTCCTTGCAGATGGCGGTGGTGTGCGCGGCTACTCGATGTTCATCCTCCTACAGCAAATTATGCACCAGACCTTTGTCGAGATCGAGGGACGAGCGCCGCGACGGCACGAGATTCCCAAACCATGCGACCACTTCGACCTCATTGTGGGCACCGGTACCGGCGGCCTGATTGCGCTGATGCTTGGTCGTTTGCGACTCGACCTCGAGACCTGCAAAGAGCTCTACGTCCGGCTAACACGCATGGTCTTTGAGACCGACAAGACGATCGCCGGAATACCCTACCGATCTACCCTCTTCAAGGCGACGAAGTTGGAGGAAGCCATCAAAGAGGCCGTTCGCGAGCACACAGTGAACGAAACGGAAGGAAACGATGGTTCTACTATCTTTAGCCCGCTGAGTCCGGTGTCGCGTTCGAGCGCTGCACGACCGCGGAGGCATTCCAGCAATGCCAGCGTTATCAGCTTCAGCTCGCGTAGCCCACAGTCGCAAAACACAAGGCCTCCACCGTACACTTGGCGTTTGGGCGATCCAGAAGCGCGACTGTATGATGAGAGAGAATACAGGACAAAAACGTGAGTTCATCCCACTGCTGGTTAATGCGGGTTCAATTACTGATGATGACCATCAGCGCCGTTACGGCCATTTACAAAGGAACTCCAAAGGGCGGAGCTCCAGCATTATTGCGCTCCTATGATTCGAGACGTGAGCCTGCTCCGGAATTTGACTGCAAGATCTGGGAGGCTGGCCGAGCAACATGCGCTATCGGTCTTGCGTTTAAGCCAATCCAGATTGGCCAGTCCGTGTTTCACGATGACGGTGCAGGGGACTTCAATCCCTCCATGATTGCTCTGGACGAGGCTGTGGTAAATGAGTGGCCGGGCCGTGAAGTTGGCGTCTTCATCAGCCTCGGCACGGGCAAGAGACCAAGGGGCAGTGACGCGAACTCGGCGTTGTGGTATGAAGGCTTCCTGGGCGAATTTGCTGAGGCTAGGCGCAAGTTGATTGCGAAGATCGAGGGGTGCGAAAAGATCCACGAAAAGATGAAGAAAGAGCACTTGGCGCGCCGGGGCGTCAATCCAGAGAACTACTACCGGTTCAACGTCGAAGTCGGCGTGGGGGAGTTTGGCATGAACGAGTGGAACCGGCTGGCCGACATTAGCACCAACACTAAGCACTACCTCTCCAGAGATGAGGAAAACCGGATGGTGCAAAGCGCAGCGGCGAAGCTGGCCAAGATTCACTTTGCTCGATTGAGGAGAGAGCGAGCAGAGAACGCGACAGTGCCGGCGTCAGCGCCAAACGCGGTCCAGCCGTATGTTCCTGTTTCAGATATAGAAATCCCTATGATTGCTGAACTGCCCGGCGACTTTCCCACGATTGCCCCGCCTCGTCCATCTACACCACCAAGCAGGCAGTCCTTCGACTCGGGCACCGACTCGCTGCCAGTGCGCACCCACACCCCGTCGCCAAGGACTTCGGCCGAGCGACCACAGCAGTCTCCGAACTTAAGCGCGCAGCCGTTCCAACTTGCTGCGCCTCCCCCACCGTCGTCAATGCCTATGCCTGGTTCCCCGTCACAGGCACCACCCACTCGGCCTCCTAAGCAAGTTGGCCCAGGAGTGCCTGGTCTCCCATCATCCGATGACTCAGATCGCCTGGTTGTCAACGCGCCTACACCATCGCAGTATCGTCTTGCCTCGTCTGTGGAGAAGATCACCGTTGTAGGACCAGACGACTGGCCCTACTGGCCACAGGAGCCGCCAGCACAAGCTCCTCCCTTCCTGGAGCCCCCTCCACGCCCTCCCAAGACGCCGCTTCCAGAACATCAGCAGGGACCAGGCAGGAAAATGACCGCGCCAGTACCGGCGCCTGCTCCCTTGCCTCCTTACCCTCTCGATGATGACGAGCAGCCGCCGCCGATGGTGAATATGGCACGAAAACCGAGGTATACATCTCAATAATCGCCCACTGGCGTGCTGAACCTGACAGTCTTCTTTCCCCAGGTCATTACAGACCGTTTTTTACCACAGGAATAAAAAGCATCAAAGGTCTCAAAGTTGGCGTGACGGTTGGCTAGACAACCGTCTGCCTGTTTGGATGGACGGTGGCGGTGGGCATGGCTAACCATCTCTTCCCGATTCCAGTTGGTGTTTTATTTTTATCATCGTAATGATGTAATGAGTGATGTCTCCATGCTATGTTATGATGTGTCGCCATTTCTCTGGTTGATTTGGATACGGGCAGGAACAGGGGTTAGGCGTTTGGAGTTGTCGGCTGAGGGCTGGACAGGCCTTGGATGGGAATGAATGGACGATGATCGTCGAGCGTCATAGCTTGCTACGTGATCTTTTGATGGGGTTGGGTTTCGAAGTTTCGATGTGACCCATGGGTTTTAGGATACCAGATACCAAATATAGTTGGGGGAAGGCTGAGCTCCCACGATCGGCTCCTTCTCAGTTCGTGATTTTCATGATCTCGTTTTTGTTGCACTGCTAGCGAGGCTCGTGCTTCGCGTCCGCAGTGAAGGTAGTCTAAAGCTTGAGTGCCTGCCCAGAAGATAGCGGTTCATTCGTCAGGGTCCTTAGGACCAGGGAGCACGAAACAAGGCCCACCAAGCCTTCGCCGTTCAGCCCAACTGGGCACACCCACCCGACGCAAGAAGCTTCTGATCCTCCATGCCTGTTTAGCGTGCCAAGGCTGCTAGCTGAATACTGTGTGATTGGCGGGATCTTTGGAAGTGTGGGTCTGATCAGCCCTGTGACGCGATGTTGCAAAAGCAAACCCACCAGCCATCGGCTGCCACCGTCTTAACCAAAGTTTATTTTTACAGTTTATTTTGACCGACTTTGACCAGTGAGGGGGCTGCAGACCGTTCTAGCCAATCCACAGCTTGTCGGATTCTCTACACTTGTTCTCTACATTGGTTCCAACACCTTCGCGGTTTCTTTGGCTCTCTGGGATGCTGCTAAGCTTTCTGCAATCGCCATTTTGCTGATTTGACGAAAGGTCGCATCCGGCTTTGTGGGGATTTTTCGATCAGCCACTGCACTTCGTAGACAAGATCATGGGATGCATACAAGTCCTAACTGTAAGGGACTGGGCCGGCCTTTACGGAAGGCCTCAGAGAAGACCCTCCTTGTGTAGGTAACATCAACAATAGTCTTCTAACCGCAGACGTTACGGTCAGCCTCAACAAGCTCCCAGTAGCCCAGCTGAAGAAAAATTGGCGAAGCTGGTCGGACGGCAAGCTCGACAACTTCCCTTTCGATGCCGTTTATTGGCCCAACAAAGGTGGCGATACGGCATTTGACCTCGTGCCAGGGCGCTGTGGTCCCCATCCACGCCTTCTATCTTCTAAATTATCAGTGGATGCGCCTCTGCGTCTTTGTTGTCCGTTCACAGGTAGCCAGCTCCCCGGGGCCGTGGCGTCGTGCGCCGCCGCCGCCCAGCTGCTATTGGACCGTGTCCTGCCATCCACATTCTCGGGTTCCATGGTCGCGTTGCCTCTTGACTTTGTTTCAGGCAAGCCCGGGTTCAGGCCGCTCGGCTTCTTCCAGGGCTCGCACAATGTCTCTTGGCTTCCATGAGAACCAGCGAACCAAGACCAGAGCCACCGGCTACCTGCCTACCTACACACGCAAAGCGGACTGCCATCATTGCAGTCCAGACCCCAGAATCCAGGACCAGTGACCACAAGTCCCCAGAACCTGGGATCCGACGAGCTGGAAGCTTGGGGACTGTGCCACACGGGCAGCATCTTTGGTCGAATTGAGTCACGCCGCTCGGATTTCGATAGCATGTGTTCTCTTGTGATCGATTTTGGCTATGCCCTCCACGAGGCAGCAGCACCGTAGTGCGATGTGGATTGAAGTTTAAGTGTCTTGGGCGTGATGTCATTCGGTTGTTTTAAGTAGCACTTTACCGCTGCCTGTCAGCGAATTCTTTTTTTTTATCTCGGCATGTAGCGCCCCTCTCTCGCTATTGACGTCTGGATAGCTGAATCAACCTATGCATTGCTCATCCAGCGACATAGCCATTCTCTCTGGACCACTCTTTGTCCTTACCCTTCCTCTACATGCTACTAGGAAAAGTATCAGTCACAGACGACCTCCTCCCCAGGACCCTATCCGCTTCTACAGATCGCCCACCGCGGGACATGCGAGCTAGCACTGCCATAATGCAAGCTTTGATGGGCACTCTGCTTCCCCAGTGACAGAGTATTTTGCTGCTTATGGTGATGGCTGTGGATGAATTACCATAAATTCTACTTGCCGGCTTCCTGTCCCCTCCCCAACAGTGACATTCAACAACTGCTACCAACACCCCGAAAGGACACGATCGACCGACCCTCCCGAGAAGAAGGCGATCAAAGGAAAGCGCCCGCAAGCGTCGTGATCTAGTAGAGGAACATCCCTTATTGGACGCGGAGTATCATCCTCGACCATCACACCAACCAGCATCACTGGACCGCTCCTTGATTTCCTCCTCCATACCGCCTCTGTGGGGCAATTCCCCTTAGGGGACCTTTAAATCCTGAGAATTACCCAGTGACCCCAGTGCCACCCTGAGCCACCAAGGCCCGGCTGCCAGCTTACACGCTAATGCGAACCCAGTCCTCAAATCCGAATCCTTGCAGATCAACGCCTGACATCGCCATTTCCCTCCACAACTCAGTCTCAGTGATCTGGGCTACATCCTATAAGTCAGTAAGCCCTACGGCCCTACAGCCACGACCAACAACCAACCTGCAGACGCCGTGTTTTCTCCTGGAATCTCCTAGCTATCGCACCGATCCGAGCCATGTCCGATTCCATGCAGCCCCCGGTTCCACGGCCCCCACGCGCAGAGCGAATGACGACATCATGTGGAGAGTGTAGAAGGAGGAAGCAGAAGGTAGGTCAAGATCTAGAAGACACAGCTACCAAACCCTCGGGTCGATGTCACATGTTACAGCACGACATGGCACCGCTAGAACTTGGAAAGCCGCGGGAGAGAGAGACATAACAGCAGGAATGCCACCTAAGAAACAGCCTTGTGCTGACATAAACGGTGTATTCCACAGTGCAATCAAGGCCAGCCTTGCAGCAACTGCGCACGGAGATTCCCTCCGCCGGTATGCGAATACAAACAAAGGTTTGTCTAAGTTGAAGCTCCCCCTGGAAAAGCCCAAACACAAGACAACCTCTCCCGAAGAGAACTTAGCTAATAGATATGGAGACCCAGGCGTCCTCATCCTATTCCCTCGCAATCCCAACGACCCATCTATTCGTTTCCCTCATATCAACCCCCCCTTTCCCAGTAAATCCAGTGAACCAGGGATTCAACTCCGCAATCAGCCAGCATTCCCCTCTTCCGGCGCCGCAAATATCACCTGTTCCAGCACAATGGGGGCACCGTAACAGTACCGATTTGACTAATGCCTTCCTACAATGGCCGGGGCTTTCTGTCCCCTCTCCTCAACCTTCGACTCCGGTGTCTCCTCCGCCTGCAGGGCATTATGCATGGAATACCAGTCAAGATACGCTCTCCATGTGCATTCTCCCCTGCAGAGAAGGCTGCACTGAGCATTCAACTCAAGTTCATGAGGCTATAACGATGCTTCGCGCTTATCGGCCGGTTCCCAATATACCTTCCGGCGCAAGCTGGAACCCTAGCAACTTTACATGGAGTTTTGGCCCCATACCGTCAGGATCTGGTGGCATATCTTGGCCAACCGCAAGTCCTGTACACCAGTTTTCCAATCAGCTCCCCCGGTTATTGATGGGAGATGCTGAGCTTTTATCGGTTTGTATGTGCGGATGCGTGGGGACGGCGGCTGATCAGGATGGATACTAACAGAGATCCTCTTCCCCTGTGGGAGCAGACTTTAAGTATATTTCCCAGTTTACGGCCTCGTTAGATGGGAACCCCGACGCTTCGAGCCCATATCTGAAGTATTATGTCCCGTTTTGCGAGCAGTCGGAGCTCATGCAGCACATGGCTATCTGCTGGGCGGCTTGTTTCCTAAGTGATACCGGCCATGTCGAGCGGCCGTTTGCTCAGAGCCACAAGGATCGCGTGATTCAGTTGCTCAACCGGCAGCTTTTGGTATCTGCCAGCGACGAGATGATTGCTGCTGTGCTGCAATTAATTGTGGTCGAGTGGTATGTGTTCTTGAGCCGTCCCGTTGGGTACCTGCTTCTCTGGAAATAAAAAAAAAAAATAACTAACCAGAAAACAGGCTCTGGGGTAGCGCTGAACTCCTCCAGACTCACAGGAACTGTCTTCAACAGCTAATTCTGACCCGCGGCGGCTTGAACACTCTCGGCTTACATGGGCTGATCAGCAAACATGCAGTCACGTAAGTTCTTGCTGCCATAGCGGCACTGGTCCCGTCTCTCGTAGACCATGGGCCTGACTTTGACGCAGGACAGATGTGGCTATTGCTCTTTCCTTCGAGAACGAGCCAACCCTTAGAGGATCTCCCGTATTCGACTTCGACGACAACACCCAGGCCCCCTTCCGTGTTACACAGAATACCCCTTTTGATTTTTCTTCCATCGCTTTTGCCCAATGGGCCCCAGCACATCCAGCACGGATTGCAGAACCAGTGGCGAGCATTCTCGAAGATATCCGCACTCTTCTTAAGGCTGTCCACAAATCATTAGAGAATCCCTATGACTTGAAGGAGCTCCAGAGAGTGCGCTCAACCGCTCTGTTCGTCCAGGAACGCCTGAATAAGGCTCCAACCGACATAATCACGGGCCATCGTCCATCTGCCACACTTAGTCCGGGTACCCCATCACCTGGCAGCACCAACATCCCATCTCCGAGTCTTCAGCCTCATCGTACGAGCGCGAGTCGCTCTCGAACCCCTCAACCTGCTGCTCCGCCCCTCACTCAACAGCCGCTTCCTGGTGCCCCAGGAATCAGTCTAACCGCTCCGCAGCCCATCCGGCAGCCTATTCTCCCTGGCCCACAACAACCAGACTGGCGGGGACCAGATTTTTCGCAGACTCTGAGTCCTCACCTTCAGCCCCCCTCCCCTCTCCCTTCCATCTCGCCAGTCCCGTCTCCCATCCTCTCCAGCACCTCCGTCTCTAGTGGTATCGCAGTTGTCAGCCCATCCCCTTCATCCCCTGCTCCTCCTCCTCCTCTTAGCCCGAGCCCAGGCCCAACAACCCCCTCCTCCGTCAGCAACGGTCCAACAGAACAAGATTACATCTACCAAGTTGTCCGACAAGCCGCATTGCTCTACACGAAGGCCATCATCGCGCGGAAGCCGTTTAGCCAGGTCGTTACGGCAGAAGAGTTCCAAAACTTGTGGACCACGGCTTGGCACGTGCCACTGTCGACCTGGCGATCGTTGTTGGGGGTGTTTAACTGGATCTTGTTACCGATCAGTTGTCGGGGGAAACAAGCATTTGGATCAACTCCTGCCGGGAGAGATGTAAATTCCGAGGGTGCGGTTGACCCCAGTCTCTCGGGCCAGGGACAATCACAGGCTCAGGGACAGGAGGGTTCAAAGAGAAAAGGGAAGGAAAAGAGTCAGGGTGTGGGGATCTCAACGCCGCATGATCGGTATGTGAAGGGGATGTTGAACTTGACGCTGTTGCAAATGGCTATGGAGAACTGGGCGATTGCGAAGAAGATTATGGAGGGGGAGATTGCGCTGCAGAGATGGCTTGCTAATAAGTCAGAGGCAGAAAGCTTTATGTCGGGTGCTGCTTCTGGTCAGGGATGGGAGGGAGCTGGTGAGGATTCTTCAGTTCTTCAGCAGGCAGGCATGGCGGTGAGCGGTGAGGATAAAGGGAAGAGAAGGTTCAGTTGAAGATTCTTGAAGCTTGGTATAACATTTGGCTGTGGGAATTTGAACTATAGGTTACCTTCCAGGTTGTAAATTTGGCGAGCCTTTTAAACTGGGGATGATCGAGACACCGGGAGCACAGAGTTCGGAATTTGGATATGGAATTTTGAGTAGATCGCTTTACCCCTTGGTTTATAGCCCTGTTTGGATGACTAGGCACTGTATGCGATATTCCACTCCATTTTTCACTTTGTCAAGATACTCGTCATGACTTAGTTTGCCCAAGGATTATTGTCATGTTCGCTCAAAGCTCTCACTGGATACCTGCTTGTCTAAGTGTTCTGCTCAATTACTTGATATCTGCCAGTGTCTGGATTCTTCTAAAGGGCAAGAGTACTCGGTCTGCTTTTGGGGGGGGGGGGGTGGGGGTGAAACCTTAATAACAGTTTGACAAGAAAGGAAGCTTCAATCCCTTATCAACACATGACAGTCGGACATCAAAGTAACTTGACAGCCCACGCATTCAACTCTCCATGAAGAACAAATGGTCTCTGCGGTAAGCTCGAGAGTTGATCCTTGATTGAAAACCTTGTCTGATTACAGAGCGACTCATATATTGTCCCATAATGTATATGTTGTTATAAGGTTCTTTCCCTATGTTACTCCAAGATGCGTCAAGTGGACTTGCAAAAGAACGATAAGTTGGAGAAAAGGGATGATATCTCTAATCTTATCCTTCCTATCATTCGGGGCAAGGATGACGATGCAAACATTGTTGAAGCTCCGAGTAAAATACCTAAAGTACTCGAGCTATTGCCATCACCGACCCTGACTATCGAGCCAACGCTACCGCCGCCGCCCCCTCCTCTCCCAGTACGTGTTGTCCGGACTTTAAATCCACATGGTAGCTCACTCACCTTCGAAACAGCAGAAAGGTTATTCAGAGCTGACTTGGTGCACAGACCGTTTCGACAAGGCTGTCCTGAAGGCCATCGAAAGGGAGCAAATCTACAGGCACATGGCACGGTTACGAAAGTACATCGAAGGGAGTCTCTATACCGCAGCTGGTATCCCAGACAGCCACGTCTACTGGAAAGCACCTTACGCAAGACATTTTACTTGCTGTGTCCGAGGTTGCCCACAACTTGGCAAGCAGTTCAGACGGGCGCGCCGTTTCTGGAAGCATCTAAGAGAAAGTCTATGGCACTGGGTGAGCTCCTCTCTAACCCCTGAATAAGGCTCTGGTCTGGACACGGTATTAACAAAGCGCTGAGCTTCAGAAACTCGTGTCTGAGCGGCCAATAACGTACCTGAATGAGCTCTACTTTTCTACAGAGGACCCCGTGATCCTTCGCTTTGATGCTCCGGCTGAGAAGGAGTCCTCGGATTCCGTCATCAGCGGAATCGAACAGCATCACCTCGGATCTGAACGAATCACAGACACGGCTGGGATTTCCCCATCCTCCACAGCGGCGGCCACTCTGGGGTTGACATCGCCATCTGAGCTTACTGTGGGGGAGGAGTCTAGTTCTCCAGAATCAAGAAAAAAAGAATCTTAGTTGAAAGACACGTCTGCAGCAGCGCTAAGCAGGACCCCCAGAACGGGGATCCTGTCTCTGAGATCGGGGGTATCTTTGCCACTGGGGGCTAAGGGCGGCGGACAATATTTCCTGGCTTGGTTGCCACCAGCGAGGATGCTAATTCAAAGTGTAGCGGTATGTATTTCAGGTAGTATTCGGGCAGTCCATAACTAATTGCGCCCAGCAGGATGTGGAAATCAGCATTTTATTACGCTCAGAAACCCACTCCTCTCATGCCTCTACCATGTGGCAATTGGAGGGTCGGCTAAAACACTAAGTCTAGCATTGATATCAAACACTACAGACAACGTTGATTGTCATTATTGAACGGGAAAATGAATGCCTCGGATGAAGGGAGAGTCAGGCTATTTGGTCACATGAGACACTCCTATCTGCCCACTCGTTTTCGACGGACAGGTTCAGTCTGCCAGCCTGGCTTCTCCGTACAAAAAAACACCAAGAATATCGTATCGCGCGGTTGCTAGGATCGACATTTGTTTGCTGAAAATAGTTCAGTCCCTGATACCGGGCTGCTTTTGGTTTTCCAAAGTCAAGGCTGTCGGGTGCAATACCCGGGGCCGATCCCCCTCGGCGGAGCGCAAGAACGGCAATTGTTCACCATGTTCAGAACATACCAGGCCCGAAGATCATGGACTTCTGGGGTTTGCCATCATCAGACATTTGGAGCACGGTCCGATCGGGTGGACAGACTTGCTCAATGGTTAAGACCGAGCCTTGAGCTTTTGGGTACTGACGGGCCAGCATTTGACTACCATTGAATGGTGGCCTCGAATACGTAGAATCTCGCCTTTACCGAGAATGTCCCCCAGCTTTCGATATGATAGAACAAAGCAATTGTCAAATAGAACAGCAACATTAAGCGGAGAAACATAATTGTTAGAAGTACCGAGGACGATACCGATGTCGAAGCTTCTATTAACGAAACCTCAGGCCCCCATTGATGGCAGATGCCGTGGTCGTAAATCACCTGACTAATACAGGCCACCGCATATTGGTTGCTGGAAAGCCAATAATCTACATCTAAGTGAAAGGTCTCTCAGCGACCCCTTTATTCTCACATAAAAAAATGCGACCTGTTTGGTCTGTTCCTCTTAGATGCAGACAGGAGGAATGAGGTGAGGGGGCTTTGCTCTTTGATGCATCGCAGCACGATCCTCCCCAGTGGCCCCACCCGCAGTGGAGCTGGCAGCTAATGTGGGGCCGCTGTGGGGCCGTCCGTTTGTTTGGAATGTTTGCAAATCGCGACGATCGACAATTCGATATTTGCTCGTTGGACAGTTCAATCGCAGCACCAGGACCAGAAAGAGAAACATTGCCCGTCTGCATCCCCATTCGCCCAGTGTTAACCCCAGCCTCGCAACTGACTCAAGAGATTAGCAGGTGCAAGCAGTTGAACGTGAGCTCTGACAATAGGCATCTGATTTTTGCCATGGCCCTCCATCTACCGTGCGAAATCCTCCCAAGTCGACACACTGTACGCTGAGAGACAGGCACACACAAGATGGACAACTTGTTCTTGAGTGCCGGATTTGAGAGCTCGGCCGAAAGTGTTCTCTCGACTGGAAACGGCAAGCGAGTGCGCGGACGTGAAGCCAATGTGTACGATGCTGTCGCAGGTGCGTCTTCCTCATCTCCGATTATCGTTTTGAGCCATTAGTCTGATTAGATCATTCTCCTTCCTCAGGCCGCGTCACTATCAACAGTGCCCTAGCCGACGCTGAAAACCCCCGTTACCGCACCGGGCGTCGCCACAGCGCGCTCGCGGACCGCTATTTTTCCTCACGCAACCCGCGCCTGGCACCTGACCACGTGCTCTTCCGCCGCAGGCATGCCCCGCCCCGCTACCACGAGTATGACATCTACTGGGCCCATGAGGACCTGCCTCACTATGGCCAGGGTCTACTGCCAGAAAGCAACTTGCTGAGGTCGATACATGCCTATACGAGCCGCTTCTATGAGGCTACGGCTGCTCGGCTTGGGCCGAGCTGTTTCGTGGGCAGGAGAACGATCGATGAGAGGAGCATGGATGAGACTGCCCTGTTGGCGTTTGGGATTTTGTTGGAGGAGGCTGCATGTGAGGTGCTGGGAAAGAGGGGTGACTTGGTTTTCACCGAGCCTGTTACCAACGAGAAGCAGCCGCAGGATGGAGGTGCTGCAGCTGGACATCGAGTTCCTCAACGATCGGCTATCGGTGAAGAGAGCGGTGTTGAGATTATGCCAGAGGGCACCAAGCGGGCAAAGAAGCGGCGAAAGGTTGAGCAGGAGGATTCAGAAACATGATCAAAGTGGCAGGGTGCAGGACAATCTTGCTTGCCAAGCGCACCTGGGTGACGTTCCTTTTCCAAACCCAGAGGTCTTGAGGCAGCAGCAACATGTAGGCGTGGACAGCCGCTCACCAATGACGCTGGCTGCCGACCGAGTCACGATAATGTGTCCTAACCTCCATCAAGCAAGCAAAGCACGATATTCGTGATCTGTCATGTTTGCACATCTCCATCTCCGCGGTGGCGGGGAAAATCGCACCAATCCAGACTCCTACTCTCACGCAGGAGAAGATACCTCCAGTCTACAAAATATGAGACCTTGGAACAAGTTAGATAAGCTGAGCGACACTAGCAGGATTGTTGAGTGAAGGGATCGGAGCAAATCACTGCAGTAGCAGTCCTTGTTAGAGCTGAGACGCAAATCTGGCTGATGACAAAGAAATTCCTGCTCGGAACTTTCCACCTTGACCAAGCCTCGACCGGAGCATATCGTCACCGGTTCCTGGGCTGTGTGAGACCCCGAGATTGCTACTCTACACAGCAGATTACCAGGCTCATGCGCGCGAGGACTATTTATCTAATTTTCGGAGAATGCAAACCCCGATCTCATGCACATGGACGACACGTTACAGTTACGTTCGGATCATCGCCCTGCGCACCGTGCATACGCCCGTCGATTTTTGATCGCATTGCATGTCCTATTTGTGTGGGATTGTGTGTGAGTTTCCCCAGGATCTCCCTAAATTCCGAGTATTGTCTGCCCACCGAGGCGGACGGGGCCGGACGATCATCGTGCTTCCTTCTCCACATTCCGAGGGGTACAACATCTGGATGCATGCACATGTCACTTTGCATGAGAGCTTGCCGTTTGTGAAAGGAGAGAGAGAGGATTGAGCTTGTGCGCCGTGTGCCAGTACTCCTTGCCGGCTGGCCGCTGACTGTCAGCCCTGGTCAAGCGCTCCGTCGAAGAAGAGCTGTACCGTTTGCTACAATTGTATGGTTCGCACGGTGTATTTGCATATATCTCCAGTGCCTATGCCTTGAGCATTCCGCCGTTCTTCCTTCACAGCCTTCTCGTCATTCGCAACTGGATTCTGAGGTTTGGCTTGGTCCCCTGCTCCTTGTTGACGTATGTACAACTTTGGAATGAATGGCCCAGGTCGGGCTCTGTATCACACTAGCGTTCTGATTTGTGATAGAGAGGGCAAGAACAGGCGATTTACGTGATGCATGAGATGTTCGTTATCTGGTGTGACATCTTAACTCTAGGGGTAAACCGGGATCGAGATACGGCAGCAACTGCATTAGTGGAGATGATTGCTGAAGATCTATCTGACCCTTTACGGTACCTGCATGCGTACAAGAACTGATATCATCATGGTTTCGATTCAAGCGATTGGTACAGCTGTCGTTGCATATGTGATACACTCATTACGCCCCGCGCTTGGCAACAGGCCGATTCATCACTGCGTCACAAGGGTGAAGAAACGAGGGCGCAATCCTGAGATCAAACAACACCGATACATCATCCTTTAACCTTTGCTTTTCTCTGTTTTCAAATCTTTGGATGCGCCACCCCGCAGCTGCTTCATCCAATTGTCCCTCGATCTCACCCTGCCCTGCTCTTCGCTTGTGAAGTGGGCATTGCTGACACCAGGGCGGGGACGGTTTTCATCACACAGGTTGTGTGAGCAAGAAAAGGAAAGAAACAAACTTTTGAGGAACTTTGCTCTGGAGGGCCGACGATAGTCTCATCCGAGAATCAGAGACCCCGAGTTGCCAAGCTATCAGCTCGGATGGATGGCCAGCAAATCTTGTGGCACAATATCGAGCCACGGACAGAGGCACAAAAGATCAGAGGTCGCTGTACGATGGACTTGGGCCTGGGCTAGGAATCTCGTTTGTGTATCTCGACGTCCATCAAGTATTCGAATGTACCTACAATGACACCTATGCTACTGTGTGCTGTGCCTCGTTGGAGTCGTGATGGCAAAAACAAGTCTGAAGAACAGAACCGATGGGCCACATTCCCTAGCTCTATCTGAAATCTTGGTTGCCTCTATGAGCAACTTCTTGGCAAAATATCATGTTCCTCCCTTTTTGTCTAAAACTTCACCAGCTGCTGTGCTTGATTGGGGAATTGTAGGTGTTGGCGAGCTTGGGGGTTGCTGCGGGATTTGTGCTAATGATACCTGTTCCGGCGCCCCAGCACTAAATACATTGTGGAAAAAAAAAAAAAAAAAAAAAAAAACAAAGCCAAGGGACCGTCTCTTCCCCTTCGCTCCCCAACTTGCCGGGGCCTTCTTCCATGCTCTTGGGACCGCGATACTGCCAATGATTGGACGGAGATTGCCCCGGCGCTCCAGGACCGTGTCGGCGGGCCTGCGCTAGGGAACAAGGAAAGGGAAGCAAGGGAGACCACTTTGGTAGTGTCAGAGTTCGGAGGTACTTTTTCCACCTCACACACTCGCGCACTGGAAACAACTGTGTAGACGAAGATCTTAAGATTACCATTCTTCCTCTGAGACTCAGCACTTCGGCACTTCGTCATACTGAAAAGGGCTGCTGAGAAAGACAGGGCGGTCTTCACCGTGCTTTGGAAACGAGTAGCAGGGGTTTAAGGACCCTGGAGTTAGGATGTATGCATACTGTGTCAACAGTGTGGTATTGAAATCATCAACCTCGTCTCCTCATCATCTGGATTAGTGTGTCGGGCGTCGACGACGTTGTCCAGTGAATCTCAAAAAACGTAGTCTCAAGAGAAAGGCGGTGACAGTTCGAGACGAAGATCGCGAGCACCAAGTTCCGGCCTGGTCACTTTTGCAGAGCTGGATAGTGCCGAGGGCCTTGATGATCTCGGAACTTTGAGCATGATGACCGCTTGGGTCAGCAAGCATTGTACGCAGAGAGGCTATGTGGGCCTAATCTTTGGCTTGAACCAGAGCAGCTTTGCCCTGTAAGTTTTGTAGCGGATATAAATCTGTAGTGTGATGTCTTTTACAGTCAAGAAACCTCTGGGGGTTCTAACACGGCACGGACTCAAAGTGATGGAACTAAATCGTTGGTCCCTGTTCGCTTGTTGGTGACTGGCTGAAGTTCAATCACGAGGACCTTGATGGCCCGGGCCGATGTCACTGACGCTAGCGTGTACCTGTGTAGAAATTGTGGGTGAAAAACAAGCTCCAACAAAATCCAGGTTTGTCACCCTAGCGTTAAGTCTGGCCCCAACGTAGACAGGTTGACATGACGACACGTCGACACCAATTTAACCTCATGGAAACTCTCGCTTCATTCGATCTGTGGAAGCATCTTGTCGTTACCATGCTCGCTGCCTGGCGTAGAAGTCCCTTCCTTTCAGGGTCGAAAAACTGTTCATGGCGCCGTCGCGTAACGGGACCCAGAAGGGCCGTGCTCAGTCTCCACTCGCGGAACTTCGAGAGCTCCAGCTGACCACGATCAGCGATTCCAAAGATTCCAAATCCCACGAAGAAGGATCCATCATCCCTCTTCCTTTATTTTTCTCGAAGCTTTTCAGAATCCCACGCTATGAGTTGTCATCAGGGGCCCAGATAGACACTCAGCTTTCCAGTAAAGTATGTCTTGGGAGAGACTTATCAATCTGTAGCGAAGTCCAGTCTTGACTTAGTCTAGAATGCATTTTCGTCCTAATCTCGGGCCGTCAGAACACCTCTCTGGCCAACAGTTGTGTTCCCAACAACGACACGGCATCAACTGATGGCGTTCCACATAAAAAGCTCGGCGCCACGGTCGTTAGTTGTTCCAGCTTGCAGCGTCTCAAGAACAGCCGAACTTCATCTGGCAGTTGGCTCGTCATAATGAGTTGGACTGTGATGTCTACTCGAAGACTCCATCCCGTCAAAATAGTCGGAGTTGAAGCAGTGAGGCCTTGTGCGGAGTCTGGTACTCGCTTTCTGACTGGTTCCCGCAATCAGGACGAAGCCCTTCCTGGGTTTGAGCTTGGGCTTAACGTGGTATGCTTTTTTCTCTTACACAGTATCAATCATTTCTCCGCCCCCGCTTTTGTACCGCGCTGCTGCTCGCCGCGCGCTCGCGCCGCATGCATGGCACAATGCGCTGCGTGCTCAGAGTCGGCTTGGCTCATCTTGAAGCTCGCGAGCTGGCAGCCCGTGACGGGCCATCGATATCGGTACGCGATAGGAACGCGCCAATTTGCCTGGCTGCGTCACGCACGAAGAGACACTTGCCAACGGCGAACTAGGACCTCTTGTGGTGTTGATATTGTTGAGGAGGCAAGTTACAAGTTGGAAATGCTTGCCGTTTCCTTTCCTGTTACGGAAGAGCCATGGAACACGCTAGCAGGCCCATCAGCCCTCCCACCTCTGGGCCTTGCCTGATCCCACGGTCCGAACCCACAGTGAGCGGCACTTCATCAGGGGTTTGCTCGCCTTGCAGGTGTCACCTGCGCCGAATGCTCTCTGCCTGCCCCAGTTCTTTCCAGGCCGAGTCGCTTCCAGCAGCAGCCTGCGTTGAGATGGCTTGGCATATCTCGTCGGGGGCGGGGGCGCGGTCTTCTTCCCTGGTCGGCCACAGAAGGGGGAAACAGCGTCGCTGTCAGCTCATTTTCTTTTTTCTTCAATCGAATCCATCGCGCGTTAGTCGCCGGCAGGAACGTTGGGGAATCGATTCTCTGCACCACCCCTTTCCCTCATCGGGCTACCAGGCGTTGCAAGATTCGAGAGTTTTACAGCGCACACTGGAGTTCAGGGCTGTCGAAAGAGTCGGGCAAGCCCCGACAAAGCAAGAAAGATCATGAAAAAGAGGTGCAGTCTGCATCGGGGCCAACCAGCGTTCAAATGCCTACCTCCCGAGCCTTGTGTCACCGTTACATACAGCACACACGGCGGGTTCCATACATACACGTTGCCGATGAATGCATGGCCAGGACCGACGGATTATGCCGTAGCGAGTTCTTGACTCCCATCTATCTCCATCTCCATGGATTCGTCCTATCTTGTGAAGCCTTATAAAGCCTTAGCATATCAGTGCCAGGCAGGGCAGTGCGTGACTCGATGCTGAAAGCCCGTTTGCCCGCGCCGGCCTTTTTCTGGCCCTTTGGATGTCGGCACGGGTCACCGCCTGCTCCAGTTCTTTTCTCTTTGCCAAACAGCAAACGGAGCCCAGTCGAAAGTTACAAAGCAGCGGGCAGCGGGGATTGCGAAGAAAGGAAAAGAAAGAAAAAGGAGGGGCCTGCCGGCCTGCCAGTGCCAACATCCAACCAACGCTGCTCCGCCCAAGCCACACTAGCGCGTTGTGCGTCCTGGGCTGGGAGCCGTGCCATTCGCCGACGACCCAGCCGGCCGGCTTGCTAGCTGAGGGGGCTTTACTTTAAACGGCACCAACCAAGCAGCGAGCGGGTCAGCAGCGAGGACCAGAGCGTGGGCAACCCCCCCCCCACCAACCGGTGGGCAAAGCTGGCTCGCACTGTCAAGCGCCTCAGGCCCTCTGATTGCCCCATATCTGCTGCATCCAGTCGCTCACCCCTTCGTTCTCCACCTTGGCTTCCCCACCATCTCGGTTCGGGTGCCCAGCAGCCCAGGGTGTCTGAGGGTCCAGCCGACGAGGCCCTTGACGAGAGGAGCGCGCTTCCACGATTATGGTTGGTGGACCGGGGCTGTCTCTCACGATTTGTGTTGTTTTCTTCTCCAAGCACTTGGCTCCAGATCCTCCTCTCAAAACCACTTCCAGGTTGCTGCCCTGTGGTTGGCAGACAGTGCCCCTCTACGCTACACGCACTCCAACAACGCAAAGCCCAGAGGGCAGAGGCACTGCAGTCCAACAGCGAACAGCCAAAGCAGACCTTTCGATCTGCCATCTGTCATCTGCCACTGACCGTCTTTTGCTGCCGCCTTGTCGCGTTTTCTCTGCCTTGAGCGGCAGGTCTCGGATACGCCAGCTGCTGCGCTATATGCTAGACTCTGTGGCCTTTGCTCCAGCTCTAGCTCCAGCTCCAGCTGCTCGCTCTTGTTCTGTTCTCTGTCCAAGGTCGCAGCAGGAGAAATTTTGGATAAGCTACGCACTTTTGCGTTTACACTACATCTGCCACATTTGCCTGGGCACATCGCACGCTGTCAGACAGTGTGCCCAGACACGAAAAGGAGCTGCCCGACGTCGCGCGCGCAGCTGCCGGCCTGCCGAAACCCGTACCTCTGGAACCCCGAGCTTCTAGCTCTTTTTTTTTTGTCCATCCCACTTCCGCCCACACGCCAGACCACGAATCTCGCAACCACGAAAACTTCCAGACGGTTGCTGCCCAACTACATAAAATATTCATCCGAACGCTCTGATCAGACTTGACTGCGGAGAACTGGGCGGCGAGTGGCGGTCGAAAGTCGGAACAACTGTTTCTAGCGCGCCGGTGAGGCCAAGAGCTGAGGGCAGCCAGAGGACCTGAAGAGAAAGAGGGGCTGTCGTCGCGGCGCGCACTGGCCGAAGCTGTCTCCAGACCAAGAATCCCCGTCTCCTCCCCACCCACGCGGCCACAAGTACCCTCTTGACCTGGACCCTACCCGGAACTCTCAGACCGCCCTTGCGACGCTGCTGGGTTCTTGGTCCCTTTAACCATTTTTTTTTCTTTCTTGTCTCGGAGCCTCACAGTTACGGGGTGTGCGGGCTTGAGCTTGTGGATTCCCCTGCTTCCTTCCCCCCAAGACGCCCGGGTCGCACGGGTCTTCCAGGACCTCCTCCCCGCTTGTCGTGTATGCTCCATGCTTCCGCGGCGAGCCTGCCCTTCTTCCGTTGCTTGACTTCGCATACTAGGATCGCCACACGAGCCCTGTCCCATTGGCGTTCATGTACATAGACGTATAAAGCCTTCAGCCATGGACCAAGGGCCTGACACCAAGCGACCGCGTCTCTCGACTGGCCCGGCATGGTCAGCCGGCGGTGCGCATAACGGCGTGTCATTGCTCCATCCCAATCCGTCTCCGACATCAGCTCATCTCCCGCCACCGTCGTCGACACAGTATCTTCCACAGCCATCGCCGCTTTCCTTTGCGCGCCCCTCTGACTCTCACGCGCCCCCCCCTCCGCCGCCGCCCCATCCAGCGTCGACAGCTCCAGGGCCGACGTCTCTCGACGACCGACGGCAACATGAGTCCGACAGGTATCATCCTATGCAAGATCACAGACAGCCCCCTCCGCAGTCCCCAGCTCATCCGCCGTACTCGTCATATCCTCCACGAGATCCGATAATCAAGGCCGATCCCGCTGATGACACTCTCCCACAACTGCGAAGACCTCTTCCGTCCGGCCCGAGTGTCCAGGACAATATGACCCAGTGACGCCGCACTCTGCGGTTCCCCTTCGGCCCTTATGGGATGACAGGAGGCATATTAGCTATGATAGCGGGCCACAGCCCCCTCCTCCCCCTCCGCCGTCTCATCTGTATCGACAGCCGAGTTATCCTCCCCAAACACCGCTGCCACATCCCCAACCCTATGACTACCCTCCCCAGTATGCGTCGCATGCCGAGATTCCCTTCCAAGTCGCCCCGGCGACCGGAAAGCGCAAGGCCCAGCGCGCGTCCCAGGCTTGCGATCTGTGCCGACAGCTCAAGGCCAAGTGCGATGAGTTGAAGCCTTGTAAGAATTGCAAGGACAAGAAGGCCGAGTGCAAGTACCGCGAAGCCGTTCCGAAACAGTGCGTTGATCCCCAAAACCTCCCCCCCCCCCTCCCCTCCTCTTGGCTACAAAGCTGTTTCTCAATTCATGGTTGACTCACCACGGGGCCACAGGCAAGACAAGATTGCTGCTGATATCTTGGAAATGCTCACGGCGTTGCGGGATGAATTCGAGGACTTCAGGCATCGTATCACCAGTATGGAGCGGGCAATGAAGCGTATCGCCCCGAACACTCTAGAGGCTGCTTCGGAGCCGATCAAGGAGGAATTGGAACGCCCCGACTCAGCTAGCTCGGCGCCGGTTGGCGTTGAGGATGGCGAGTCGTCCTCCCTTGGAGAGGCTGCGTCGACGCAGGCGCCCATCGGCAGCCTGGAAGCGCGAACGATCACGCGTAACATGGAGGAAGAAAAAGAAGTTGATCCCGGTCCGTTGGTGCCGCCCGGCGTGCCGTCCATCCCACCCAATCACACGACACTCGCCGCATTCCTGCTTCAGTGGCCTGCAATTCAGGCGCTTGTCGGAGACATCTTGGACGAGGAGAATGTGAAGTACATCAACGAGTTCCCCATTCGCCAGGAGGAGAGGAGAGGTCTTCTGCGAATCTGGGGTCGCGGCGAGGGTTTCGATAACACCAAGAACACGGAACGTTCCGACCGCGAGGCCTTGCGGGATACGGGTTATATGGAGGTTCAAGATGACGCCTCGGACGCTGGAGCACCGTCCCCTATGGACTCCTGGGGACTGATCAGCGGCTCCCCCGGGCCGATCGACGGCAAGCCTGTCACCACGAACAGCACCGGACCGGACTTCACGGAGTCGATCGTGTGGAAATATGTCAGGAGCTACGAGGAGAACATCCAGAACATGCACCCGCTCATCATGCCTAAGGAGCTACACGCCATGGTCCGAGTGTTCTTGGATAGCATCCAGCATGCTCCGCGGCAGAAGAGCGGCTCGGCTGCTCCTGTTGCCAAGTTCGTCCTGAACCGACCGGAAACGGCGGAGGTTGGGACGAAGCGGAAACGATCCCCCCCACCCGAGAGCTCCGACACTCCTTCCTCGTCGCCAAAGACGAAGCCGACGTTCCAACGGTCCATTAACAATGCACTTGTCTTGTTGATTCTTGCCTTGGGCAAAATCTGTCTGTATAAGGATAGGATACCGGATATCGTTCCGGCCAGCGACGTTTCTCACGGATCGCCTATGGCTCGGAATGGCTACCCAGCCTCGCCTGTTCAGAGCTCTTCTCCTTCGTACTCCTCTCACTCTGCCGGTCTCCCGTCGCCCAAGGAAGGTTCCGCCGAGCGGCCGAGTCTCAGCAGGCGAGCCTCTTTCCAGGGAACCGGGACGGGCGTAAAGCCAATTCACGTCAAAAGGAACATGGATGTTATCCCCGGCCTGGACTACTTTGCTTATGCTACCGATATCTTGGGCGGCCAGCTGGCCGGCACCAGCCTACGACATATTTGGGCACATCTTTTGGCCGGCCTGTATCACGGGCAGTTGGGAAGGGTTTTGGAAAGTTATGCGTATATCAAGGAGGCCGGCCATGCTCTGCAGATGAAGCTCAGACCGTAAGGAAGACACAAGACAATGTGTATGACGAACGCGGATGGACGATGACTGACAGTTGGGATACAGGAGCCTCGATAGGTTAAAGAAGATGCATCAAAACCGTGAGCAGATATCCGATGGGCGCGACAATCAACTCATCCTGGCCTTTTGGACATGTCTACAGCTCGAGAGGTGAGTAAGATAATCATCCGCAATTGACACGCGACGCTTTGCAGGCTTGCTGACCTCGCTTCTAGCGACATTATTGCCGAACTTCCCCTGCCACAGTCAGGTGTGCTGGCATATGAGGAGATGATACCCTACCCGAGCGCCGATTTGGCCATCAAGCAGGGCTTCGATGAGCGGGTAATCCAGAGCTACTTTGCGCAGCTCTACCTGCGCAAGAGTTTAAACCAGATCCACAGCATGCTTTACAATCCCCAGAACCCCATATCCGAGGAGCCCGAGCCCGCCGTCATTGAGGCAATACAAAACTCCCTCGACATGCAGTTCGTGCCGCCCCAATTCAAGTTTGGCCGGGACGATCCCCCGGCAAATGACATCCTGTCTGCTCGGCTCCGGGCCAAGTACTGGGGCGCCAACGTCATCACGTATAGGCCTTTCGTTAAGAAGATTCTCCTTATTAACTACCACAAGAGCCAGGCCAACAATGGCATGGGGAACGCTGCTCCCTCTGAGGAGATCACCCCAGCAATGATCGAGTATGCCAAGATGGGTATCAAGGCGCTGGTTGAGAGCACTCGGGCGTTCCATGGACTGCCGGAGAAGCGCTTTATTGTCACCAATATCTTTGGGACGTCACACGCGTAAGTTACTCTCCATAAGGGAGTGCCGATCAACAACAGTTGCTGACATGTGCAGACAATGGGGCAACCTCGTCACACTCTCCGCCGTCTTCCGGGACCCGACTCTGCGTGAGTTTGTCGATGAGCAGACCCTTAAGGAGCTCTTCTCTCGCACGATCGCCTTCTTTAAGGTCATTGCGTACCCGTCCAGTGCTCTCTTCATCGACCTGCGCATCTTAGAAGGCTTGGAGCGTAAGCTGTGGCCCAATGGCAACAGCGCCAACGCGGTTAGCAGCAACTCCCTGCTGAGCGACGCTATGGACTATCAACCCACGAGCACAACTGCGACCACGACCACTACTGCGACCACTGCCTCCTCAGTCCCTCCCCCAAACAACACGAGTACCGGCTTCTCAACCCCCTCTCCCGCCCCCGGCGGTCCACCCATGACCCCAACCATGTCTGTCCCTCCTGCTGTCTCCATGATCCATCCTCCTCCTCTTCCTGCAGCAGCAACCCCCCTCATCACCAGCGTCCCGTCGCAAGCACCAGCACCACCCCACGTTGATGCCGCTGCTGCTGCTGCTGCTGCTGCCGCTGCCGCCGCCGCCAGTGCCCCGGCTACCCCAGTTGCTGTTGCGGCTGCTGCTGCTACGGCCAGTGCCCCTCCTGCGGGCGTCGTGCCCATGATACCTCCAGTATCGTTGGCAGCTCCTGCGGCCCTCATGCCAGCGGCTGTCCCTGGTATGCCGATACCCCCGCCGCCGTCGTTTGTTGACAGCGTTACGGCCGCTGCGCCGCTGCCTGGGATGCCGCCGCAGCCACTTGCTGCTGCTGCTGCTGCCGCTCCTTCGCCGGCGCCGCCGGCGCCTGGGTCGGGCCCATTATGACGGACTTCCACGTGAGTCCTAATCAAATAACTGGCTTGGTGGCCAGTGTATGAGTGGCGGGTTGGCTGCCTGTCTGTCTGACGGACCGATGTATCTATTCGACTTGTTCACTCCTTTGTTGCTTTTGCGTATGTGTACCCTTGTGCTACTGATTTCTGTGTAGTAAAGTTTTTTCGGCTCTTGTATTTTTTTTTCTTTTCAAAGGCTTCGTCAGACGAACGAACGAAAGCTACCGGCGGCATCCTGATATGATATCATGGAGTGGTTTTTTGGATAGTTTTTCTCAGAGTAGTGCATGCTCGGACGGACGGCTATTTATGCATCGTCATTTCATGCCATCTATCTCTTTAAGTTTCCCGGGTTTCGATGAGGAGAATCCTTCCATACATGCATGCAATCGGGAATTCTTGGGTGATAGACCAGGAGCTGTGGGCGGCGGCATCGATCTCGTCATACTCGGTCTTTGGCTACTGAAGAACATTTGAACGACTACGACTGACCGCTAGATTGAGGTTGATGCATTCGCTGATTTCGCTGCAACGCACGTGTAACTCGGCAGGGCAACTTCTCTCTTTGTGTCATTTATCTCTCTTTGGAGGGCTTACTCTCCGTGTCTCTCATTCCTCCTTTTTCCTTTTCCTCATCATCATCTCTTTATCAACTTGACACGGAGGCTAGGCCTTTTCCCCTCATCTCATATCTCTTGACGCGCATCTACCTACCTACATCGACATGGGACTTGTTTTCTTTCCATCCCACATGGATGGCATTTTGGCATGGCCCCGTTTTTCGGTTGTCTATGATAGGAAACGGCGGAGATACCACTACTTGTTTGAACCTTTCCTACTGTTGCTTGCATACCGCCTTTTCATGTGTTGTTGTGATACTGTTGGATTACCACGAGACATGTTTTTGGTCTCTGTGTTCCTATTATTATCATTTGCTTAGGTCATATCATCTCGAGTCTACTTCCTGTCCGGTGATCCTCTCCATGGAATACCCTCATGTGGGAAATCTTGGATCTTTGAGAGACGGGTGGGTGGTTTTGGATGGCTGACTGGCTTCGGGTTGACGGCTTTTTTGGTTGCTAGTGTGGTTTGTGACATTGGTGCGGCGATCTACAGGTGCACTAAGTTTGTGTGGTATTCAATCATAATATGTAGGGTGTTTTGTTTAATTGATCATAGCAAATCAGATCATTAATGGATCCTATCCCATCCATCTACGGTTGCTACTGGATTGTGCGCGCGCGCATGTGTTGAGCCCATCCTCTGACATCGTACTCGGGAGTTGAGGTCCAGTAAAGTTCGAAGCTATCAGTGAAGTTATTGCTGTTGTTCCTCATCTGCCTAAGGTTGGATGTCATTATATATAATAGCATACAGGCATGTTACGTCAAGATCCCTGAAGATGCAGATCCTCTAGGCTCCTACCCCCTACCCCTACCCCCTACCCCCTACCCCCTACCCCTACCCCCCCCCCGGGCCCCTCCTCCCACCACCACCTAACTCCCATCGCTCCTGTCAACAAACGGTAAAGCTAGAAACCACAAGATGCTTCATTACTGCAGTTCGTTCCATCGGCTCATAACAGTACTACGCACAAACATAGCCACCCGTCAGGATAGACCGCCTCACGCATCAATTCTTCCAGCGGTGCTCGGAAGGGCACTGGTCCACCATGGAGTATGACATTAGCCAGGACAGGATCCCTACTGCTAGGGAAGAGACTGGGGAGAACTGCCTTGAGTGCCATGCCGACTGTTTGAGGTTGGCCTGGTCGTGATTTAGTGAACGTTCTGCGGAACGGATAAAGAACGCTGGCTTACGGTTTGGTAACCTAGGCGGGATCAACCTCTGGACTACTTTGAACGAACCAGCTGACGTATCATTTCTATCGCTCGATGACGGCACATAGATGCGTATAGGGACGTGTTTCAGCGGATCAGGCGTATTGAGTAGTCCCCTGTGGATTCGTGACCAGGCGGCGTAGTCATCTAAACCTCCGTTAGCTCCTAGCCAGGAGAGTATATTGGATCAAAACGAGACGTACTATCTAAAACGGCATTCCACAGCGCCGTACTATTCTCCTTTGACATGCTCATGATCTGCTTCGCATTCCCATTCCTCACAAAATCCGCCTCCTTCACCGAATTGGTAAAGGTATCGGCGATATCCCACTCTGGTCCATCCCCTACGACCAACTTCCATGGCAGACTCGGCTGATAAAGATCAACTAACAACCCAACAGCCAGGTTGCGGAGTTGAACTTCCTCGTGATGAAAGCTGGAGCAGGGAAGGCCGAAGTAGGCTGTGAGGCGCGGCAAGAGGAAGGCGAGGTAGCTGAAGCGGGGGACGGAGACAATAAAGGGGGGTTTGCTTCCGTCTGAGGCGTGGGTAATGTATAGGGGAACTTGGAGGGACCAGAGAGTTTGCGCGAGGGGGGCGTTGGGATCGATGTTGTTGTAACCCCCTGAAGGAGAGTCGTGGTGGCTTGTTTCGAAGCCAAGGACCGGGGAGGGGAGTGATGGTGTTGGTGATGAGGCCATGATGAGGGTTTTGAGAGAGTTGTGATGAGAGAGGGCTAACTCAGTTCATCGGTGAGTTATCCATCAGATGTTGCTCTTAACCAGCACCACCGTCAACACAATCTCCCGTGAGCTCAGTCTTTTTTATGTAGAACGCTTGTCTTCTTCTCTCGAACCTCGGCGGCTGTTTTGCTGGATTTCTCCAAGGCAAACCCGCTTTACGGTCGCAATCCACGCCTAAACCTATGTCAAATATTCTCTTGTCGTTTCAAAACTGCTATTCTTAGAAGGTCCTCACTGACAGTTCGATGTTGTTGCCTGGATCAGGAACCTCTGATGGAACGTACGGGGCTCTGTTATGCTGACTTGGCGCGGCGGATGCGCTGTCGATCGCACACTGCGGGGTGTCCTAGCTGCATAGCAGGGCTCAACCAATCATATCTGGCCTATCGATAAGCTTACTCTTCATATTCTCCCCAATACCCTGCTGTCTTTCACCTTGAACTTGCCATCTTTTCGAATGCCCACATTATCAAACTTCAATGTGCAGCTCATCTGGAGAGACAGAGGTGTCACAGAAAATGGACCTTAAAAGGTTGCATTAGCACGGTGGTCCAGCTTCAGCACCTAAGTAAAGTCTGCTAGTGGTAGTACTTAATCACAAGCAGAACCCAAAAGGAGTTAAGGTGCCCCAAACACTTTTCCATCTCTCTTCTTGTGCTTACAAATTTGACCAACTCATGGTGTTGGACATCGGCTCATTGCATACATGTGACTTTCACATCACTTGAAGCAAGGTACTTTGATTTGCAGTGATACCATACAGTGTTCATTGGAGATGTCTTCAGACAAGGGGGAGGACAAAGGGAAGTTATGCCCAAGGGATAAAAACTAGCCCTCTTTTGAATGTGTGTGTGAACAAACATACTTTGGACGAAATAATCTCTCACGAAAAAAAAAAAAAGATAACAGAAAAACTGACGGCATTAGTCAATCCATAGCATTATTAATACAGTACGGTTGTGCATCCAAAGAGACGTCTTGCTAATGCCACCAAGACTTGTAGACATGTCCGATGTGGTTTTGCCCTCTCATTTCTCCATGACCCTCACCTCACCAAATTGAGCACACCATCTTGTGGACGACATATCACACTCGAGAAGTGTTCTAGACTCATCCACGGACGCAACTGACAATCTGTGTCCTCCCATCTGGCCTATATCCAATGGTCTCCATCCCTCCAATGATCGACACAAAGCCACCCCATCACTCATCACATTACATTAAATCCGCCCATGCTCCAAAACGCTAGTCAGGTCATCAACATATTCATATAATTTACGCTGATTTGCTCACCTCTGAGCTGCAAGAGAAAAAAAAAGTCCTTGTAAACTATCAGATGGATGAGTGATTACGCCTCCCACCACTGCAAACATCACAATGTTGCCTTATCACATTGCCTTACCATGCTGTGTCACATATACTCACACCACCCTTACCACCCTCCAAATGCAGTAGTACCTGAGACATGAGTGATTTTCTCCCCCTCCTTTCCATGTAGCTGTGCTGTCCTAGTTCGAGAGCCCACTCGACAACTGTTGGGCAGGGATCAAGGAAAGTAGTGTGAATAGAAATTGCCCAGGATATTCTGCTTTGATGAATGCAAGGCGGCTGGTCGCCGGATCAGGAAAACAGACGACTAAGTGGCTCCCTAGTAGTAAGACACTGTTGCAAGATGCTGTGATGGGCAAGGACAATTGTCTCTCATGAATGAACCTCATTCCTGACGATATCCAACAACTTCTCTTTCCGTCTTGTGATCAAAAAAAAAATAAATCTTATGTCAAGTCAAATCGCTGTCGAGCAACATCTAGAGACACTAGAAGAATGCTTATTATCCCCCACTACCACGATAGCGTTAAAAATGTTCTCAAGCATAACTATCCATCTATACGATACCATCTATTTCAGCACTAAATCGCCCAGTGAGGAGTGGGAAGATATGTAGGCAAACAGTAAGTAAATACGTATCATAACCCTGTCCATAGCACATTTTGTAAACAAGACACATAAGAAGATTCCAGCCAAAGGTATCAATATATAGGTACACTATTCCACCTGAATAACTTGAAATAACTGTCAAAAAGAAAACCCCAAAAGAAGGTGGTATCTAAATAAACAAACCACCAAGAAGACGTGAACTTTGTACAAAAAAAAACAAACCAAAAAAATATCCATCCTTCTTTATTACCTCTCAATATCCTTGCTACCAAGTAGAAAATCACAACGCCAAAGTACTCTTCTTCCTCCTAGCAAACATACCGCCCCGTTTCTTCTCCCCATCCTCCTTCTCGCCAACACCTGATCCACCCTGCGGCAGACTAGGCGGCAGCACCCCTGGCGGAGGCGGCTCCGAACTCCTAAGGAACTGTGCCAGATCTGCCGTTGCCCGCGTCGGGACAGCAATCGGCTCGCGGGGTTCGAATTTCTTCATGGGCACCCTCCTTTGGGATTGTGCCGTAGAAGTAATGCTGCCGCTCGTCTTGGGGACGTTGCTATTGTTGTCTGAGGAAGTAGGTGTGGAAGTCGAGCCGAAACCAGCAGACCCAGCGGTACCAGCCCTCGTCAACGGCGGCGCGTAGGGGTCGCCATCAGGCATGTTGACTTGCAGAGGTATGAACTTTGCGCTGCCTGTACCGCTGCCGGCGCTCGCACGGCTGCTCAACGCCCTGCTCACAGAGGGTAGCTGAGGAGGCGAATTAGGCGTGCCACCAGCGCTGAAGCCCGATTTGGGACTAGACGGCCTCATAGCAGCACTACTATCTCGCCTAGTAAGTCTAGCCATCAAACTCGGCGCACTAGCCTTCTTCTTGGGTTTACTCGGCACTTGCTGCTGCTGCGGCTCTTGCAGACCCTGCTTAGCCTGCAACAGCGCTTGCGTTTGACTGATATTGAACGGCTGCGGGGGCGGGGCCGGCGGGGGTGTGTAGCTATTGAGGAAGTCGATCAGGCTCTCTTCCTTGGAGGTATGCGGTCTCTTGGGCGGGAGCTGGGCCAGGCTGTCTATGTCCTCATCTTCCTCATCGCTGAAATCGATTGCGTAGGGGTCCCGGACGCGGCGGGTCTTGCGCTTGGGGAAGGATCCTTCGGTGCTATTCATGGCGTCATAGGAGGACCCAGCCTGCTTCTTCAGCAGGGCACTGTGCGAATTAATCGACGAATGGACCGAGGGCGGGAGGGAAGACTCATTAGTAGAGGCATTGCTGCTCCGGGGATCCAAGCTGCGCAGGTTGGCGTCGACTGCTTTACCGCCCAAGGCATTCGACATCAGTTCCGAGTCCATGGTGCTGCGGAAGGGGGCAATATCCTTGGGAATCCTAGGGTTACCTGAGGCGCTGGGCGGGCCACGACGGATGAAGTCGATCAGGTCGGAGTTGTCCTTGGTGTCTACAATGGCCTCGCGAGCTTGGAACTTGGGTCTCCTGGTAGCAGCACTAGTAGTCGTGGTCGTGGCGGTAGCCGACAAGGCAGTTTGGGTGGTCGACGGCTGGGTCGGATCAGTGGGGAGCTTGGACAAGGAATCCGTCCCTGGCGGACCCGATGCTCCTCCTACGACACGAAACGAAGTGATGATCGGCGTAACCTTGGGCGGCGCGCTCGGTGCAGTCGACCGGAGGAACTCTGCCAGCTCGGCAAGGGACTCGCGATCACGGACGACTCTCGCATCTCTCGCCTGGGGACCGGGACGCCCTTTAGTCGGCATGGTCGGGAGCACTCTAGCCCCGTGCTTGGTCGAGGGGCCGTCGATAGGAGAGTATGAGCTGGAGCCGGAAGCGCGGGAGGTCGGCCGCGTCTTCGCATCGCCGCTGTGTCTGTCTTCGCTCTTCCTGCTCCTCACGGCTACGATCGGAGTCCCACTGGAGGACCCCAGTAATGACTGAGACTGTGGCTGGACGGTTAGACAGCTCTCGTAAGTAAGACAGGAGCGGGGACTTAGAGCAAGCAAACATGAAAACACGAGTGTATCGTGCATGGCCGTGTACACTTACGTCAAGGTCGCGCATGCTCTCGGGTGTCAGGGTGTACTGGATAGTCTCATCGCTCTGGATGAGTTCCTCAAAGTCGCGTGCGACGTCGCGGGGGCGCGAGCCTTCGTCGGACGATGTCCGGATGGGCTTGAGCCCCTTGGTCGATGCCGGCGAGCCGCGAGGTGCCGCAGAGAGCAGCTCCTGCGAGCGCGACTGCTCGGTCAGATTACGAGGATAGGCACGTTCCACCGACACCTGGCCGATCGTGGTCGGTGGCTGGCGTTGAGCAGACGTGTTGGCGATGGCCTGTCTGCCTGCATTGCGCTCTGGGATCGACGGGGGCGGCTTTGGGCTCGTGGACGGCCGGTACCTGAAAGACTCGTTTCGTGGGGGAATGCTCTTGATCTCTTGGTCTTCTGGAAGAACAGGCATCGAATCGACCATGAAGGAACTGCTGGCAGGTGCCGTTGGTACTGGTGTCGAAGTGGGAGGAAGGACGGTGACCTTGGTAGCCGGCTTCGAAGGTGAGGGAGACTGGGCGGACTCGGACGATCCAGATGACTGGTTCGAAAGTTCAGACGGCTCCTTGGACGGCGCTGACGCACTAGCCGGAGCAGGGAGCACCTGGCTAGCGACAGCAGGGGTCGCCGGCGACGCAGCGCTATCTTCGTGTGCAGCAGAACCCTTGGCACCAGGGACAGCCAGCTTTCCAGCACTTGACCTGCTGCCCCCAGCGTTCGCGCTGGTGCTCGACTCGGCCAGCGAAGCGGGAGCGCGCTCCTCGGGAATGGAGGGCGTGCTGGTGCGACTGACCAGCGACAGGTTGGAATGGCGGGCCGACTCGGTCTGGATGACCGAATTGCGGCGGGACCCGCCGGCGACGACTGGGCTCCTGGGGCTGACATCAATCAGCCGGGCCGAGTGGATGCTCGGCGAGCGAGGAAGGTTTGTGTTGATGGCGCTTGGCCGCCCGGGATCGGACAGAGCTGGAGACGCACGACCGCCTACGATGGAGACCCTCGAGGAGCGGACAATGCGGGGCTCTTCGATCGACACCTCGCCGCCGTCGTCTTCAGGGTCGTCCTTCTCATCCTCCTTGGCAGGCTCAGGGGCAGGCTTGGGCTCTTCCTTTGGCCGATCCTCCTTAGGAGGCTCAGCGGTAGCAGCCGGCTCGCTCTGAACATCCGGCTCAGCCTTGGGGCTATCAGGGGGCGACTGTTGACCCTTGTCCTCAGTGCCCGGCTCGTCAGAAGGCGAGATATAACGCCTTGGCGGGGGAGCAGGGAGCGAGTTTGCACGCTTCCTCGACGGGATGTCGGGGGTATGCGGCTGCGACGGCGGGGGAGTAAGTGGGGAGTTGCCCACGGGCAAGATCATGAGGCTCTTCGGCCTCGGGTGGACTTTCTCCTTCTGGGTCTCATCCTCGTCGGGCTCCTCATCACTGTAATGGGCAAGTCCGGGTACTTCGATCTCGGCAACGTCGTTGGGGCCCTCGGGCAGCGGAATTCTCGCAGCAATCTCGGCCTCGGTCAGCGGGGCCTCTTCTTCTTGCGCTGGCTGGGGCTCGGGCTCGGGCTCGGGTGCCTTCTCGTCGGCCGGCTTCTCGTAGGCCGGAATCTCAAGCTCGACGTTCATCGGCTCGGGGGCAGGCTCGGGTACAGTAGCAGGGACCATCAACTCAGCAGTAGTACTAGGCGAACGCAAGTGGCCTCCATAGGCGGCGCGCATCGAGTCGATTGATTGTGATCGATTCAGACGATCGAGGGTGCCAGAACCAGGCGTCCGGATCTTCTTCTTCCAGCTCCTCCACAACCTGCCTAGCGTCCTGTCGAGGGCAACACGCTCCATATCGAGCTCTTCGACGACAATTTTGTCGGCAACAACAGTCGGGCTGCGCGCACCCTCCTTCAGCTCCTTCTCGTACTTGAGCCTCATGCGATGGTAAGCAGCCTGGCCGGCCACGATCAGGGCCTGCTCGCCCATGAACTCGAGGATCGAGGTGAGGAAAATGGCGACGGCGGGAGAAACTGAGCTCTCCGCAGAGCGATCGTCGTAGGCGCTACCGAGATGTCCCTGTTCCATGTAGTAGTCTTCATCTTCCTCCTCCATATCTCCAAGGGACGAGTAGACCATGCAGCGCAAACGGGTCCTCTTCCAGGCCAGTTCGAGATCCCAGTCGGCTGGGGATGGCGTCTCCTGTGACTGGGCCATGATGTCTTCGTCATCGCCGCCGAGATACTCGCGCAATTCCTCGTCGGCCTGATTAATCGCATCTTTGGCGAGTTTCGGCTTCAGGACTTCGGTAACGGCTGGGCGCAGTGCCGACAGGGAGATCGACCGAGCGACGTTCAGAAAATTAAATAGCAGCTGATCGAGGAAGTTGTTAACCAGCTGCAGTGCAGCGGGAGAAACAACTGCAGGCTCGCGGCAGGGCTCGATGCCATGCTGATCGAACCAGGCCTCAGCGTGACTATCATGGTCGTTGGTAACGATCTGCGAGGCAGCCGAGGCAGCGATGTAGGCAGCCTCTGGGGAGATGGTTTGGGGCGGCGACATGAAGCTGTATGCGATGGTGGAGGGCCGGTCACTGGAAATGCTCTGAGCCCGGGACCGGGACCGCATCGTTTGTGTACCGGCGGGAGAGGCCATGGCCGAAGAGGGTCGGGACACGGGGATATCTAAAGGGGACGACATGGCTGCGTCGGACCAGGGCAAACACACAGAACCAGGGCCACGGCAGAAGGCAAAGGTGCTGGGCAGCAGGCCTGCACGACCCTGGGCAGCGACGATCGCTCGGCACCTAGGCTTACTACTTGCCGAGCTGCAGGTCTTCGCAGGTCTTCAACCGATTTGCGCAGGTGAGATGTGTGGCGGAGGACAAAGAGCGCCACCCATATGAGATGATGGAATGCCGTGTTCTTCTCTTTTTCTTTCCGGAGTCCAAGCCAATCCCAGGGACCGAAGGACTGCAGGTTCCCGTCCAGCAGAAGTGGGAGAGCGGTTGAAGAAAAAAGAACTTCGATATGAGAGACAGGGGGACAAGGGGGGTGGGGGGGGGGCTTGCTTGGATGAGGTGACGCAGGAAAGCTCGGTATGGTATCGCACAAGGATTGGACGGCGGAACAGGGGATGATCTAGGGTCTAGGAACCGGGTGATGGATAACGGACTTCGGATCGATCTTTCTCTCTCTCTCTCTCTCTCTCTTCTCTCTCTCGCTCTCGCAGGGCTGCTATATGGGGGCTATATACGGGGAGCTAAGTATAGCTCTATAGCAATTAAGCACGTATATACTGTCACCGCTGGTTAGTTGATGAGCTGTTGGAATTATTGGAAGCGCGGCACGACTGAAACATGGCCACTGCTGGGACCTGCGTAGCCGAGCGGAAGAACAGACAGAAAATGGACGGGAAACAGGTATAGGAAAGGTTCTGACAGGCAAAGCCAGCAGCACTCCATGCACGTGCAGGCTGGGCTGTTACAGTGTCGGTAGGATAAACTGAGTGTTGATAGAGAGCGCAGGAGAAGAAGTCGGATGAAAGCAGGATGCGACTGGGAGGGTATTGACATGGCATTCCCTTCTCGCTCCCCTTTCCCCAACGACTTTGGGGGTTCGTCCTTCTTCTCCTATGGCTCTCTATCCAGTCATATCCACCTATCGCCGGCACGGCGGCCTGATGATCCCGGTGCAACCCATCCAAAAGCCCGTGAGATTGGCAGACTTAAAGACTGGCGGCGAAAAAAGACGGAAGCCCGGCAAGGCAAAGGCAAGCAGCCGTGCGGTGAGACGGCGTCCCCTCACCATGCACAGCTTCCAAGTGGCCGGCGACAGGACAGGATGATGTGGTCGTGGCAGACGTGGCCTAGGGATAGATGCAGCAGCGCAGGCTTCCATCCTTCCATTCCATGCGGCAGCAGCTCCTCACAACAGCGAGTATTGTGTAGTGGTGCAGTGCAGCGCAATCAACAAAGGAATTAGGAAAAAAAAAAACACAAAATGGCAGCAGACAAACTAACCTGTAAATTGTGGTCTGTGATGTGTGGTGATGACGACAATACGATGTCTTTTGGTTGGCCTTGTCTCTCTAGTCAGAGGAAAGCGTCCCTGGCAGTTGACGTTGCACAGCGTCGTTCTCGTCGCGATTGGGAAGTGATCGAGGAAGGGAATGTCGGGGCGAGTGTCGAGGGCGTGGTGCTGCAATCAGCGCTTCACACACTGGAACACCGGGTCAATGAGTGGTTATCACAGCGCGGCTGGCTGTGGGAAAGACCGCAGGTCGGTGTCGATCGCAGTTGAATGTGTGTGTGATGGCGATAGTGATGGTGATGATGATGTTTGGTTAGGAGGGTGGATAGTTAGTTTACCATAACAGCCACGGGCATGTGGGTGGTTATGTTCACTGCTCTCTCTCTCTCCTCACACACGCACACACACATATCACATCTCCCCCCTCCCCCCGGATTCCAGATTAGCAGATCCCCTGAGATGGTCGACCAACCCAGTGCCCTGCACACGCTTCCAGTTTCCGCCGCAGAGAGCCCGGGTCCGGGGTGCTTGGCTCACATTGTCCACTCCCAGATGGGCCTAGCGTCGACAAAGGGGAAAAAGGTGCCTGAGACGGATTCCCAATCGCTTTACTGGGCGATCGCGGCAAGGGACCCTGTCTTGGCTGCGACTCTTGCTCCTGGAAAAAGATGTGCCATCCATTCTGTGCACAGAGGCGATGGCACTGCGATGCTGGGGCTTCTTTTTTTTTTTCAACAATTGTTAGAGTTTTGACAGGAAATTGCATGAATTGCACATCTCGTGATCTTTTTTTTCTAAACTCTTTCCTTCTGTTCTCAATGGCAGCACAGCTCCTTCCCAGCATGATGGAATGCTCCACTGCCCACGCAGTACCTATAAACAGTTCGGACCACAAGTGGATCCCTCTCGGCGAAGGTGGGATGGTGGACACATCAACCGGCTAGCACTGGGCCTAGGTTGCGATATCGCGCAGCGTGCATCTGACTCTGTACAGCATCCACACCCATTGTCCATGTCCATTTGCTTGGCCAGGGTCTACCAAGAATTTCCAAGGCTTCCACAACTCGGCACGCGCCAGAGCTTCAACGGTGTGCTATGCCGGCAAAATTCAATAATCTGCAAAACTGGCATGGCCGGAGAGGTTGTTATGCTCACGACTTATTCGCTTCAGTTGATTAATCTAAGGCTCAGCAGCATGTCCATTACTGACATCTGGATCCGTTGTTGGTTGGCCAATGGTCTCAGGTATGATTCAAGCACAGTACAACCTCCTGCAGGTCCATGACTGTGCTGCGCAAAAACAAAGCTGTCCACACAACAGCCATCTGCCGCAGCAGACGATGGATGGACGATCTGCCTCCTGAATCTATGTTTCGTTTCGACCAACTCCCAATCCTGCCTGCAGGTGGAGAAGGGAGATGCCAAGTAGGCGAGCCAGGGCCCAAGCGTCCACTCTGCCCAGAGCAGTGGAAAAGAGCTCCAGAAAGCTCCAGCGGAGAGTGGAGTTCATCGGATGGCCCATGCAGCTGTGCACTGGAAACTCTTTTTCAGATCACGGTGGCAAGTGCAACGATTGCAGCGCGATCCCATTGCAGCGATCCATCCTCGAATGCCACCTTCTTGCACAGGTCTAAGCTGCGACAGGAAAACAGTTTTTTTGCGAAATGCAATCCTCTGCTGCAACATCAAGGAGTAACAAAGCTGATCCGCTTCCAAGTGTCAAACAGGAGATTTTCTCTTCGTGACAAGTGAGCGTGTGATGGGTTGGTGGTCAGAGCCTTCAGCTCCTTCACTTTGCCATCGGGCGGATGGAGCAAATCCGAAATGATTCGAGTTGTCTTCACTGACAAGATCGACAGATGTCTTCAAGATTATGATGAGCCACAGTCAAGTTCTAAAGTCAGACCTGAGATCTAGCGTAATACTGGCTACTGCCACGGCGAGCGTTTACTTCGGAGAAAGCGTAGCTAAGGCTTACCTACAGGTTTTTAGTCGTCAATCATCACATCATCACAAATCACGTGCTCTCTGCAGGTGAGAGGACATGTCACACCTTGCTTTGACGTCGTAGAATCTGATGTGAAAATTGCAGCGGTCAGAGTGCAGGGTTCCGGGTGTCTAGGACATCCACTGCCAACGACCTTCAACTCCAGAATCAGCCCGTGATGATGATGATGCCGTGGAGACTTTGTCTTTATCCAACATCGATCAAGTATTTTGATCGGCAGTTCAATGCTTCAAAAAAGGTGAGCAGATGAGATCTGCGTTTTGGATACAACTTGAGTGTCCTCGCAATCACAAAATTAGAACACGAAACTGTTCTCAAAGACGCTGTGAAGATCAAACTCCATTCTCCATGACTATGCGACAAGCTGTCATGGCCAACCTGGATTGGACTAGAGTACAGCATGAAAGTATCCAACACACCAAACCCCAAACGCCGTCAAGTAATGGACAGTCTGTCAAACTTTCAGAGCTTGCCGCCCTTGTGCTTTGGCTTGGGCTTGGGCTTTGGTGCCGCCTTGAGGGCCTTCTTCGGTGTCTTCTTCAGTGCTTTCTTGGGACCCTTGTGAGGCTTGGAAGGCTTTTTCGGGTGAGGCTTGTGGTGCTTGGGCTTGGGCTTCTTGCCGCCCTCCTCACCTTCACCTTCACCCTCACCCTCACCCTCACCCTCGCCCTCGCCCTCGCCCTCGCCCTCGCCCTCGCCCTCGCCCTCACCTTCACCTTCACCTTCTCCCTCACCCTCACCTTCACCTTCACCCTCACCCTCACCCTCACCTTCACCCTCACCTTCACCCTCACCCTCACCCTCACCCTCGCCCTCACCTTCGCCCTCACCCTCACCCTCACCCTCACCCTCACCCTCACCTCCCTCCCCTTCCCCTTCACCGCCCTCCACCTTCTCCCTCGCCTTCTTCACCTTCCCTTCACCTCCTCACCTTCCCCTCGCCCTCCTCACCCTCACCTTCACCTCCCTCCTCACCACCCTCTTCCACCTCCCTCCTTCGCCGCCCTCTTCACCTCCCTCCTCGCCGCCTTCCTCGCCTCCCTCCTCACCTCCCTCTTCACCACCTTCTTCACCTCCCTTAGGCTTGCACGGCTTGGGCTTAGGCTTGGGTTGCTCCCAGCTGTCGCCACTACCGCCACGCTTCTCAATCTCCTTGTGCTTCTCCTCCTTATCCTCCTTTTTCTCCTCAGTCTTCTCAACCTCCTTTTCGGCCTTCTTCTCCTCCTCCTTGGCCGCAACCTTCTCAGCCTTCGCGGACTTGGCCTTGGCAGCTTTCTCGGCCTTGGCAGCCTTTACCTTGGGCTTAGGCTTGGGCTTGGTCTTGGTCTTTGTCGCAGCCGCCTTTGCCTTAGGCTTTGTCTTCTTAGCAGCAGCCTTGGCTTTGGCCTTCTTCGCTGCCTTAGCCTTAGCCTTTGCCTTCTTCTTCGCCTTAGCGTCCTTCTTAGCACCACCACGACGCCTTAGCTTCTCCGCCTGCTCATTATCCTCATCCAAACTGGACCCGCCCTCATCAGTATCAGTCGGATCGACACCTCCATTGTTGTCGTCATCATCGCCGTCATCATCCTGGAGAGACACGACCGTGGTCGTAGCAGCCGCCTGCTGGGCAGCAACAGTAGCCGTCGCCTGGGACAGAGTGTTGTTCAGGGCGGCAACAACGGCCGAGGCAGCAGGGGAAGAAGGGAGTTGACGCTTGGCAATAAGGGCTTCGGCAGCTGTCTCATTGACTTCTTGAACTGTGGTCGCGTTGGCAATTGTCGCGTTAACGGCGGGACGCTCGGCTGAGGGGAGGGCCCAGGCTGTTAGGCCTAGGCCTAGGGCAAGGAGAGGGAGGGAGGTTTTCATGTTGTCTTGTCAACGAGTCCTGTAGGGAGAAAAGGGACAGACAAGAGATGAACGAGTAGGTAGGAGTGAAGTCAGATTCCATGTGACTTGAGGCCCCCGAGCTGGTGAGAAAAAGGAGGGAAGAGAAAAAGGAGATCTCAGATCAGGGGGGTAATCTGCTTTATCCCCCCCGGCCCGAGAGGAGAAATTGCCCACAGACGAAGAAATTCCCTGCTTGAAGCTGTCTCTTGTCTCTTCGTCTCCAGCACCGATGAGCCCAGTACATTCAATGCGTGGATGATCATCTCCACGTTTCGCTGGATTACCTGGTCGCTCGGTTGTGCTCTGATCAGGAGAAACAAGGAAGAGAGCGAGTTGTCTCCAAACCGATGCAAATCTTCTGGGCCTGTTCGTCTGAACTACCCGCTGTCCTTACTGTGTTGAGGCCAGCCAGCCAGGAGCCATCGATTGCGGCTCCATATGCTGAACTTCTGAGTTTACCACCCGCTAAAGGATGACATGACGGCTGCCCCCCATTTCTCAAGGGGTCCTATTACACTCTATTCCTCCACGACTGATTTCCTTACTCTAACTAATCAGCTATACTTCTCTCTGTCCTCCCCGTCTGGAGCCAGACGACATATCTCTCTCCCTACTGGCCACTCCCAAGCAGACCGTCATTCTGCAACCTGTTCGTCTGAACGTTGGAAGCCTTGCTCCCATGACAGGGAACGAAGACAGAAGATCTGCAAGAACGGGTGGGGCGTGAGAGGTTAGGAACTTGTATAACGGTGCAAGGCCAAGAGATCGACAAGTTCGTTGTCTTGAGTGGAGACAAACAGGTTTGGGGAGAACTTGGAGTTGAGTGAGGTCACTGAGGTCTGTGAGGGGTCCAGTCTGGAAGGTCGTGACCATGTCCATAAGAGTAGGTAGACCGGAGACATTCATCCACCAAATCAAAAAGGCATAGAGGATAATCCAAGACAGCTATTAAATGCCAGAGGGCATACAGCCCCGTTCTTGAGGCCGATACTGGAAAGTCATCACGAACATCGGAAAGGCACCCCTGAAACCCCAGGTAATCCCTGAGTGTATCAATAATGACATCATCCATCCCCTTCTTCATGTAGGGGGCACGACTCCGATCCAGGCACGGTCTGCTCAGGCCGCACGGGATACACAACACGGGGTGAAGATCGATGGAATCACTTTCTTATTCCCTGTCTCCTCAGTCGCAAACACTCGAAACGAAACGACCAAGGACTGCCTGGTGTGTGTGTTTGTGTTTTGTATTTGTGTGTGTGTGTGTGTGTGTGTGTGTGTGTGTGTGTGTGTGTGTGTGTGTGTGTGTGTGTGTGTTTTTGAGAGGTGTGCTTGTAGTCTGTACGTAGAGTAGTAGTGCCTGGCCCGAATCCAGTTCTCAATACTTTCTCAAGGACGAGATGCAATGACGTTCAAGTCTGACCCCCCTTACTCTCCTCATCTTGAGTCCTACTCCCTCTCCACCTTGCTTCTACCCCATCACCAACTCAACGGCTGGAAATCTCGAACCTACTGTGTCCAGATAGATGCACGACCCTCCAAACGATGATTATGCTCAGAAAAGGCTTTGCCAACCCACCGTACACATCAACACCCGACCAGAGCTAGCGTTTTGCGGAAGAGAAAAAAAAAGAGTGAAAAAAATGCAAACCCCTCCCCTTCTTCCCTATCATGGCAAGTTCACACTGGCTCCCAATGTCGTCATCATAATCACGAGTCTGTCTCCTCGGGAGGCTCAGTAAATATCCCCACGCGCATGCGATGGCTCTGTGGAAGAAAAACCCTGTTAGCAAAAAGACAGCCCCACATACCGTCTAAACATCACCAGGGGATTAGACTCACAAATGGCAGCTTGGGAATAACAACAGCCAGCACAGCAAGGAAGTTAATAGTAAAATACGCCATATCGTAGTGGGTATAGTGGGTGCTCAGCAGGAACAGCACGATGGGCACGCTGAGCAGGAACTTCTTGGCGGGAGTGTACTGTGCGCCGTCATCAATCTGCTCCCACATGTTGAGGTTGTCAAAGGCGCCGCCGTTCGAGTCGAATGGCACGCCGCGCACGTAGTGGAACATGATGTACGAGCCCACCATGTATGTGATGTTGGTCAGCGTCCAGGATGTCTCCTGCGACACGCCTGGGATGCTGTCGTAAAAGATCTTGAGGAGTACAATGATGACGATGTGGATGGTCCAGGCGCCTGTTTTGAGGGGGAAGAGTCAGCACAGATCCCACAGTCGAGAGTCAAGCACCTGGGACAGCAGGGCGCACATACCCTTGGCATTGACCCAGTTGGCGTTGAGGTTTGGCAGTGTGGACTGGTCATTCAGCTGCTCAATGGGCTCGAGCGGCTCATGGTAGACCTGGAGGATACTGCTAGATCTCCTCCGACGAGTCGTCCTGTCCGTCATGTTGCCAGGCGCAGCTCCTCGACGCGGAGGATTTGTGCCCGCGTCGTAGGAGACGGTGCGAGTGAGCAGGATTGGGGAAGACAGTTTGGCGGTATTGGCGTCGTCGCTGGGGTGCGACGCTGCGGCTCTACTATGTAGGAAGCACTTTGTACAAAGACAGCTTTTATCCCAGGGCTCAATGAAGGGCTGAGCTGGGCAATGTGAATAGACTTTAGGCGGTAAGAGAAGTAAACTGTGGGCGGATTCGACGAACGACGGCACAGCCTAGTCGAGGTCGAGCAATTAGCGGCGAGTCTGTGCGATGATGTCACAGTCGCAGCGCGTTGCCTGTGGGATTCGAATTCGAATCGTCGAGGCAATGAATTGACGGGAAGATGGTATGAGGGATGGGCAGTAGGTAGGGCTAGGAAACACGGGATGCAGGTGCAGATGCGGAAGCGGGATGGCAGCGGAATGCGGAAGACGGGTCCGATGGTGGTATTGGCCGGTGAATGTGGAGGAGTGCCGTGGCCTGGGAGTGGTTGGACGGCGTTGTAGCAAGTCGCGGAGGTCGCTACAGGGTGCTAGGGTGCTGCGGTGCCGCGAAAGATTTTTGAGGCTCAAAGGGGGCAGAGGCCAAGATGGCAGAATGGAGAGCGCCCAGTCGCCAAAACGGAGAGTGATCAAGGAGTTCGAATCGAGCGCTTGCGACGGCACAATCTCCAATGGCCGTCTGCCTCTGGGCTCGATAAACTCGGCAATGCACAGGCTCCGCGAGGTCAATGGCCGGGCGAGCGAGCGGTCGACGAGATGCGTGCAGGAGAGTCCGCAGTTTGGTGGCAATGTGGCCAGAGGACGGCCGAGACGACGCAGAGAAGATGAAGGCTCCAGATACCTCCACCCTGGAGTGCCCCCGAAGTTTGGGGGAACAACGCAGGGGTCACGGCAGCGCTGCGCACTAACACTTCGTCCCGTATCGCCCCGTATCGTACGCAGCTTGATACGCGGCCGATACCTCCCAGAATACGAGACAATACGTACGTATTGTCAATACAGCTACGTAACTTACTGATTACACGCTAATACCGCGTTTATTATCAGGGCTGGTGCTCGTATTTTCCATCGCGTAATCTTTCAGTGCGGAAACCTTACTCCAGCCCTGACCTAGCCACAGCCAGCTGACTAAGAAACTTACGCAAGCCAAGACAAGAGCGACTCGTGCGCCAACGCGCTGATCGTATCGATAACCCAAAATTCTTGATTACAATCGCGGTCCGCGGACAGCGACTTCACGAAACGAGCCGAAGCGAGAGCGTGTGTGGATTCCATTTCCATTCCTGACGCGCGGCTGCACTCCAGGACCGCAGGGAAAGCCTTCGGAAAAGATCCATTCGCACGTCATTTCTCGGTTCATCCGGAACTTTCATCCCGGCGCCGCCAGTCGGCAAGGTTGCCGCCCTGGGTCCTTGACCGACCGAAACGAACATCCGAGTTCCAGGCGGCGGCCGGGGGGGAGGGGAAGGCCAAAGGGCAGGATCCGACCTGTGTTTCTACTCTTTGCGCGTCTGAAGGGTTATTTAGCACCTCCCCGCAGTCAAGAACCATGGCTGAACCCACGCAGTCCGACAACACAGCCAACCAAGATGCAGTTGATGTCGTGAGCACACCAAAGGCGAACGTTGATCCGAGCTCATCCCCGCTAGCATCAACCCAGAAGCGGTCGGCTGACGACGCCGGCATCGACGATGATGACTCAGGATCCACAAGCCAGCAGAGTCCAAAGGAAGACGAGAGCACGCACGATGTAGGAGACGACAAGGCATCCGAAGCTTTGGCCCAAGCCAAGAGGGTCAAGCGGGGGAGCCCAAGCGGTACCCTAGGTTCTCCCAAGCCACACGTGGGATGGAATCGCGGGGTTACGAACAACTTGCGCACTTCTTTCGGTGGCGGCTTCAGCAGACTGAACACATTGCGAAAGCCCCCTACAGCTCCCGCATCGCAGAATGAGCAGGACGCAACCCCTCAGCTTAAGGAGGAGCGAAACGCGAAGTTCGAGGAAGGCTCTTCGTCCGCTAGTCGGCCAGATGCCCCGGCTTTGTCTACGAAAGAGATCAAGGAGGTTCAAACAATAAAGTTGACTCAAGTTCAGACAGTGCCGCAGGACGACCAGCGGTCCTTGACAGCCCCAGAATCAGTTCAAGAGGCCCTGCAGTTTTCGCAGGCTCCTACGGCAACCACAGCAACCTCTACGACAAGCCAGGAAGCAGCGGCATGGATACAACCCCCGCCCAGGCCGGCCGTGGACTTTGAGAACATCCGCAACAAAGACCAGCAAGGTTGGGAGGGTATCTTTCTTTCTTGGTGCAAGTCTCTCAATTATTTCAACAACAACTCCATCCGTGCTAGTACTGCGCGTGAGCGCCATCGCATTCTCGAGACCTACTTCACTTGGGTCGGTTCTATCCAAGGCATTTCCAAAGCCAAAGCATCCTCTGCGCGCCGCGCTGCAGTCGAGTTCGCGCAATCTCATCAGGAACAACTCGCCGAGTGGTTTTTGCAAACCTCGACTCCTGAGATCGAGCCCACCATGGGGTCTCTTGACGAACCCAAGGGCCCCGAGGCCATCGAGAACGGCGCTGATACCGTTAATAACCAGGCTTCCCTCACCAACGCCACAATCACCGACATGGAGATTGAGCACCGCGCACACTACTTCCCGGGAGCCGAGATCCACGAAACCTTCTGCATTGTCTGCGCCTCCTCCGGTCACTCGTCCAACCACTGTCCCGAATTGACCTGCAAGCACTGCCAGGCCGACTGGCACCGGCCCTGGCAATGCCCGACGCGCCAGCGCTGCGGCAAGTGCAAGCAGCTGGGCCACCATAAGAGACAGTGCCGGGAGAAGCTCATCCTGCCCGTCGACGAGCGCGACTGCGCCCATTGCGCGTCGCGCGACCACCAAGACCACCAGTGCCCGACTCTGGTCAAGAGCTTCATCGTCCGCGAAGGCGAAGAGTCCCGCCTTCGCAAAGTCCAGGCCGTGCCCATTTACTGCTATTCGTGCGGCGCCAAGGGCCACTACGGCCCCGAATGCTGGGTGAACCGCAACCAGCCCAGGAACGCTGACCCCTGGGCCGCCTCCTACAGCGTGGCCAACGCCGCGCGGTACGTCGACCCGGCTTCGACCGAGATCGCTGTCGCATACCAAAGCGCGAGGGGCTCGACCCAGCCCCAGGAGGATGATGCCGGCCGCCCCAACCTCGGTCACTCCATTGTGCCTCAACGGCACATTGTTTTTGAGGACGATGAGGACGATGACGAGGACGAGGGGTTCATCCGGCCCCTCGTCTCGAGGAACCAGCCCGGGGCCGGCAACCGCGCTGGCCAGATCAGGATCGCTGGGACTGCCAGTGCCGGCGGCAGGGGCACTGCCGGGCTGCCGCCGCGCCCGCCCCATCCGGCTCAACAGCAGCTAGGCCAGCAGCATGGCGGCGGCGGCGGCAGCCGGAAGAAGCGCCGGGGTGGCCGTTAGGTCGGTGCGCTGCTTGGAACCCCTATGGGTCTCACTAGTCGACGCGGGCATTCCTCCAGAGCCAGCAGCAGCCAGCAGCAGTGTTGGCGCCGGGCAAGTTGTTGGGGACCACTGAGTGGGGCAGCTTTGGGGGGCCGCGGCTGGCTCTGCTGCTCGGGGATCTGATCTGGTAGATCGAGCCAAGAAAAAGTTTCCGAGCATGATCTTTTTGTTGGCGGTCCGGGTTATGACACAGCCCAGACGCCAGAAGGGTCACGAAAAAAAAAACCGTGATATTGTATGATGTTCGCTTCTGTCTCCAAGAGACAGAGCAGTTGTACGGGTGGCGCCATGAGCACATATTTTTGTTAGGTGTTTTTCATGTTCATGCTCATGTAAAGCACCTGCATTAGAGACGGTGGTTTGTTTTTACGGTTATTTTTTTAAACCTACGGATACCTATTAGGGAGCAAAATGGATGAATGGATGATGGATAGGATCCTGGGGTTACTATAGGTAGAGCACTGGGATCGCAACATCAATGAATGGATTAAGTTAACCGGATTGAGATAAAGTTCCCGGTGGTCTGATTTGATCTGCAAGTGATCTTGACAATGTTCGATTGCCGATGTCTTACCAAATCTACGCTGCGATTTTGGTCCTGCAGTGATGATGATGATGAGATCAGCCTTTTCATAGGTAAGTGCCATCTCATTTCCAGATGGTGGCGTGTTTCATCAGAGTTGTTATGAGCACACAGGGTCGATCGGCGGAGAATATCCGGCCAGCTTGAGGCGGAGGTCGATGGGGTAATCTGCGTGGGTTCGGTTGGAGTTGAGAGAGACTTGCTTGCCGACGACTACAGACATGCATTACGTTGACGGGACAGAAAAGACTGCAACGCTCGACGTGGCTGCAAAATGCCTCGCGTACCTGCACCGCGCTACTCGGTCGCGCGATCGTGATGGGGAGAAGGGAGCGGTGAGGATTGGCTGGGAAGTTTCGCTACCTGCGGATGTGATGCGTCATTTGTCCTTGCAGTAGCGTCCTTGAAATAGACATCATGATGGAGTTGCGCAAGAAGAAAGGGTTTGCGAGTGTCGAAGCTTGAAGCGGTCTCCTACTATTGAGAAGACCACGTAAGGTCGACGCCTCCTCAAGATGAGTTGGCACAGCGACTATTCAACTCATTGGGTTTTGCGATGGCCAGCTAGTCGTCAAGGGTTTTTAGAGCGATGCCAACTCACTTGAGATGGCGACACTCTTTGACTCAAATGCCATAGGGCTAAAGGCAGCGTCGTCGAAAACGTCACAGAACCATTTGCGCCTCATTTCCTGCGTCCTCCCTGGCATCCGGGCCGAGTCGGCTCCTTTTCTGGAGGCCGACCCCTTGGGCATGTATAGGGCCTTTGAGCTGGCTGCGACCTGGCTCCCCACACTCGCGCCAAATTCGCGCGACCGCCACGCGAGCCCGAACGCGGGGTGCCACGCCCGCGACGCGCAACTGCCGGCAAGCTCTATTGGAGCTCGACCCTGTCCGATCGCGTACGGCACGCGCTCTTATTGGCTCCCACCACGTGAGGCGCGGGGCACGCGTTATCGATAGCGCTTCCCTATCCGAGCCCCACAGCCACGGATGACTTGTGGACGGTAAAGATGCGGGGAACCGTCACCGTCCAGCCAACAGCTTTCGTCCATCCGACGTCAAAACGTCCCGTCCAATCTTGTGTCGGGGAGGGTCGAGTGCAGCCTCAGCCTGCAGCAGACGTTTCTTCTTACGAGAGATGTGGTTGGGCGAAATGGGAGGGAGCTTGAAACGGCCTGCAGGAGGGATGCATTGGTGTCAGCCAGTTGGAAGGCGGGGTTGGGGTCACCGATGGTTGTCAACGAGTGACGGCTCGAATGGTGAGTGGTTATTTGGATTTTTCTGGACGGGAAAATCTCTTCCAAGTCGGCTTGAATTGACTGGATGAAATGGACGAGGCACCCCGAGGGAGCCCTACCACTTCCTATTTGGTCAATGGAGATGAAGAGTTCAAGAGGAAGGGAGGAAATGGTCCCGCGAACTGGTCACAGCAAGCGGTTTGCATGCTGTGGACGTCGCCGATCCTCACGTCTGCGTCCCGTCCAGGGAACCTGCAGTCTCTGCAGGACGGACACCATCGGAGAATGGTTGAGCATCGAATGACTCACCGACTGCCAGTCGTTTCTGGCGTTGCTGCGCGGTCTGGGGCGACGCCACACCGCACCGCAGCCCCCTCCTGTAGCGCGGCTTCTTTCCCAAATTACGCACGCGTGGACTAGTGTCGACAACGCAACGCAACGTAGGACTGGACTCGGCCGGGGTTTAGATGGATGGAGTAAGAGATGAGGAGAAGATGGTGGCAGATTTGGGGAGATTGGGAACAGGGGAGTAAGGTGGTTGGATTTGGATTGTTCTTCCTGTCCGGACCACATTGCCCCCGCCTTTTGTCAAAGTGATTCGGCCCCTCGGGGGAAGGGGGGGGGGGGAGGTTTGGAAGGCCAATTGATATCCTCTGCTCCCTCTCTTCTCTCCTGATCTAGTTATTCCAGTTTTCTGTTTCCTCGACTCTGGCTCTGCGGCTTAATGTTTGTTTAAGTTGTTGTTGTTGATTAAGGTAAAGAGAAGGAAAATAATATCGCAATCATATCCTACACCGACTGAGAAAGTCGTGTACGGTTTTGTTTACTTTCATCGCCCTCAGGGGCGTCTCTTGTTATTGTTGCCGCGCTGCTGTTGTCATTGGCCCTTAACCAACTTACAAACCTGCTTTGCCATTTCTCACCTGCAAACGACATCTGATTTCCCCATAGATCAGTCGAGCAAAACATCAAGTCAACCCTCCTGAAGCCAGCGACAAGCGCCGCATCGACTCACACACGCATCTCATCCCAGTCCAGTCCTAGCCAGACTTTACGACATGCAAACAAGATGGCCGCCAGCAACCCTCAAGCTTTCTACAATCTCTGGCAGGCCGATGCCATCCGCGAGCGTCTTTTCGAGCTTCTTTCCAAGAAAGACATCTGCGCCATCCGGCTAGCAAACTCGGCCTGCTGCAACCTCGTCACCAAGCGCCTGTTCCTGCGCACAACCTTAACCTTCACGGCCAACTCCTTTACCCGTCCCAGCCGGATAGATGCCCTCTCTAGGGTAGGACATCACATCGAGCATCTGACGTTCTACTTCCCCCATTCTAATGCGACCTTCCTCCCTCCATTGGTACACCCGCGCACGGGGGAGGAGATCTCCTTCCTCTACAACCCCGTGACATCCCTCGAATCGTCTCTCACAAGGCCGAAATATGCCAACGACGAGCTGGCCGAAATCCTGACGCAGCAATATTCGCCCCTCTTCCACGCCGCGACACATGTCCCCTCCTTCATCTCAGCCTTCTCCCAGCTGCCGAACCTAAGGCACTTGACAGTCAGGACGCCAGGGCAGGATCCAAGCGAGAGGTACCGTCGCGACATTGTTGACTATGCCCTCATCAGCCTGCGCATCGCCGTCGAGCGTGCGCCGCTCACAAAGCTGAGTAAACTCTCCCTCTCCGGGGTGCATCCTTCGGCACTGCACTACCTGCGCCACGCCCCCGGCGGGGGGATGGGCACGTTGCCCTCCGCAGCCCAGCGCTGGCGGCAGATCAGGAAGTTGTATATCTCTATCGAGGCGTGGGACTTCTACGGTCCGTGTCCGGGACTGGACCAGTTGAAGATCATTGATGATTTTATCAGGGCGTTTGCGGCGGGTTTGGAGAAGTTTTCTTTCTCTTGGCTCGGTAGGAGGGGCCCGTGTCCGCTGGCGCTGGCGAACGATCCCTTATTTGCGCCGCCTAGGAGCTCGAGGAAATTGTTTGCTGAGGTAACCAGTCCGATGTCGCCTCTGCCAGTGAGACCGCCAAGGGCGATGATTGTTATGCCTAAATTGAGGTACATGTGCGTGAAGAATGCGACGATGAATGTGGAGCAGTTGAGGGGGCTGGTTGCTGCGCATAAAGGGACGGTGAGGGAGTTTGATTTTGACAATGTTGCACTGATCAAGGGCGGCAGTTGGGATGAGGCTTTGGCACCCCTTACTGAGGGAGGGAAAGTCGAATGTGAGGGGTCGCCGATGGCTAAGGAGGTGTGGTCCAGGAGGTCGGTGCTTAGCATCGATGACAGGCCGCTCACGTCGAAGTCGAATTCAGCGAGTTTGGTGTCAAGCTCGGAGGATGAGGAGATCCCTACGCCGTCGGCAGCTGCCCAGGCGGCTAGCAGGGAGCTGTTTGAGGTTGATGTAATTGAGGGGATGCTGTTTGGAGGACTGAATGATGTTGAAAAATTTGAACAAGATGTGGAGGCATGGGCGAGGGAGGTTACTGCTGCTGCTGCTGCTGCTGCTGCTGCTAAACCCAAGACGCCCGAAAAGAAGGCTGCTGAGGTTGATGATGGTGGTCTGGCGTCAGATATTGAGGCAGCGCGGTTGGCTAGTGAGAGCTTTACTACCAAACTCAAGAAGCGCCGCGTGCGCAAGAAGAGAAGTAACGAGGGAGAGCAGAAGCCAGAATCGGGCACTATCACAGAGCAGAAAGAGGTTCGCGAAGAGCCCAAGAGCGGTCACCACGGCAAGGAGCCCCGCCATCACCATCGCTCTCACCACAAACACTCCCGCAGCGACGATACCAGCGACCGCATCTCGCGTAGACACCATCGTCGTCACAGGAGGCACTGCTCCGAGGATACAACCGCCAGTGTCCCCGTCGCTCTGGAAATCTCTGTTCCCGAGAAGCTGCCCACTCCCAACGCGAGCCCCAAACACACCGTCACCCCTCACTTCTCACCTTCCAAGCATCGGCCTACCACTCCGGAACTCACACCCCCCGCACCAGAAGACGAGCGCATCAGCATCCCGATTCTTAGTCCCGATGCACTGCCTGTTCTTCTCCAACCTACGGTCTATGACCCCTCTGCTCCCGGAAAGCATCGTCATCGCAATCCTGTGCTGCCCCCTACCCCCGAAGAGTCTCCCTCTGCAGCTTCCATCCCTGAGGACGAGAAAAACGAGGCTGCTGCCCGAGCTTCGGCTCTGCAACGCGCCAAAGAGGCTGTTATGACCAAGCTCTCTAAGGAGTACACCCATCGGGCCAAGGAGAAGCAAGAAAGCGAGTGGACAGCATCTGCAGCTGTGCAAGCCAGCCTGAGCGCCTTGAATCTGGGCGTCAAGACGTCTGCTGAATCAGGGAGTTTCCTGTCTGGGGATTTGGACTGGGAAAAGTACGGGCATGGATTGACGCACACGGGGTCGTCGGGGAGTATTGGGAGTCGGTTGAAGGAGGGATTGTTTGGACGGAGTTTGGCGAGTGTGGCTGCTGCCGCTGCTGTGTGCCATCATGGGAATAGTTGGGTGTCGGATGTGAGGGGGAGTGTTGAGAGTCAGAGCGCGTTGGTGCCGTTGATATTTAGTCGGTCGTGAAGATGACGCTAAGGAGTTGTATATTAGGAAAAGGAAGGGTAGGTGAAGGCGTTTCGGTTGGGTAGGCAACGGTCAGGGGCTGGGTTGGATGGGTTGAATGGCTTTGGATATGGGATGGTTGGAGGGAACATGGACTGGGCTTCAAGGGGATAGGATGGAGTTGATGGTTTGGGGTTCACGATGGCACTACCCATGACTTTTGGCGTGACGGCTATGATGATGGTTACGATGTTGATGACTTAATAGTCCCTCGAAGGACTGATGACTGTGACAACCTGATGCTAACGATGGTTATGACTTGTAATGACGCTGACGACTGATTACTGACGATTTTTCTTGGTAGATTTTTTTTTTGGATTGTTTGGATGAACTGATAATCTGTTAAAAGCTCTGTGTCTATCCTCCAGCAGTGAAAGGTATAACGAAAGACATAACCCTCCACATTTTAGTTTTTTTTTTTTTTTTTTTTCCATTTTGGATTGAACTCTTATTTTTGAAGCTGCTGACGTGTTAAGGAGGCACTTGAGGGTCCTGGAATGAGTCGATGGTGGCGGTGTTGACAGACAGCATTCCATTGGTACTCTAAGATCTAACAAAAAAAAAAAAAAAAAAAAAGAACAGCACAAGTTGGGCTCACAGATGTTCCTTGCAGAGCAGAACAGCTTGATTTGGTATTGCTCAATTTTGGGCCATTTTGTTCGCAATCACCATGGTTGATGCAAAGGATCATGGTTGTCAGGACCCCAGGTCACTCGAGCGCAGGGATCACCTGGCTCAACGCTTCCTTGTGCAGGGATTGGTGGATCCAAAGCTGGAACTCCGTGGGGTCCCAGTGGGTCAGCTTGGATTGGAGACAATGGTACTTGGCTGCTTCGGGCTGCCGCACCCACTCACGCGGGCTTGGCCCCTGGCCCCAAACGCAAGAAGGGGAAAACGGGCGAGGAGCCCTTTTGGCGCCTTTTCATCTCATCATTCAACCCTGATTCCTCGGAGCGAACCGAGCCTTGACCTCAGCTCGACTCGCCCAGAACTCCATTCCTTTTTTCTGCTCTTGTCCTGTCTTGCGTTGCTGCCTTGTGATCCGATCGATCAATCGACGAAATTGACGACTGCATGCTGAAGAGATCGACAAAACACGCAAAGCACGCGGCTAACGGATTTTCGACGGAATTGAGCATCTTTAACTTTCAGAGGCAGAGCAGCACAAACGGCGCACATCACCCGCCAACAGGCTCCGTCAGCGAAGGACAGAGTGCCTGCAGAGCCTGCAGAGGGCCTCGGTGCCGTCTGATTTCGCCCAGGCACAAACACCGTCCGCCTGGCGTTAACTCTGCATCAGACGGCTCGCGAGATACGGCCATCACCGGCAACGAGACGAGACGAGCAAGAAAAGTCTTTGCCAGACCCGACGGTAGCCCAACGATAGCATTCCGCCAATTCACGGGTCACTGCCCTGCCAGATAGCGACCGCCGCATCGATAGCCAACAGCCAGCTCGGGCGCCCGACCAACCTCCCGATTCCACACTCAAAGTCATTCATGCTCCCAATCCCACACTCCGCCCGCCCAACCTGGAGCTCCTAGGCTTCCGTAGACGCGCGGGCGGCGGCGAGAAGGACGCAGCCTTAGCCGGACTGCCAAAGCCCTGCGCAAAGGAACATGCGTCCGATGCGTCCGGCAGCAGCGGCAGTAGCCCTTCGTTTACGACCTCCTCCGAGACCCTCTCCGTCAGCCCCGATCACCCCAGGAGCCGGTTGAAGATGCGCGTCGCCATCCGCGAGCAGCTGGCCGCCCTGGTCATATTCTCCGTGCTGGTCGCCCTGGCCATCGTTGCGATTCCGACATGGATCTCCGTCAACAACTTTGTCATTGGCGTGCGCTCCGACGGCCTCGCCCTGACCGCGTCGCTTAAGGCTGCCCGCATCTCGAGCGAGATCGAGCTGATCCAGACTGCCTGCCAGACCATCTCGACCCGCGTGCAGCTGCAGAATGCCCTGTTCGAGTTCTACAGCAGGAATTACCACAACATTACCGACAAGGATGACCCCTTCCAGTATGCTCGCGACGACCTGGTAACCGCCTTGGGCCGCACCGGCTTCTCGAGCCTGCTCCAGGCTCGTCTGTACTCGCGCAACACTACTGGCCCATCTACCGGCTTGTTGAACGTTACGGGCATCGGAGCTACCGACGGCGGTCGCATACTCCTCCCCTACAAGGCTCCCGACGGCTCGGATGTCTATCTCGGCGACGAGCCCTGGGGCTATCCGCCGCAGCTGTATCCCAACGTCACCTACCGCGATTTGGACCGCCCAAGCGCCTACTTCAACAATACTTCCGCCTTCTCCGCCGAGGTATTCCCCGGCGTGTCGCTCGGCAACGGCAGCAGCTACAATGGTGTCTTGCTCGGGCCCCTGGTCGTCAACTCGTCCTTTGCCCTGATCTCTATCACCACCCCTGTTCGTTACACCGGCAACGGCTTCATCCTGGGTTACATGACCCTTGTGGCCATGGCCAAGACTCTGGTTGACGTCCAGACTTCCCGCGAGGGTTTGGGTCGGACTGGCGCTGTCCTGTTTGTTGGCTCTACGAATGTCTGGAACCACTTCAACGACTCGGTGGCCGCCAGCAATGCCACCTGGACCCCTCCTGAGGAGGAGTTTGAGCGTCAAAAAGTTCACTTTTTGCTGCCTCCTCCCGACATACCAGGAGAGTCAAGTCGACACGAGCATCGGCGATTCTCATCTGGCCGATACGACCAGCCATTTGAGATACGACAGTTTCCCATCGTACGAAACGTATTGGGCCGACAGAACGACGAGCCGAACAATGCAACGAGCATCTTATCGAGTACTAATGAACAGGGGCGCACAGTAGCCGTCGGCGCCGCCCGACCACAGACCTCTCTAGTCTCATGGGCCGTGGTCGTTGAGCAAGACGAGAGCGAAGCGTTTGAGCCGATGCGAAAGCTACGGACCATCCTCCTGGGTTGTGTCTTTGGGACCCTCGGTCTGGTGCTCCTGATCACTTTTCCGATCGCCCACTGGAGCGTCAAGCCCATCACCCGGCTCAAGATGGCCACGGAAAACTCCATCGCCCCTCCTGGCTACGAGCAGGACGACAATGAGTCATGGTGCGACATCGAGAACCGTCATAGCAATGGCGGCTGCACGACTTCAGGCAAGTCCGAGAAGAGACCGTGCCCGATCGAGCGGCTGCGAAGGAAGCTGCGCCATCGCCGCAAAACCAAGCTGCGGCAGGATATGGCGGCTATCGAGTCGAAACGCCGCGCTTTCAAGATTCCTGCCCGCGTCGAGGTCGGCAAGCACCTGGTAACGGATGAGTTGACTGAGTTGACCCAGACCTTCAACGCGATGACCGATGAGCTGCTCAAGCAGTACACCTTGCTCGACGAGAAAGTCGCCGAGCGCACTAGGGAGCTTGAGATCAGCAAGAAGGCGGCTGAAGCGGCCAACGAGAGCAAGACTCTTTTCGTGGCCAACATCTCGCATGAGCTCAAGACGCCGCTCAATGGCATCATGGGCATGTGCGCCTACTGTCTAGCGGAGAACGACATCGGCAAGATCAAGAAGGCCCTCAACACCATCCAGCAGTCGGGCGAGCTGCTGCTGCACCTTCTCGAGGACCTGCTCAGCTTCTCCAAGAACCAGATCGGTCAGCAAATTGCCCTGGAAGAGACTGCCTTCCGTCTGAACGATCTGCGCCAGACGATCTTGGGCACCTTCCGGCAGCAGGTCAAGGACAAGAAGGTCAACTTCAGCGTCACCTTCGTCGGTATCGAGGGCGCCGACGCGGGAGAGGCCATCGGCGGCAAGAAGCTGCCTGCCCTGGCCCCTGGCGGCATTGGTCGCCTCAAGGACATGACCGTCTGGGGCGACCAGCACCGCATCATGCAGGTCATCATGAACCTGGTCAGCAACAGCCTCAAGTTCACGCCGCCCGGCGGCCAGGTCAGCGTGAGGATACGCTGCTTAGGCGAGGCAGAGCAGGGCAGTGATGACAGCCGCGCGTCGTCCTTCTCACGGTCAGGGTCCGGCCGCGGCGGACGAACCCGTCATCGCATGGGCTCGACGAGTGTCGGTTCAGGTAGCGCGCCGCCGCTGAGTGTGGTGCCGACCCCTCCAAGCGGCGGCACTGCGCTGGCGATTAACCCGCTGGAGCCGAAGACACAGCACGTTTCTGTGCGCGAGCGGTCGCCGACACCGCCGCCGCCGAATGCGAAGACGTATCTGTTCGAGTTTGAAGTCGAGGATACCGGGCCGGGTATTCCCGAGTCGATGCATGAGAAGATTTTCGAGCCGTTTGTGCAGGGCGAGCTCGGCCTAAATAAGAAGTATGGTGGTACTGGCTTGGGCTTAAGTATTTGCTCGCAGTTGGCCACGCTTATGGGTGGCCATATCACGCTGCGGAGTCAACTGGGTGTTGGGACGACGTTTACGATGCAAATTCCGCTGAAATACGTCAAGGATCGGTAGGTTTCTTGCTATCTCCATCATACATGACTTCTGTCTAACGCTGAAAAGCAACCCCAGCAGCACATCCAGCAGCCTCAAGTCGCGGCCGGGAAGCATCGGCTCGGTCGACGCCATCACCAACGGCCCGCCGTCGAAGCGCAACTCGGCTGAGATGCAATCTCCCCCTAGTCTCGACCAGTCCTCTTCACGACTAAACAGCCTCACCCAAGCACTCTCCAATTGCCCCAAGCGCATGAGCAGCACAACAAGTAGCAGCAGCACCCTCAGCAAAGAAGAACAACAAATGGCAGCCCTCACCCAGGCCCTCACCATCAAACCGTCCGAGAAGGGGGGGAAGCTCCGCGTGCTTGTCGCCGATGACAACACTGTCAACATCGAGGTCGTCTCGCGCCTGCTCAAGCTCGAGTCCATCTACGACGTAACCATCGCCAAAGATGGGCAAGAAGCCTACGAGCTCGTGAAGAATGCCATGGAAACTGGCGAGCGATTCGACGTCATCTTTATGGATATCCAGATGCCCAACCTGGACGGGTTACAATCGACTCGGTTGATCCGCGCCTTGGGTTACAACGCGCCGATCGTCGCGCTGACGGCCTTCTCGGAGGAAAGCAATGTAAAGGAGTGTATGGAGAGCGGCATGAATGAGTTTTTGAGTAAGCCGATCAGAAGGCCGGCGCTCAAGCAGGTGTTAGCGAAGTTCTCCACGATATTGGAGGAGCCCGGAGAGAATGGCAGTGTGCATGTGCAGTCACCTAACGGGGGCACGCCAGCACGGACCCCTGAGGGGGAGAGGGGAAATCCAATGGAGAAGGGGGCGAGTACCGTGAATGGGAATGGATCTCCGTCTGATGGAAACTCAAACTCAACGTCAAGTTGAAAGTTTAAGGATTTTTGAAGGCTGTTCTTTCTAAGTGTGTTTATATTTGGGGTTTCCTTGGGGTTTATTTCGGGCATTTTACGTTACGGATACACCTTTTCTCGCCTGCATTTTATTTTATTTTTATTTTTCTGTGAGGTTTGTTTGGAACACATACAACACAGCAAGCAAGCAAGCAAGCAAGCAAGCAAGCAAGCAAGCAAGCAAGCAAGCAAGCAAGCGGCGATTCTCTCCATTACTTTTGAAGCATGGCGTAGGGAGGGTTTCTAAGGGTTTCATATACAGAGAGATTACAGAGGCTTGTCACTAAAGGATGAGCAGCGAAGGAAGAGAAAAAACTGAAGCACAAATGGATGGGGAAAAATACTGGGCTGGGTTTCTTCTCGGGTTATATTTTTTTTTTTTTTACAGGCACAAACAACTACTCCGTGCTCGTGGCGGTTTTATAATTGAGATTCAACTAAGGCAGAGCAGCAAATAATGCGATTTAAGCTCGCCTTAGCGAGTTTGTTTGTAACATATTCACCTTGAGCTTCTTGATGCTGTGGTTCAGTGCGAAGTATTGCAAGACCCATCACCCTACCCTGAATGGACCCGCTCGGAATCTTGATATCCCGAGTTCGGCAGCCGGACCCTCAACAGCCGAAGGCAGGTCCCGGACGCCCCGCATCCGTGTTGCAACAATCGCTTGTCCCGTGCTGTCCCGCGCTGTTGGGTCATCAGCCCCGGTAGAGGGGAAGGAGGAGGTGTGGGGGTGGGAGTGATGTCAGAGACGTACCGGGCTTGGAATGGGAGAGGGATTTGAAGTTTCCTATCTTCAATTTCTCGTTCTCCCTTTCTAAATTTTTCAGCTTTACGTGCTCTGGCTCGTCGTTGGTCAATCAATGCTTGGATTGTCTCGGCTTCGCCCCCTGGTAACAAGCTCTTCTCGATCTTCAACCTCACTTTTGAGACTCGGACTCAGTAAGTACCTTCGTGTCCTCTCACACAAACCCCCCCCCTTCTTTTTTTTTTTTTGTTTTTTAAGCTAATACACACACGAAGTAGCCCAACAAATCCGCAAAATGCGCCTTCCCTACGTCCCCAATCCGCCTCCCACAGCCAACGAAGACGAAGCCGCCATCGTCGCCCGCATCCAAGCCCGCCGGCACCCCCGCCCCTTACAACCCCTCGACCTAACCCTCCTCCATGCACCACCCGTCGCAGACGGCTGGAACTCCTTCCTCGGCGCCATCCGCACCAAAACTACCCTCCCAGATGACCTGAGAGAATTGGCGATCTCGAGAGTGGCGGTTTGCAATAGTGCTTGGTACGAATGGCATCACCATGCGCCGCTGGCGGTTAAGGCAGGTGTGTCGGAGGCTGGGATGGCGGTTGTCAAAAGGGAGGGGGCGTTGAAAGTAGAGGAGGGCGTGCCTGAGGGGTTGAATGAGAAACAGTGGGTTGTGGTTTGTTATACGGATGAGATGACGAGAAATGTGAAGGTTAGGGAGGAGATGTTTGAGCGGGTGAGGGGGTTGTTTGGGGAGAGGGAGGTTGTTGAGTTGACGGCTACGGTGAGTTCTTTTGGTCTTTGAAAAGAGAAGGGGGGGGGTTGTTGTGAGTCAGGAGGCTGACGAAGAGGTAACTACCTAGATTGCGTGCTATAACTGCGTGAGCAGGTTCTTGGTTGCGTTGGATGGTAAGTCTTCTCATGTCCTTAGTATGACAATGTTAATCTAACGGTATCAGTTGGTGAACGAAACAACACTGGGCCAGATGATACCCACTGAGAGCTTGTCTGCGATTCAACAGTCCTTCAGCCTATTTTATGTCACAAGGGTGATTAAACCAAGCTGACGTCGTACTGGTCTCCACTTCCCTAAGGATCAGTGCCTTTACCACAACAGTTGATCACAAGTATAGAAGACAAGAAATGTAATTGACTACAAGACTAGTCCTTTCATACGAAAAAAAAAAAAGTCAGTTACAGTGTACTCTAAGCTACTAAGCATCACGGTGTATATGCTTCTTCAACCACAGGTTCTACTCGCTCGAGATTGCCCTCCGATGAAACTCTTCTGGGAGGGCCTTGGGGAGAGGAAGTGGGGGGGGCTTATATTAGGTCACTTGCACATACATCAGACACATCCAAGTCCACACTAGCTGGAAGAACGTCACTGGTAGATAGCAATTTTTGTCGGTGTTCTAAATCCTTTGCGCAAGTTGTAACTTGGAGCCCATTGCTAACCAGTCCTTCGCATAGAAGATAACAATCCTAGGTGCCATTAGCTCCTGGAGACACCAGCCATGGGTAGACCAACGTGCCTCCTCGAAGCCGATCAACTTTTGATCGTGACCAGATCCCTCTAGTCTTCATATATTTTAAATAAGCATATCACATTACAGAATCGGGGTTCCAGGCATACATAGAGTTGATTGCTTCTGAAAGCTCGGCTCTGGATGTTTTGTCAATGTGAAAGAATGGCGCATGGTGGGGGCTGGCCGGTGAACTCCTTTAGCTGAAGTGTCTCCTGTGTGTATCAGGCGCATGATGCTAATGCCGAAGCTATGAACGTGTTATTTCTATTCATCTGGGAACAAGAGGGATCAAACAGATGACGGCTGATGATGATATTGGGGAAGAATATGAGTTTGTGAAGGAACTATTGGTTGAGGTAAAGAGCACAGCAGGACCTTGCAGATCGAAGTTTGGGAAAGACACCCAGAGGCATCATGCAAGGATGTGATACATGTAACGATACAAGATATTCCGGGGTTTGTTTTGGTAGCTCCTTGACAAATATGTTTACCCAAGATGACCAAAAACGCCACAACACCTCAACAAGGGGCTAACACACCTCCCGGCACCCCGGTACTCCAAGTCTGGTACTGTATGCTGCTGTGGCTGTGCATTTAAATTTAAACCAACTAAATTCATGAATCCCAGATTAGCAAATAGACGTTAGGTTACTCCAAGCCTGCCAGCTCTGTAGGCTCCTAAGCGTTGTGTTTGGAAATGGTTGCGGAGGAACGGAGTTTACTGGGTACGTTCGGTAGCTCCGTAAACCTTCCTCCTTTTTTACATGGTAAACTCTCCGTCCCTCGTCATTTTGTGAGCAAAGTTTCTTAACGTATCTATTTCGGCTTGCTACAAGGCTGCTCTCCAGAATAGCTACTCCCAAGTGTCAATCAGCCCTGGCGAGCATGAACATGAGATGGAATATCCCAATGATTCTAATTCACGTGCAGTTACGAGTCAGACTGAACTTCTTATCTTACAATACTGGCTGATAGTTTCAAGGAAACAACCACTGCAACATACTGCCATAAGTTGAGATAGATATGTCCCAATCCATCCACTGTTAAGGTATCTAAAACACAAACACTCGATGAGTGTAGTTGAACGATGAGTAAGCAAAGAAATACTGGGATGATCCACAGGCATTCATAGCCCATCATGAAAGTCTCTGATGATAAAGAGCAGATTACTCAGAAGATACACTCTCTCACCATAGGTTCCTACCTTGTTGAAGGTAGAGAGTCATAAAAATCTGCTTACGTTTTGAATATTTAAACTCTGTTGGCAAAAGAAAAAACACCTTTGACATGCATAAGTAGCTCCTCGAAGCTCCATGCTGACGCCGCAGTTAGTAGAAGACGCAGACGCAGGTCACGCCGGCAGCCATTGAGTCTTCATTCCCCAGTTGGTCGGGAGTCCAAGAAACGTGTTTTAAGTGCAGCAGCAGTACTGCTTAGTCCCTCACCATTTAAGATAGGACTCTGGCAGAGCACCCTAGATGTTGTTACAAAAAAAAAAAGAAAAAAGAACCTTCTCCCACATCTAAAGATTGATATGGTATGATATGGTATGGTATAAGAACGTCCTTTGCGACGACAGCAAACAGCGACAAGAGAGCCTCGAGAATGGAGGAATAACCCTGGTACTTAACAAACAGAAAACACCAATAAAAACAGTAAAACCTCCCTCCAGAGAGGAAAACCTACTACTGATGTCCTCCTGGCGGATAGGAGGGGACGAGAAGGGCCCTGCCTATCTCTCTGCTCTGGCCCAGCTCGAATGAAAGTCAAGCCAAGCATCAAGATGGAACAATCCCCTTCTCCCATCCCCCCTCCCCTCCAACCCAGCCAAACTCGAACCCAACCCTAACCCCACCTACCCATGCGAAGCCGGTCATGGTATCTTCATGCCATGTTCTCACACATCGCGCTAAAAAGAAGTGCGAATCCATTCCCATTCAGAGCTGTGAGTGCCATGCCATGCCATGCTTATCCATCCACCAATTCGTCCTTCATACCATCCATAGACCATTCATCCATTCGGCCATCGATCCAGCCACCAGCCCAGCACAGTAGTGAAGTTGCATCCAGTCACGTCGCATGCAAGCCCCCACCACCAAACCAACCGCCCTGCCACCAGCCAACCAAGCGGAAAGCACATCCACCATCGTTACGTTGCGTTACATGACGTTACGTGACGAGAGAGGTAAAGAAGACGTTGACCACGTTTGACGTTGAAGAAGGAAAAAGGACGAAGATAGAACAAACCCACGAACATACACACGCAACAAATAGCAGACCGATTAAAACAATTAAGCCTGCTTCTGCTGGGTCTGCTCCTCAGCCTTCTTATCGCAGCTTCCGCTCTCTGACGTAGCCGGTGCGGATGCTGATGCCGCTATCTCCGTTTTTTTTCACCCCCCTTTGTCTCCTCCTTCTTGTCCTCTTCGGTGGTCGATGAGGTCGCGGCGATGGTCGTAGTACTGCTAGATCTCGACACCTGGCTGGCGAGGTCTTTGTCCTCCTCAGCGTTGTCGAACATCTCTGTGTCGTCAGAATCGGTCAGCACCTCGGTGCCGTCGCCGAGGAAGATGATGCGGCCGCGGTAGCCGGCAAGACCAAAGGCCTTACTCTGCTTGTTGTCATTGTAATCGTTGTCGCTGTCGTCAAAGTTGTGGTGGACGCCAGGACCACGGAACTCGGCTGCAAGAGTTAGTTCGGGACACGTTTTGCAAGGAAAACATGGACTGGAACCTACCATACTCAGGAGGAGCACACGGACCATCGCCGTTGGCGACTCGTCTGGCAATCTCGTCGTACCACTCTTCCTTAGTCCGGCCGCGCAAGAAGCCAACGATGATCATGGTCATGTTATCGCAGCCGACACCGCCAGTCTCCGAGTTGGAGGCTAGGCAGTTGTCCATCAGGTTCTCGCAAATCTTGTCGAGCTCCTGTCTGGCAGCGATACCGCGCCTGACAAATTCAATCACGGCCTGCGAGGACTGGCAGTCCCAGATACCTTACCAGACGTCAGTTGTTGACTTCCAAGGGGGAGGGTGAGTCATACCGTCGCAAGCGATGACGAGGAATTCATCGTCGTCAGAGAGATCATGGACCACAACATCAGGATAGGCAGTTACAATTTGCTGCTCCGGCGCAAGGTCGGCGCTCTTCTTGAACTCAAAGTCGCCAATGGCCCGTGATAGAGCCAGGTTGCCGTTGACGCGGCCAAAATCGACGAAGCCACCGGCAGCAGTAATACGCGCCTTCTCGCCTATTTTTCTTGTCAGCGAAACAAAACGAGGTGTGCCCGAGACAAAGTCTGCGCACCTTCATTCTGCGGCTTGTGGTCAAACGACAGCGGTTTCGCTCGGCCCTTGACGCCCAGCACGCTTCTCGAGTCGCCAGCATTGGCCTGGGTTTATGTCAGTTTGAGTCCCAAAAGCCCAAAAAGCAGGACGCCCAAAAAGCATTCAGGCGAAGGGGTGCGAAGAGAAACCAACAATGTAGATCTTGTCATCGGTAATCAGGCCGACGCAGGCAGTGCAGCCGGAAACTTCCTCTTCATACTTGGGGTCTGTGTGGAAAGGATCCAAATCAGCGGGCTTCGATCGTTGGGTGAATGGGGCAGGGCAAGCGGGCAGGCATCAGGGCATCGGCGATTGCGCAGCGTGGCAGGGCGGGGCTGTTGCCGCCGGCCTCATACACACACAAACCCAAAACTCCCTGGGCGTGATGATGGCTGAAACATACCATTCAGGATGGCCCTATCTGTCGCCAGGAAACCGTCCTTGAGCGCCTGTTCATAGTTGCCAGCCTTGAAAGACTCTTGTTTTGCAACGATACGGTAGATGTTCTCGCCAGCATATAAGGCGACTTTATCGCCGCCATGGCCGTCAAAGACGCCAAAGAAGGAAATCTTGGAGGGGTGCTGGGCGGCCTGTTTCGGATCGTCCTTGAGCAGGTCGAGCACGGCGGTATGGGCATCTTCCATGCTTATGCGCCAGCCCTGCATGGCCGACAGGCCATAGAGCAGCCGCTCATCGCCGCCATGTTCTGAGTTCTAGAGCGTCAGGCGTTGCGTCAGTCAGCTGTCTCTGCGAGTGGGATGGGTCATGGGGAGGGCAAGGGGGCAAGGGAAGAGATAGGAGCCAGCATAGTCGCGCAAAAAGCAGCAGCACCAAACATGGGCCCATTATGAATGCCAAAGCAATGACATGCAATTAGTAGCAGTAGTAACAAATGCGGCTCTGCGGGTAAAGGTCGCCACGGGAGAAATTGTCAGAGAGGGCAGACAGAGTGAGGGGCCCAACTCGGAGCACCCGATCGCGTGGGCAGTACCACCACCAGCACCAGTGGCCCAGGAAACCCAAGCATGCTGCGCGTGTGTAGATATGTGTGTGTATTGTGTGCATGCAACACGAAAATAAAAGAATCCTCAGTGAACACGCACCTTCTCGACAACGGGCTCAGAGAGTGTCTGGCCCATGGTGATGTGATGTCGAAGCGCAAATCGGCAGCAACGCGGCTACCAGTTGGTGGGGATGGAGGGGTGATTTTTTGTCTGGGGGGAATTGGGCGATCGGGGCGAGCCACCAGTGCCAATACCAGCAACAGCAGCAAGGCAGGGCTGGTCGGTCTTGGTTCAGAGACGGGGAGCTGGGAACTATGAGGGAGGGCGCAACAGAGCAGTGGGTAGGCGGCGGGCAGGCGGGATTGCTAGCAGTCGATCTGTCCAGGTAAGTAGGTATTTGTCTGACCAGTCTGTCGCGGTTTGTGATCAGTCGACGGATCTAGGTCGAGGCTGTGAACCTGTGAACCTGGGAAGCGAAAATCGAAAATCGAATTTTTTCTGCCAGGTGCTGGGTGCGGGCGCGGCCGTGCTTCCGTGCTGCGCTTCCGATGACGTTGAAAAGCGCGAGGGTTGGGTTTGGCGGGCGTGACTGTGGTAGGATCTGGATCGGGAGGGACCCAAGGGAAGGGGGGGGACTGCGGAGTGGGAAAAATCAACGTCCTGCCTGGAGCTGGAAAATCTCGAAACAGCGAAACAGGGCCGATCAGGGTGCTGGTGCTGGACTGCCCACCTCAGTGCTTGCTGGCGAGTGGTGGCTCTGAGAAGTGGACTGTGAACTGCGGGTTGTGGCCCCGCCAAATCCGGCCTGGAGACTTGTGACTTAAGCGCGTCCGGGGTTGCCTGGCCTCGACGTGCCTCTGTCTGCCTGGCAGGTTTCCAGCTTGAAATCTGAATGCTTTGTTTTTTGTTTTTTTCTGCCTTAGGTTGCGTGGGCTTCCACAATCTTCAAAGCTCAGGCACACTGTGAAATAACAACCTCAGGCACTCAACAAATATGGGTTCTGTGTCGCTCAGTTCGCCCAGTGCCTTTTGCGCTGCACACAAAATTGCTGGTGCAAGACGCGAAGCGGGGTTCGCGCGGCAGCGGCCCCAGGGCCAGCGTCCAGGTGTCCAGGTTGGGATTGGGAGATGTTGGCTGCAGAGAACCCTTTTTGGCTGTGGCTACCTGACACCTAACACTCTTGTTCTCTGTTCTTGTGATGGCTTAAGATGCAAGAGCAACGTGCTGGGCACACTCTCTTTGTTTCTTCTATGGCTGCTACGGATCTTTCAGGAAATTGACAAGACCAGGGGAAATCGTATGGTGTTGGTGCCACTGCTGTTGGCGCTAATGGTCTTGTGGTCTATGGCCTATGGCCGCAGCAAAACTGCAGTGCAATGCGCGCAGGCTGCGATGCGATGGCAGGGCGCCGTGCTTGCAAAAAGAGAACGGTGATTGGAGTTGGAGTTGTGGAGGGGGGACTTGGACAGAAAGCAATCAGGGAGTGGATCTGCTGATGGAGACCATATGGGAACCTGGAGAGGCATGGCGATAAGGCAGTGTTGAAGGTTGGGTCAAGGGTGAAGCTGTATCAACCACAGATCACCTATGTCCCTATGCTGCCGTTCTGTTTTTTTTTCTTTTTTCTCTAAGCTCTTATTTTTCTAAAAAGTTTGCGAGATCTGCCTCAGCTTAAGAGCTTCCGTCAGATTTGCCCTATACTTTTGCACGAGCTCTGCTGCCCATGGTCATCTATCAACAAGCAGTCACGCGAGGGGCAGCTGAGCTGGCCCGTGCTCCTCCCTGTTTCGGTGCACACAGTGTACATCATGGAAGGGCAGCTGGTTACTTCGCGACTTACAGCAGAAACAATAACAAAAGAGGTACCTTAGCAGTGTGCATACCTTAAGCACTGTGTTCCAGCCGGATTCAGCTTGATGCGGGGGAGCAAGGCGCCGGGCCAGGCACACAGCTGCATCGTGACATGCAACCAACCCTCATTCTCCGTCCCTCACTAACCATACCTTTGTACTTCACCTGCAGAGCCTTCCGGATCTCTTCCGCGTGGCACGCTATCCTCAGGAACAGCCAAGTCAGCACCAACTGAAACTGCTTCAAACTGTGTGATCTGCATCAGATAGGGCACGGATTACCTATTTGCTGCTACCACTCCCACTATCATCCTTATCAACCATCTTGTGTTAGCATAGCCGTATATAAAAGACCGCAAAGTCCGACCGATTTCCCTATGTCCCTTCCGATAGTATCGAAACCCCCTTCGACCGGCTCGGCTTCCCCAACACCGTCTCCATCGACCTGGTACTGCTGCTGTTGCCAACAGGGAACTGGGGGATTGAGCTCCATGGGCTCCCCGCCTTCGGCCTCGTCAAATTCCCCCCCCCCCACACCCCCTCTGCCCCACATTACCGGCAACGTCACCGACGCCGACCGTCCCCCTAGCATCGGCAACTCTTGGATGACGACCCAGTTTTGCTGACACTGGGAGAGAGACAACGAACGGTTGGTGCTGATGCCAATGCCACTGTCAGTGGCAGCAGCATGTTGAAGCGCACTCTCCAGACTCTCTACTGTCTCGTCAACCCACCTTCCCGTCGGCATCCACATCGGTATAGTCGAACATGACGATCTCCTTGACCACACATCTGCTCAAGCCAGTCGTTTCTTTTCGAGGGACAAAGTCCAAGCTCAGTCTCGATCTGACACTTATGAATTCATACCCTCCCTCAGGGCCCGGCACGTGGCTAGACACGCTTCGTCTTGTTGACGCCAGCTTTGGCTTTTCCGGAAGATACCTCATGCTGCCCCCTCCTTATCCATTGCTGACTGTCGGAGGACGCGGCACCCCAGCGCGATCCGGCATCCGGAGCGGGACGCCCCGGTCGGGAGGGAGAGCCAGCGATGAGCGATAGGGTGGCGACGCTTGTGAGTCAAGCTTGGCGTCAGCAGCGGGGTCGCGGTTTAGCTCCAATGCTTTGGGCTGGGTCTGTGACAAGCGGGCAAGCTCACAGACGAAGTTAGATATGGTTGTTGAGGCTGTGACAACTGACATGCGACGACTGTGTCTTCTACTCGGGGTAGTAAGGAGGCTGCAAAGGTGGCGACGCAGGCGGAGAAGTAGACGTGTTAGTCCTCCAGTTCCTCCTGAAGAGGTTAGTCGGAGCTTGGAAGGTTGTAGTCGTCCCAAGGAGAAATCTAGCTTGGGTGGTGTGAGAGGGAATGGCCAGGGAACTTGCGCATCACTAACTCTGCCGAATCAGGGGTATCAAGGGACATATCACAATCTCCTTCTCTCAAAGGTGAGTTTCGTTGCGGGTCGACGGTTCCATAGGTTGTAACTGTAGCCTTGCCTTTCCGTTGCGGCCGTGATGGTGTCGTGGTCTCCGTAGCCGTCGGAGTAGCTGTGCCTGCCTCAGTGTAGTCTGAGCCTTCTGATGTCAGCACCCGGGGAATGGTAACCTCCAGCTTGTCGCGGAAGAGCCCCCATAAGGATCTCTTGGTTTGCTGCCCTGATGCCTGTGTAGTAGTGTTGTTGGAAGACTTCTCTCGAGCTGGAGGTTGGACATTATGTGCTGGTTGAGGGCCCTGTTATTCCCCGTGGATGCTCGTCTCCATGATACACGTCAAAGAAGGGCACGGTTTGCCACGTGTACCACCTGGTCTGGAGGAAGCAAGAATCTCTGGGGTTCGCAGGGTGCTTTGTCAGTTGAACCTTGGGACGCAGTTCTGTTGCGACTGCTGTTGCTGCGTAAGAGCCCAGTCGCAGTGGTAGTCATGTTGTTATCGGCATTGTTTGTCTTTAGCTCTCCTGCTGCTATCCAGGCTCCAGTCATGGAACGCTTAACCATGCCCCCTTCGTCATACAACCACTTTCTCCATGTCGTTGCTCTTAGTATCGAAGATATCGTCCGCAGAGAAGCTCTTTCCGGACCTCCTGCTCAGGTCAGGCAGGGCGGAATGAAGCGATAATCTCTTTGCCGATGCAGCCACAGTCCCCCTTTTTTCGTCATTTCAAAGAGCACTTGTCAGGTAGTCGCCAGTGAACCGGGCAACGGGCCGGAGATGTCACGTCGCCGGCGAGCTGTTGAGTGACGCCGACGGCGATGGAGGTACCATGCTAGGAAGACAGGACGCTTAACAAAAGGAGAAGAAGGACGAGGAGACCTGGCAGGAGAGGTTTGACTCTCTTTCGCCGAGGGAAAGGCTCTGGGCTTGTGTTGGAGTCTGAACCAGGTAAGTTGTCCTTGGAAGCGAGGTGTTTGATGGTGCTGCTCAGTGGGAGAATTATCTCCGTGTCTGAATTTCTCTCCCTGATTCCCACGACAACCTCAACAGTGTCTTCCTCTAGGCCGACAGGAAGTTGTCCAGAAAGCGTGAAACTCCTTCATCGTACCTCAGACAATCCCATCCCACCTCTGTCCTTACTTCAACAAGCGGTTCTCTGGATCAGCAAGACCCCAAACCAAGGTCGAACTTTTCCCCTGGAACGACTGTCAGAGGCAGGAGACCCCGAATTGAAGAAGCTGCTTGCGCGGAACTAATCTCCTTCGACTTTAATAGAGACAGTCAACCGAAACCTGTACTTCTGTGGCAGCGATTAGGTAAGAGCATCCGACGGCAGGGTCTTCCCTCCAAATGTTATTTTTTTTTTTTTACATTAAAGGACATCCGTACCGAAACAGGTTACCCGCTGACCATGGTAGCATAACAATAAACGCGTACGTTCTTGGGGATGGGAGAAGGTATGCTGCTCGGAGGCAAAAACAACAGGGCGTGTCGAGGGAAGAAAGGACGGACCTTGGTGCGGAGCAAGTCCCGAAATTTGGGAGCTGCTTTGCAAGGTGTATCTTGACGCGAGAATTCTCGCTTCTGGTTATAACGAGCGTTTCAGGGAGTGTCGTCCAACCCTCAGTATCAGTAGCCTTGAGTTCTAGTGGCACGCCTGTCACCCGACCAGGACTGGCGTTACTTTCCTTTGGGGTGCCATACAACTGTCTCGAAGAGCTGTCGATGGAGAGCAATTTGGGCGCTTTGGCAAGAGAGCATGTGATCGGCGAAGAGGAAGTGAGCGTCGTTGGGGAGAAAATGAAGAAAGGTTGGTTTGGCCGAGCAACCGAAGGGATATAGGCGTTTCATGGGGAAGGTCATGGACGGTGCGGCTACAGTGAGGCGTGTTAAGATGAAAGTGATTATTGAAGACATCATGGATAAGGATGAGTGCTAGGCACTCGCTTCTTCGCTGATGCTCTTGATGAAGGGATGGACACAGAAGAAGCGAGAAGACGTTGAAACCAAGGAGGAAAAGGAAACCATCTCATCAGAAGGGATCTCTGATGAAGTGGCTGAGAGTGATCATTTTCAGGAGTCGCGCCCTGTGCGGCGACTGTCACGAAAGAGAGCGCGTTCAGCCGCATAGCGCTCGCCTTGAGCTTCGGAAAACCAGAAGTAAACGAGAAGTAGAGGATTCAGTCGCTCATCTTAGCCAAGTAAGCATTTCTCATGCAATTGGAAGAGATTAATGAGATCAAGAAGCATTCCAGCGCATGGATCTGTTGCTGCCTAAGAAGGGCCCAACTTCTCGTAAGGGAGGTTGGCCTTGGGAAAGGCATCGCAATTACATCTTGGTGGTCAGTCCTTTGATACCTGAAAAAAATGCGTTTTAGCTCACCGATTCCATTGTTATCTCTCCATCCCGTTCGCGGCACTGACATCGACGATGCCGTCTAATGTAGACGTCTTGGTGGAGTGGGGTTTATCAATGTCAATTAGTGAACTCTCGAGCTTCAACTTTCATCTCGTATCTTCTACCATCTTGATATTCAACATATCGGCTTTCTCCGACATGCCCTATATTTCGTGCATAGCGTATACAATTACTGTTTTTATTATCATCTTGAAACTCAAGCATGTCGGCATTATTGAGGAGGGGTGGTGGAGGGACTGATCGCAGTATCGACCCACAGCGGGCCGAAGGCTGAAGGAACCTCGATCGCCCAAAAAATTCTAGGGGCAGCTCTTTGAAACAGCAACGACGAAACAAACAACCCCACCAGATATCCCAACCTCACTTGATCTCGCAACGGCACTCTCGTTAGAAATCTCTCACGCACAACAGACAGACATGACTGAAAAAAAGCAAACGCCATCCCCTGAGTTTTCCCCGCTCGGCTTCGACGAGGACATTGCCCCGCTGCCTGAGTACAAAGCAGCCGGCACGACAGAGGTTGATTTCTCCGGCTTACTCGGAGAGCCCCTCAAACTCCATGAAGACCTGCGGTCGGGCTGCGGCGGGCAGCTCTGGCCAGCCGGCATGGTGCTGGCCAAGCACATGCTGCGGTATCACAGGGAGAAGCTGCAAAGCGCGCGAATGTGGGTGTCTCCTTAACCCTGGCTCCTCGACCTATACCTGGGATATTACAGTATATACAAATTTACTGTGGATGAGGGGCAAGTGCTGATGGGAATTCTAGACTCGAGCTCGGCGCCGGTGGAGGAGTGGTTGGGTTGACGGTGGCAAAGGGGTGTAAGAATCTCAAGCACCCGCTGTACATCACCGATATGGTGGAGATGGAACCCCTGATGAAGTACAACATCTCTCTGAATGGGCTTGCCGACCGGGTGAGGGCCCGGATCCTGAATTGGTGAGTGCTTCATCCCCTCATCCTCCGAACCCCCTTCTCGTCTCCGACTCGTCGACCGGCCGTGCCACAGCTGCAGCATAGCACAGTCATCGGACTCTTTTCGCCAACTGTCGTACTCTGTGTAGGACTGAGAACTGGGGGAGAAGCGTCTCCAATCAGGTACCATTCTTTCTAACTCACAGTTCCCGACATACAGGGGCGAGCCGCTCTCGCAAGAGGTGGTTGATTTCAAGCCGGATGTGATCCTCGCGGCCGACTGCGTCTACCTCGAAGCAGCATTTCCACTTCTCATGCAGACACTCAAGGACCTGTTGGAGCTGGAGCCCAAGGCAACGGTGTACTTCTGTTTCAAAAAGCGCCGGCGGGCTGACATGCAGTTCCTCAAGAACGCAAGGAAAGCGTTCACCGTGACTGAGATCGAGGACGAGGACCGGCCCGTGTTTAGCAGAGATAATCTGTTTTTGTACACGTTTACGCGGAAGGATTCAGGGTCGTCGTCTTCATTATCTTCGTGACTAATGCGCTACCATTACTAGGTTGCGAAGACTTGTTCCTTGCATGTCCAGTGAGAGTGTGTACATGGTTGAGCCACAAGCTGCCATTGGTGAGAGTGGTGTGAACAGAACCGTTCGAGATGAGGGAGGGCAATGACGAGAGGCATGATGGTTTGACAGCATCTCCACATGAAGAATTGCCCCACGGATCGCCGAAGGACGTGGGCAGCGAACACGTGTGCTGCCCTACCTCCTAAGGGTTGCCGACCTCTCGGCTTGCAGAGCCCGTCCTAGGCCCCAAGCTCATGCGGGCACCAGCCCTGCGTCCCACCGACGCACCAACAGCATCGGTTGACATCTGACCGTCGAGATGAGCGGTGGACGTGTGACGGTGCAATGGAGGTCCGAAATGCTCAATCTTGGAAGAGTTCAGGCCCAGACCCGGGAAGGAGGCCAACCACATCGCCAGTCAGATGCCGTTCCTGAGATGGAGGAGATGTGGTTGAGTTATTATATTTTTGACTGGCCTATGGGAGGATTTAGCCAGAAGTGGCATTCCTCAACCGTAGTCAACCGTGCCATGCTTGCTCCCAGCTGGTATATGGTGACGGTGGATGGCTGGAATCGCTAGGATCAGGAATGAGAAAAAAAAAAAACTAATGCTCTTTTGCTTCTCTAAACTGCAAAATTTTGAAGTAGTCGATCGTTAGACCCTGTGAAAATGAAAAATTTCTTGCACCTAGCCTCCACCAGGCCGCCACTCTGTCTCGCTTGCTGTCGCGTTCCGGTTTGCGCCGCCGCTTTCTCATATATTTTCTCACACCAACGCAGCAGACGTGGATGACAGTCTCTGGGCCGCTTGCTTTTCGCTCATGCATGACTGCATCTTCACAAACTTCTGTCGGTGCTGCCAGGTGCCAAGTGGGGACCGATCGACAACGTGTTTTTGGTGTTTCTCCATCGAAGGCAAGGACTGGGCGGGATGTAATTGGCCGCGAAGGATTCCGCTTTGGATGGCAGTTGCTTCGGGGCTCCTTCCAGCGTTGCGTGCCTTGGGATCCTGGCAGGTACAAGCAGCCTGGGTAGGGGTACGAGGATTTGTGCGGGTTCGCTGGGTCACTGTGCCTTGCAGCTGGGAGGGGCAGCGGCCTGCAAGGAACACCCGACTGGCGTCTGGCAAGAGCCATATTTTGCGACTGGGAATGGACTCACCGTCGTCCCCGCTCATCTCGGCTTGGGCGGCGGGACTTGATGGAGCGCCAAGGCTGTTATGGGTTACCAACTCGACAACCGCGTTTCCCCATACAAAAAGTAAGGTTTCTGTAACAGCATAGCTTCGGCCACGCGTACCTCCCCCTGCGCGGTGGTAAGATGAGCTGGGGCTGTGTCATTCCCTAGAAGTTCTAGATTTCCCCGCCGGTCCCTGGGCTGAGCTCTAGCTGGGTCATCGACCCCGGCCCAGCTGGGCGTTTGTCCTGTTCCTGGCATCCCCGGGCCCCGGCTCTCGTGCCGTTGGGTCCATTGCATCCCCTGCTGATCAGCCAAACTTTGATTCCATAAAAACCATCGTCTCTTGTTGCCGCCCAATCCTTCTTTTTTCTCTTGCTTCCTGGTCCCTGCTGTTGGGTGTTTTCTCTTTTGCTCTTTCTCGCTCTCTCCTCTTCTCTCCCTCCAGCAACACCATCGCAATTATCGCAACATTGCATCCATTCCTTTCGTCACTTGCTCAGTGAGCAGGCCTTTCCTTTGCGGATTGCACCATCGGCCATCGCAGCGACGCGGCACAGGCTAGCTAGCTACTTATCGAATCTCATCTTTCCTTCGGACCGGCTTACACGACTCGCTGCCTGGATTCAGCGACATAGATCTACAGATCACCGAAATAAAAACAAAAAAGCTACCATTACAATGAAGTCGACCGCCCTTCTCGTCGTTCTGGCCTCTCTGGCCGCCGCCCAGCCGCACGGTCATCATCACCGTCGCGGCCAGCACGGTCACGGCCATCTTCACAACAAGCGCGCCATCGTTACCCACTGGGTTACCACTACCGTCTACGAGACGGTGACTGCTATCGTTGACGATAGTACCACCGAGATCATCATGCCCAGCTCAACAGCTGTGTCGACCACCTCGACTTCTTCAGTCGTCGCGACCGATACCCCCAGCCCCAGCCCCGGCCGTTTCGCTGAACAGTTGTCGAGCAAGTCCCGCGAGGTCCCGCCTGCTCCTAGCTCCACTGAAGTCCTTCCCCCTCCTCCTCCAGCGCCTGAGCCGACGACTATTGTTGCTCCGCCCCCCGTTGTTGAGACGTAGGTTTCCACTGCTTAAGCTGGCGTGTGGAAGACTATACTGACAAAATTTCAGCCCTGAGGTTCCGACTCCTGCGCCTGCCCCGACTACCACCGTCGTTGTCGTTCCCACTCCCGAGCCCCAGACTCCTCCACCTCAGTCCAACGATGGCGGCAACACCGGCGGCGGGTCTGACTCGAGCTCCGGCGGCAGCGGTGCCGTCTCTGGCGATCTGACCTACTTCCAGGTTGGCCTTGGCTCCTGCGGCTGGGACGACACGGGCAAGGACCACACTGACAACATCGTTGCGATTTCGGCCGAGCTCATGGGCTCTCAATCCAACGGCAATCCGTACTGCGGCAAGACTATCAGTGTGCGCGCCAACGGCAAGACCATTACGGCTCAGGTTCGCGACAAGTGCCCGAGCTGCGCGCGCTACGATCTGGATGGCACTGAGAAGATGTTTATTGAACTCTTCGGGTCGCTGACTGATGGCCGCAGGGTAGTTGAGTGGTGGTTCAACTAAGTGACAATTGGGTTTAAAGAAAGGCGCGCATTGAAACGTGTCTTTGGGGCCGCGGACTGATGTCAAGATCCCTGGCCGATCTAGATCGATCTGGACCACACATTCTTACGTTTGCAACGACATGACGCTGCAACATTGCATTTGATTTCTCCATCTGGCCCATTGCCGAGGAAAAAAAAACACTTGGGATGGGAGAATTTCTTTATATACCCCCGGATTGTTTGCTTTTTTTGGAAAGAAGGAGAGAGCGGATCAAAAAACGTGTTCAAAGTTTTGGAAACGGTTCAAATGAAAAAAGACTGGTTGCCTGCCTTGCATTTGGCGCCTACTCCAAGTTGGAGTGGGACTGGCACACGCAAGATGTCATGAACAGCCAGCTGGTTAAGACTTTGCTTCGGTTGTACATATTTGATACCAATTGAGCAATTTATGAGAAATTTTCTCGAAATTTCCAATGATTGAGTTCATGATGAACTGGAGTGGCTATGAGCTTCAGCCACACACGACGCTGTTTGTGGACGCATATAGCAGAGTCTTAGACTGTAATTGATCGAGATCACCAGTAAGGTGTCTTGAGAAGATGCGTATTTTGGCGAATAGTGCGAGGGCACTCATCGTACTACTATAGCCTGATCTTGAGCTTTAGTCTCTCAGTGGCGAGTCATGAACTAGAGTGACGACCAGGTATCCTACCCCTTATTCATTCAATAGCCACAAACACAATCATCATACGAGTCCACGTAATCATAAGTGCAACTTTTACCAATGTAATTCCCATCTTTAGGTACTGAGGATTTACTTGCTGAGGCTTTGGCCGCGGGGATTAATACTCTGCCAACATATGTCCGATGATGACTCTCGGAACCACGAACGCCACCTCCTGCGTACAATAATCCTGCTTGAATCCCATTTAATCGATATCATGCTATTCTCACCGCCCCAAACTCGTCAACAACCCTTCGACATACCTCCGCGTGTCAATCCCTATCCCCTGTGCGAGCCTGGTTGCACCGTCTGCCGCCCATCCGCCCAATCCTCCTAACCCAGGGATTGCCCCAAGCCCAAACCCTGAGCCGGAAGAAGAGCTGGTGCTACCAGCCGCATGGGAGGAGCTCACCGACCTAAGGTGACCTGTGGTGGAAGGGTGATCGCTTGCTCGGCGGAGTAAGATAATTTCCTTGGCTTTTTGAGGTCTCCTTCTTTTCGCACCTAAAACGCTGCAAGAGGCATCATCATCATTATCATCATCATCACGGGCATGATGAAGACTAACAGCGTCCGGAGGACTGTGCTCAACAACCCTGGTCCATACAATCCACCACCCTCTAGCTGTCTTACATGTCCGTTCCCCTTCTTCCCAAGGCAAGTGGGTAAACGAAGAAGGATCGGTGGGGATTGCCCTGCCGGAGGAGAGGATTGCTAGGATTTGGGCGTGTGTTTGTAGTGCTTCAACGCGGGTCCATATGCTTTGCTGATGATGCTGTTGCCCAGTGCTATGGCCTGTTGGGGTTGTTGCAGAATAAGGGAACGGATCGGGGATGTTGGGGATTGTAGACTGGAGGGTTAGTGTCTCGGTGTCGTAAACTAGATCGAAGATCTGATGTTGGGTTGTAGTGCCCGAGGATGAGGTCGTCTCTACGACGGGGCGTTCGGGTCGATAGGAGGTTGAATGGAGGAGGGGCTTTTGGAGGGGTGAGAGCTGGGCATGGAGGGACTCAGCGAGGGTCGGCCATGTGGATGGGGAAGGTGTAATTTCAGAGAACAAGAGGATATAGATGAACGGTTGGGAGACGTAGATAACTGGTCGCAAGCGAGCTGTATGGTCTCTGGGGAGTTCAGGACCAACCTTGCCAAGGGGTTGGGGGTCCTCAGGCGGGATCTTCCGGGAGGGGTGTTGATAGCTGGGTTTGAGCTCGACGAAGATGGCTTTCGGGTTGGCCTGGGATGAGGTTAACTCCTCTTCTGAGCATTCGGACAGGCCCAAGAGGAAGTGTCCTGTGCTAAGATCTCTCCTCGGCTTTCCGGACTCAGAAGACTCGACCATACCCTTAGACACCGAGCCAGGATCCGAGTCTGACGGCGTTGAAGTGCCAGACAAACCCAACGACCACGACGTGCCGTAACCGAGGGTAAGATAGCTGAACAGCTTATCCATGCTCCCAGGAGTTCCGGCCATGTCTGGTGTAGCAGCCTCCCCTCTCTTCCCCTCGGTTCCAGTCCCAGTTCCGATAGGAATCTTCTTCCCAGCCCCAGTTTTCAAAACCCTCGACTCTTTTGCGCCGCGCTTCCTCCTTCTCCTGGCCGCCCTGGATCCCCCTACTCCAAAGGCATTCTCCCCCCACACGTACACCTCCTCCATCCACTGCACAACCCCCCTCAACGACTTCCTGTCGAGTGCTCCAACTCCCAAGAAAACAGCCCCATCTTCCTCTCCAACCTCACCACCTAACCCCAGCCACTGCTCTTCCTCCGGTCCCTTCTCGGAAGGTGGACCCCCATACCTACCAACAACGACATCCACAAGCCCCTCCACACGTTCAACCAACCCTTCTAGAACCTCTCTCTCACCACTACCCCTCTCTTCCTCGCCCACGCCAATGCCTAGCTCCCCGCTTGCAGCGAGTTTGATACCCCCAAACACGTCGCATGCGGGATTACCGTGGAGCAGGACGTTCCAGGTGGCAAGGAAGTGGTCCCAGAAACGTGTTAGGCTGGCAACCAGCTGAGCTCTGCCTTGGCTGGCCAACAAAGAAGAGAGTGAGGATCCATGATGAAGGAGGAAGAGGTCGTAGGCGCGGAGGAGGTCTGCTCGGAGCAGAGATGGAGGTTTGACTTCGCGGGAGGAGTACTCATATGCTGGCTCGGGAGGGAGAGGATTAAGGTTTGGTGCTGGGGGAGGTGCGGATGAGGAAGTTGGGGTTTTGATTTGGGGCAAGGGGAGACGGGTTAGGTCGATGGACTGTTCATAGTCAGCAGGTAGGTCAGTTGTGATGAGGTTCGTTAGAGAGGACTCACAGCCAATATCCACCAGCCCTCTTCAACCTCAACTAAGATAACCCTCGCTTTCTCAGTGTCAATTGTATCAACCGGCTCGCCGTCTGAGAAACTCTTTGCAAATTCAACCATCCCTTGGGCGAGACCGATTTGCCTTAGACGCTCATGACGTTCCTCCTTGGACACTGGGTCTTTATCTTCAGCCACAGCCTCACTGTCTCCTGTTGCTCCTGCTGCATTTGGACGGCTGTCCTTCACAACCGATTGAGCACGTTGTCGGTCTCGCCGCCTTGGTCGGCGATGACGCCGACGGGCTTGTGAGAGTGTGGAAGCCGTGGCATAATAAACGATTTGGTCCTCGAGGGTTTCATCTGTAGTGCCGAGGGCTGGGTTGTAAATGGCGAGAAAGCCCAGTTGGGCGGGGATGATGCCTGACGGCGAGGGTGATACAGGTGTGGTCATGGTCTATGATGTGATCATGTGGCAGGTGATTAATGCGAGCGGGGAGATGTGAATGAGATAGACGACGAGTTTCCAAAAGGGTCGGTCAGTAGATGAAGATGAAAATTCATCGGTCGACTCGGGAGCCTGACCACTTGGGCTGCGAAAAAACTCAGATGGGTTGTGACCAATTACCAAACTCTTGCTAGAGATAGAAACAATTCATTTTTCTCCAAGCTAACGGCCGGAATGCTCATCTCTTTTGGATGGATGTGAGCTTGTTGGTTGTGAAAGCAATGTCAGACAAAGAGAGGGTGGCCTCCCCTAAGACAGACTAAAATCTTGGCGGAGCTTCCCGTTTTGGTGAAATTGTTAGTGGCCGCCAAGGTGTCAGCACCTGAAATCGAAGGTTTGTTGCTGTATACAACCTGAAAAAAAAAAAAATTCAGGCAACGAAGATGGTGTAATTGCTGAATCATGTGTCAATCAGGGTTCATCACACACCAATAGTGTTAAGTTACCTGCTTGAAGCATTAATGAGCTGTTGAGGTAGCTTATAGCTGCATGCTTAAGAATTCTACTCTTACCAGCAATGATCCACATCACAGCGCTGTGCAGCAGACAACGAGGAGGAGAATGAAGAGATCAAAAGCTTGAACTGGAACAAAGAACTATCATCAATTATAAGAACATAAACACAATATTGCGCTCTTATCCGATCACAAAATTAATACATATACTGCCAACCTTCAGACAAATATCCCCCATCAATCATACCATCCCAAACCAGGGCACTCAAACCAAGTCAACCTGGACCCCCCAAAAACCATCCAAGGACTCCGATCCCAATGCCTCTCTCACCGACCGGAACCGAAGCCCAACCCAAACCCCAATTCCATAACCACAGATGCCCATAACCCATAGCTAGCAATGCAGAAATACAAGGAACACCAATGCTAGCCGCCCGCTACACGATGCTTCCCCACCCAATGCTGCCACTTATAAGTAGAGCCCAACCCAAATGAAAAAGATGAAATGGCAGTTAACCTTGCTACTTGACCCAGATTAGGGGTCGTGCATAGACAAAGAAAAATAATTGGAAAGACCAGAAAAAGGAAAATTAGGATAGGGGAAAGAAAGTGAAGAAAATAGAGCAGAAAGCAGCAACTAAGCAGAGGGGGAAAAGAAAATTAACTTGACAACGCCCTCGAGGCAAACCTAAAGGGGATGCAGGAACTAGACACCCCTTAAGCAACATCAATCTCCATGCTGGACGCAGCATGCTCGGTCACCCCCCTCAGCGGGCTCCTGCTCCTCCCAACTGGGGTGTTCTCCCCCTGCTCTTCCTCTTCCTCTTCCTCATAATCATCCTCCATCTCCTCATCCCATGTCTCATCCTCCCCCTCTTCCTCGTCCTCATCATCATCACACCCCCAACAAACCTCCCCATCCTTATCCCGGTTCCACACCAACCCATCATCCATTTCCTCATCACTCTCCCCCATGCGCTCCGCAATCCTCTCCCCAAACCAGTACCGCGCCCTCTTGCTCTCCCACACCTCCTCCTCAATATCCTCGGCCCAGCTGCCATAAATCCCAGACGTCTTCCTCCGCCTGTAGCTCACACCCCCAAGCAAGCCATGGTGTAGCGCCCTGCGAGGGGAATGGCTGCTCATGACCGGTACGCCCCGCACATACAAATAGCACACCCTTTTGAGCGCTTTGTTAAAGAAAAAGTAATGCAGCGCCCAGATTGCACCCTCCTCCTCATCAAAAGCCCCTTCTTCCGGAGCATACGAATACACCGCACACTCCTCCAGCGCCATCTGCTTATCAATCAAAGCCCACATTTGGGGGCCCCAGTACGGGGCGGGGTTGATTCCATCCCCCCCACCTCCCCCGCGTCCATCCAGAATAAGCTGAGTCGGAGACGTGTAGCTCGAAGCCCTGAGCGCAGCAGTCTCGGCATCATCCCCCTTCTGCGGGCGGACACTGGACAGAGTGGAATCAATGTGTGCCATGACCCGGCGCAAGACACGCTCGCGCTTGAAGTCGGCGGGCCTCAGGACTTGAGAGAAGTCATAGTCGGGGTGGGACGCGTTCAGTGTTGCGATGAGGTATGCGAAGACGCGGCGGGAGGAGACATCCTCGAGCGAGCCGAAGGCTGAGTCGGTAGCTGAAGACGAAAGCCGGCGAGATGTGGAGCTGACGGAGAGCGTGGACGAGTCACGGCGGGGTTGGGGATGCTGAGGAGGTGAGGAAGCGCTGCCGGCTCTTGTACCCTGGCCATTGTTCTGTTGTTGGGCTTGGGCTTGCGCCTCAAGCGACTGGGTGATGTTCTTGTAGAGCTTCTTGTCCGAACCGGCGGCCTTGGTGGTGTAGAGGTCACAGCTGCCGGTTACGTGGCAGTCGGGGGTGTCGAAGTTAAGGGCCGACTTGACGATGTCGAAGGACGGGAGCGAAAGGAACTGTGCGATTGAGGGGAAAACATCAGCGAGGGACTCGAGAGTGACTTCGCGCTTTAGGCGCATTGGCACCGACGGTGAGGTTGGCTTACCTTCATCTTAACCGTCGTGATCAATTATTGCGTCGCGATAGGCATGAAGTTAGATGCGCTGTCGAGATGTCGGTGTCGCAATGCAAAATGCGGGGTCGTCAAAGCCTCCAGGTTGTAAGCGCAGTGGCGGGTGATAAGCGCAATGAAAGTGTCGAATGTCGGAGCAACTGACGGGACCAAGCAAGCAACACAAGAGGCGCTCGGGCCCAGCTGTCAATGTGCGATGCAATGTGTGTCCCAAGAGACGGAATAATTGGCAGGATGGGTGCTGGCAGCTGAAGATGTTACCGAGTGGCAGCGTCGAAAGAAAATGCTGTGTCGCCAATTCAGCCGTGGCCAGAGAAGTTGAGAAATCGAAAGCTGACAGAAGAAAACAAAGCACAGAAAGAACTCGATTTGCTGGCAGGTGTTTTGATCAGCAGCCAGGAACAGCGCGGGTAGCTTTGTGCACAAGCTTAGAGCCAGATAGGTCAGGCAGCCAGAGCTGCGGGAAGGGCCGCGTGAGTGGAAGAAACGTAAGAACAAAGAAGCCGAAGCCACTAAGACCGTGCCTTGCACTGTCGAGTCAAAATATGATCGTCTTCGTAGGAGTAGATGACCGTAATGAAGAGCGACAACAGACAACAGACAAGCTGAGAACCCGAACTGGCAGGCGGGGATACGGAGTAATCAGTGCGTAACAGTCAGGTAATTGTTGGATTCAAGACAGTGGATAAGAGCGAGTGATGCAAGCGTCTAGGAGCAACGATTCGTCGAAGCTGAGAGAGAGGGGACTTGGATGCGAGGATGCGATGCAAGCAAAGAGAGGGGGGGGGGGTTTCTAGGGGGACTCGTGACACGCTGCTGACAAGCTGCTTGGCTGGGGCTCTGGGTTACTTGTTGAATTGCTGCACGGAATGTCCCGGCCCCCCCCCGTGCTCCGTAACGGGCCGGGGAATCTCGCTGAGGTGCTGGATGTCTGCTGTCCTGTGTGCTGTCTCTCGGTAGTGCTGGTCACCATCACGGCATGCCACTGGCTGCTTGAGATGCCAACAACCCGGCCAGTCCTTGCTGTTTGCTTGTCAGTCGCTCACAACGTCTCCAGAGGACTCCAGCTGCAGCACCCCGGTTGCTTGCTCGGCTGCACCGCTTGTGTCAAGCGCAGGCCAGCGCATCCGCAGCACATTTCACCCGCCTATCTCTGCCCACCCACGGGTCTTGGCTGCCCCGCAGACGGCATCATCCCGGTCTCGGCCGCATCGCCGGGTCCACCGTCCTCGGCAGCGCCCCCCGTTTCCCCGGCTTTTGGTGACATACACTCGAGTGATCGCCGGGTAGAAACTCTGCTCGGAGAGAGCAAATAGAGTGCCGTGAAGAACCCACGAGGGCTCATGTTGCGCTTCCGGCGACGAAAATGCGCTGGGTGGATGTCGATCCAACCGCATCTGACATCCTGCCTGGTGGCGTGAGTCGCGCCTAACCACGTGGTTGCGGGCTTGCATCATGACTGGATCTTCAACTGGGTCTGTAAATTAGGTACCGTTGTATCGATTAGGTTATGAAGCAGTCGCCCGCGGTCTCTGCTCAAGCGTCGAAGCATCGAGACAGAGGCGCATCGGCACTGGCATTATCTACATAGATCCCATCTCTACCAGATTCTAGCAATCTGCGAAAGGAGTTTGCTCCCTCCTAATGGGTATGTAGCCCATGTGCCACCATTCTGCCGCTGCCATCTGCCATTCTGTGTTTTGGCTCTTCCAGCCGTCTCCTGTGCCGCCTGTCCTGCAGCCCGCATCCTGAGATGGCGTCGCTGTCCAAGCCCATCGCTTGTACGTCTGTCGGTATCGGTCGTGTATTAGCATGGGTTAAGGGTAAGGCATCATGCATTGTCGCAGTATATGGTGTGTCTTGTATGTGTGTGATTATAAAAATCCCGTCTCCTTGAGCGCCTTTTCGATCTTCTCCGACTCCTGTGTTGTCGTGAGTGTCAAAACGATTAGTCATCGCACAACACAACCATGAACCAGCAGCTGTCGTAGCGTGTTGCGAAGACACCGTCGTCGGGGGAGGGGAGGGAAGAGAGAGTCGGAGAGGGGCACAGCAGTGATCGCTGTTCCTCTACATGATTTTTGTGACTTCGTCCTCAACCTGAGGGAGACGATGCGTCAGCAGGGCATCGTGCCAGCGTATGATGAAAGCAAAAAGTCCTGAGTTGACATTGATTAATAGAAACACCCACCTCCATGTCCTCAAGGGCATCCTGCTGCGAGATGCAGCGCAGCACGTTCTTCTTGCTGCTCTCTTGCAGCTCGCCGGCCAGCAGCAGCTCGTCCAGGATGTAGTAGGCCTTGGTGAAGGAGAAGATAATGTCCAGCTCGCACACGTTGCCGTAGTACTTATCCATCTGCTCGACGTAGCGGTGGATGATTTCGAGCGTGATCAGCTCGTTGTCGTCCGAGGAGCACCCGGCGATGAAGAAGAGGGAGGCATATCGGCGGTAAACGATCTTGGTGTCTTCCTCGTCCGTCAGTGAGGTTCTCAAGTCTTCATGCCGGGAGAGACGCACCCTTGTACTCGAGAAAATTGCACATGCGCGTACGGCGGGCCAGCACGAGTTGCGACACGTCCTTGACGATCTTGGCCTTTTCCTTGGGCGAGAGTGTAATGAACCATTTGGCCAGACGCTGTCGATTCATCCATCAGCATCCCTCCTCGTCCATCGAAGCGAGTCCAACATCTGTATCTGGGATACGCACCACCTTGCCTTGGCGCGAGAGCAGAATCAAATAGCTGTCGACGGCAACGCCATCACATTAGCCTGCCGCCATTGGGCACGAGTCGGGTCTGGACGGGAATGAGGCATACTGCATAGCCATGATGAAGCAGGTTGAGCTTCACCGGCGACGGAGAGATGGATGGACGATCACAAGTTGACGGACAGTGTTGGACTGCTGCTGCCCTGGACGCCAAGTCACTTGGACTGGTGCTTTTGGTGCTGACTCCGCGGTTGACCACGATTTCCCGCAGATTGGCCAGGAGACAGGGACCACAGCGCCCAGGGTTGGAGTTCAGGGTTGCGTGCCAAGACCAGGGTTGGCGCTGACCTGCCGAGGTGGGGCTAGGAGGTACAGATCGTGTGGGGGGCATCTGGCGGGGTAGAGTCAGCGCGCCGATTCTGTGGACGATGTCGTCAGTCACACTTGCAGATTGTTCCCTTTGTTTTCCGGCTTGAGTTGAAGGGTTATTGCAGTGTGATAGTATAGTTTGTTTGGATCGTCTACATGAGATAGAAGCCTGGTGTGGTGTGGTGTGGATCTTCGAGGCCATCTCCCAGCTTTCAAAGCAGGGTGATCAACTCGAACCCTAACCTCTCACACGGTGCATCGTCGAGTTCAAATGAACAAGGAGCCTGGACTTCAGACATAAAAGCTGTAGAAATTAAGATCGAAGCCTGGGGCCTCCTGGGGATCAATCGCCGTTCTGAGCTGACGATAATTACGATCACAAGTAAGCATGCTGGCTGACCACGGCGATGTATTTTGTCACCCCGCGCAGTCTCGCCACATGCATGATCCGCCAGGCCGACCCCCCGAGCTTCCTCTGCCATGTTTTTAACGCTGCTTGGCCGGCCCATACTTGAATGGACCATCCCACGCGACACGTTCTCGGCCCAGCTCGATGCGAACCGAGTGCTTTTCCTGTAAATGGAATTCGTGTAGGAGGTTAAGAAGGTACTTAAAGTAGGGCACATGGGACAGGTCAGATTCATGGAGGGGTTTCTGGAGCAGTGTCCATGACTCCATCATTGATCATCGCTGGCTGCTTGCTCATTAATAATCGCCGTCCTCAGGACCCCAGATTTGTGACGGGCCCGGCCCGGACTCCGAATTTGTGATTGATATCCACACCACCATAGCCAGCACTTGGCTTTTGGCTCCCGGACTCGAAATCTTATTCTTCAGTTTTACTGCAAACAGAAAATAAATTTCCGGGAAGTGGTCGGCAGTACTAAGTGCAGAATTAGGCGCCATGGCAAAAACCACAAAGCTCATCCTCTCTACGGGGTATACCTCTCTCTCAGTCGCACACCTTCAATCACCAGCACAGCAACTGACATCGCCCAGGAACATTGTCTCGGATGGCCCGTCCATCGTTCGCCGGTCCTGCTCACCGCGCGCCAAAAACAACCCAGAACTCATCAGCTCCCTTCGCAGCAGCTTCCACTCAGCCCAGCAAGAATACGCCGCATCACTTCTCCGCGACACACCCTCCGCAACGCCCAATGGCTCCTCCTCCTCCCTCCCCGCAGCCATAACCTCCTCCAACCGTCCCCCAACCTCAGCCTGGACCTCTGAACAAGACAACGTCCTCTACATACCGCGCATCGACCCTCCGACGGGCCTCTCCGAACCTCCCCAGCACTACAACCTCACCGCGAAAATCTTCTTTCTGCCCAACACCCCTGTCCAGTCCCGAATGTCCTACGCCCGCGAAGCCCTCTCCCTTGTGCTTCAAGAACTCTTCCCCGCACAATCCGTCGATCTGCTAGTTGTCTCATTCCCGGGACTCTCCTTCACCGCCGACTGCGAGTGGGAAGCCGATCGGCTGAATGCCCTGCAGGGCAACGACGCTGAGGAGCTTGCCACATGGCCTGCTGTGGAAGAGCTCCATCGGTCTGGGCTGGCAAGGGAGTTGGGCGTGGCAGAGTTTGGCAGTGAGAAGTTGGCGAGGTTCCTGGAGAAGGTGACGGTCCGGCCGAAGGTGAACCAGGTGAATCTGAGGAATTGCTGTAACGTACCGCCGCCGCTGGCGAAGCTGGCGAAGGAGCAAGGGATTGAGTTGTTGGTACACGGGGATGCGACGGAGGTTGTGACGAGGGAGACGCTGGAGGAGGTTTTGGGGGATGCTGGGGTAATCGGGGAGAAGGAGGAGGTATGGCCACTTTGGGTGGTCAAGTACACGGCGGTCGTGAGGGACCGCGGGGTGATTGAGAATAAAGGGTATTTTGTGGGCGCGGAGCTTGTGAGGCGGGAATAGATCTACCTAGAATATTATGTGCATACTGTATGTGTGTCGACTGTAGGCATTTCAGGAGTTTCTGGGCAGGGCACGGCAGGGCGGCTGTCTATTTTAATTATATCACCAGAGCATAAAGTCTCGATTTTGCAGCACCATCATCAACGTCCTTTCCATTTGCTTGATATCATAACCATATCTACCCCAGCATGCTCCTCTTCCTCCCCCTCATCCTCACATCCTCCAACTTCGTCAATACTGAAGTCGCCTTCTTGAACGACTTTCCATACTCTTCCAGAATCATCCCGAACAACTTCTCCGCCCTAGGATGCGTGCTTGCGAACGCTCTCTCAAGCACATACAGATCCACAGCCCGATCTTCATCCGACATGCTCTGCATCGCCAACCCAAAGTCAATCAGCACTACCTCCCCCCCCAAGACTCCCTTCTGTTCCCCCTCTTGTCTCCTCAGCATCATATTACTAGTTGTCAAATCCCCATGCACAACTCCCGTTTTATGCAGCGCCCCAACAACCCGTCCAATCCTCCTCATCAAATCGCCCAACTCTTCCGCTTCTTCCTGCCCCTCTTGACTCTCCCCGCTCCCCAAATATTCATTAATCGCTTGCCTAACCGGTACCCCCTCAATCCACTCCATCATCAGCCAGCCATTCGCCGCATCCATGGCATACACCGCCGGCACAGGGACACCCTCTCTCCAGCAGCGCTCAAGGACCTTTGCTTCGGCGGCGATGCGGGCTTTTGTTAGACGGGCATCGAGAATGGGATGACGGTAGGGTTTCGAGGGCCGGTATTTGAGGGCGCAGGGGCGGTCGGGGAAGAGGTGGGTGGTTTTGTAGAGGCGGCCTTCGGCGCCTTGGGTTATGAGGAGGGCGGGCGAGGAGGAGGGGTGGGTTAGGATTTGCGGTAGGGGGAATTGGTGTTGTTGTTGGTGGGGGACTGCCATAGTGTTTTGTTTGGAATGTCTTTCTTCTATAACAGGGCCTTGTCCGGTGTCAAATTGGCTATCTTTTCGGAGGTTCGAGAGTATCGTATGGTCAGATGTGGTGTTGGTGGTCGTCGAGGTAGTGACTGTGCGGTGCCGCGCTCGAGGACATAGAGAGGGGGGGGGGGGCACTTTTCGATGGAGGGGCATTGGAGCGGGCGCCTGGCAGCTGCACAAGAGTGGGCCTGCGCGGCGCGATCATCCGTCGCACATAGATCTCGCAGCCTTAGGTTAAGGTTGATCCAAGAACCCGGAATTCCGATTTATATTTCAAAGTCCAATTTTGCGATCCTGATTCTGAATGCGATCCTTGATTATTTTTTGTTTATTTATTTCTAGAGAGTTAGGCATCACTGAGCGGGATGCCCTCAGTCATGTCAGCACTGTATACATGCAAGCCCTTCTTCCCCCACGTTAACAGCTCTCCTTGGGTTATCACTTGGAGTATATCTCTCTTCCTCTAATCTGCTCATCAACTGCTCTCCAAGGCAACATCATGTCCGCCCCAAAATGGTATTCCCGGATGTACGATGTCAAATGCCCAATCGCGGGGACCATACCACAGGTAGCACCGACACCCTAGCCTTAGAGCTCATGCTGGGCCGATCACATGGCGAAGTCGCGTGGTCAACGCCAGATCTGTTAATCAATAATGGACCGAGCTACAACCACGCTTCGACCCCGGCTGCCGCGGACGCCACAGTCCGTGATCACCCAAGAGCGGGTGCAGGTTTTGGCGCTTCTGTGTTTCTTAGGACTGCTGTGATAGAATGTGAAACGTGTTCCTCTTTTCTTGCAGTCCTGGTAGGTTATGCTGATCACTGCTCATCGAAGCTAAGGATCGCGATTGAGCTTCTGTCTCTACTCAAAGTCACTTTAAAGCCTATACCTCAAACTCAAACTTGATCGATCCATCAAGCCACCACTTACTGATCATCTAAACCTCATGCTTCAACATCAGCTTCAGCAATGACATCCAACATATTCCCGCATAGCCAACCTTCCGTTTTAACGCCATCACCACCAACAGCCCCAATCTCGGCCCCCTTACCCCTCGCCGTCCTTCTGTCCCTCACCTCCTTCCTCCTCTTAGTGACACTTCTTGTCCACATTCTCCCCTATTACAAGTCGTACTTGTCTGCTTCCTCCGAGGTCTCCTGCCTCCTCGAAACATCCGATTACCTTCTCGCCGAAGCCGACACCTACACCCATGAAGTTAGCAAACTCCCTCGTCTATCAGACCGTGTCCGGCTCTCCAAGCTAGTAAGAGAGTTCAGGCGGGAGGCAGAAGCCCTAAGGAAGGAGGTCAACTCTCTTGTGTTGCGCAGAGGACAGCATCAGGAACATGGACGGGGAGAGGGTCTTGCGTTGAGGCCGATCGCCCGACTGGGCTGGGCTGTTTACAAAGGCCGGCTTGACGAGAGGATACGGAGAGTCGACGTGCTCCGCGTCCGGCTGCTAGTCGCGCAAGTGGGGGTAATTTCCAATACAATAGCCGAGTCAACACCACCTCCAACGAGGGAGAACAGCCCAGGGTTGGGGGTAATCTACGAGGAGAAGCCGCTCGATGCGCCACCAACTCCGCCGCTTACTCCGAAAACAATGCCCCGTAAGGGATGGGATAGCAGCGAGTCGTTCAATACGACTGAGCTGACGCCAGCGAAGCAGAAGTTGACTCTCCAGACGGACTGTGTCGACACTTCGAGCAGGAAAGGATGGGCCGGCGTGGTCAGGGAGTTGCAGAAGAGTCCGCTGTTGAAGGAAAGGCATGCAAGTATTGAGTTGGCCATGTCGAGGGCTGCTTGAGGAGATTGGGAAGAATCGGATTCCATGTAGGATAAGGGATGATTCTGTTTTCGTTCGTTTAGGGAGGGGCACAATATAGGAGAATGGAAGATTGATATCTTCGGGCGTTAACGGCGGACTGGATCTCTCTTTTGGATACCCTGGCCTGGTCTGATCTAATATCTAATGTCTGTCTTTGCATTGGTTAATGGTCTTCTCTTTCCTGGGTGGCTTTTTTTTTTTCCAAGGCGAAAACAGGAGAGAGTTGAAATGGAAAGGATGAAACCACAACGGGTACCGCTGGATGCATTCTGGGAAATATAAGTGCCCTAGGTTCCAGGTCATATTTTTTTTGGACTAAATTAATTGAATTACTTGCGTTCGTCATAATAGTTAAGGTCGTGGTCAACTTGGGAAAACGTTACAGTTAAGAACTTCAGTGTTGGGGGCATATATTGTTTGGTCTTTGGATCTACATTAAGTTGAAAAAGCCTTTTTAGAACCTGGTGACGGGACTTGGATATCGAAGTCAAACAATTATACTCATTCACGATTAACCATGGTATTCATTTTCATGTCTATGCAAATCCCAGTCATGTAACGATATATACACGGATCCCTCTATGCTCCTTGCTCACTCGTATTATACAGTGAAATAGATGGTGTCATCATCATGGGTGTTGCAGCTCCGATACATGTATGCTTCCTGAGCTTCCTTAAGCCAACCGAATCGCCACGTCTCAGCGTGACTCTTTTTCCATCCTCTTTCCACGGTATATACGTAATATACATTGCTCCTGCTCTCAATCAGGCCAGGTATAGATGAGTGTGGTTTCGATATAAAAGTTGTAGTATCTTGGATGGCTTCGTTTGAATGATAAGCTTGCCCGCTTTTTTGCTCTGTCCTTCTGACATGGCTCAGTAGCCATCTACTCAAAGCGCCCCTTGGTCAACTTTGCTAGTGTGCTTATTGGCCAGAGGGTTTGGACGAGAATCGTTGAAGTGGTTGTGCTATGCAGGTGGCTAGGGAAGCTGCTCTGCTCTCAATGAGACTAGGCTCTTCCCTCGTTTGTGTCGTCTTGCTTTCCAGAGGTTGTTGTGTTTCTGCCCCCTGTATCGTGAATTTGTTTCCGACCGGTCTATCCCTTCCCGGATTCCTTTTAGGCCCATAGACCGTCTTTCTAATCTTCCTATCTCTCTCCCCATAGCCCCTTAATCTTACTCCCAACTCTTCATCTTCACACCCTTCATCTGCTTTTAGAACACTGGTTTGGTCTTTCCCCTCCTTAACAACCCCTCTTCCTCAGAGGTATTTCCACAGGCTCTAGCCCTCTCTTCACTAGCCCCTCGACATCCGTACACCCCTCTGGCGGGCCCTCCCACACGAGACTGTGGATCAACAGATCCTTCTCGTAAGCCTGGCACAGAAGCGTACTCAGCGGAACGGCTGGCTCGGAGTGATGGATGAGTTCAACAGCCCAGGAGGTGAAGGCTCCATAGAGGGCTTTGCCGGGGCTGTGATGGGTGATTTGCTTTAGGCTTAGGTGGTCTGGGCGGACCGGATCAGAAGATGATGGGGAATCGGGAGGTTGTGTTGTGTGCTCTACCTGAGAGCCCGCTGCTGACATAGCTTCGCTCTCGACAAACCCCTTCAACACCTCCTCAACACTCCTCCCATACTTCTTCTGATACCACCTCCCAAAATCACAAAGCATCAACCGCCTCAACCACTGATCCCTTGCAATACTAGAACCATCCGTTTCGTTCCAGAGCTTTTTGACCCGCTTCGTCACCTTCTCAACCTCTTCTCCTCCTTGTAACAACTTTATCCCTCTCGTCTTCAAATTGGAATGAGCCGGCATGTCCGCCAGGTAATGGACATACCTCCACACAGTAGTCAAAACCTGGGCCTTGTGCGTCACGCGCGCGAGCTCGAACAATAGATAGCATGATGTCTCATCGACAATATGCGTCATGCCCTGCGCATCAAACATAGCCAAAATTCTCAACGCCTCGTCCAGCCGGCGATGACACTTGCAATGCGTAAGCAGGACATTCAGCGTTTTGACATTGGGCCGGTCCCGCTCGCTGGCAAACATGTGCTCCAGGATGCGGCGACAGTCGTCCCATTTTCCATAGCTGCCAAACACGTATAACACTCTGTTTGCCGCGGCCCGAGTCAACCTCCATTCCTCGCCATACAGCCGTGCCTGTTCCCGCAGAAACGTCTCTGCATCCTGCCCCAGCTGAACGGCCCTGTACGCATCATTATGCGCCAGCTCGTTCGACACCAGAATCACCGCCTGCCGGTTCCCCTTGCTGAAAAAGTTCTTGGTGTGCATCGCCTGCAGGATATACCGCCTCACCTCCTCGGCCTCTACCAGCCTCAGAAAGTGACACCACGTGCGAATGTTGGGCGTGTGTCCGGCTGCAAGCATCTTGTGCACCAGCGGCCGGAAGGCCACGATATTCTTCGCCTTCACGGTCTCTTGCAAGAGGAGGTTATACACCTCCACGTCGATGGGCAGACCGAGGGCCTTTGCCCTCTCGACCAGCTTCTGCGCGTCGGAAACAAACCGCTCGCCGCCACGGGCAAAGTACTTCAGCGCGAGCTTGAGCGCGGGCAATGTCGCGGCACGTGAGACAACAGGGTCGGCGAAGACGGAATGGAGCAGGCGCACGACGCATTCTTGATGAGTTTCGGTGCGGTGGGGGTAGAGCGTGCGTTCGAGGTAAGGGGGTATGTAGCTCTGGGTCAGCGTGGCGATGTACTGATAGAAGGTCTGGAAGGTCCAGCGTTCGGGGAGCGGATGCTCGTCGGCGCGTGTGTAGAGGGTGTACTGGCGGCGGATGGGCGCCGGTTCGGGAGGTACGATCCAAGTGGGTTCTTCGTCGGGGGATGGGAGAAGGTCTTCTATGTCAGAGGTGCTATTGAAGCGGGTAACTTGGACGTCTTTGGCGACCTTGACGATGTCGTCGACAGCCTGAGACACCGCCCACGGTTCGCCGGTCAGGAGGAGATACGGCCTGCTCTCCTCCCCTGCCCCGTCTTTCGGCATATACAGCCGAATATCACACCCCGAGTGGCTCTTAATATTCCATAAATTCTTTCTGAAATCTCCTTTTAACCTCTCCACAGCCCCTTCCTCGATCAGCTCAACCTTGACAACCTCATTCGGGACATCCTGCGGCCTGGTTGCAACCATCAACTCCTCCAGAATCAACCTCCAGTCCGGAGGCTCCGCAGCCTGCCTGCGCAGCTCAATCCGCTGCTGTCTCTTCAGCGCGTGATGGTGATGCCGGTTCTCTTTGCGCTGCTCGACCGGGTCGGGGAGCGCAATCGGGTTCTGCACGACGACTGGGTCCCAGAAAATGTGTGGGCGCACGGGAACCCGCTCGAGGCGGTCTACGAATGAGGGCTCGGCCGGACGACGGAGGGCCGCTGCTTCTTTTTGCCGTGCGGCGGCCGCTTTGCTGGCGCTACTGGCCCGGGCGGCAGTCCAGGACGCATAGCGGTCTCGTTGAGGGGCTAACTGGTCGGAGAAATGTTTGGGGAAATCCGAGGAGGAGGAGGACCGACGGAGGGGTAAGCTGCCGACGAGAAGGGGGTTCGGCCGAGGAGGAGAGGGGTTGGAAATCGCGAAGGTTGTCGGCGCCGGAGCCGGGCGGGAGCGGCAGAGGAGGGCCCATTGCGGCCAGGCGCTGCCCGATAACCTTGATCCAAGGGTCATTTGCTGTTCGGGCAGCGCATTGCGGGCGCTTCTGGCCGTCTATATCGGTGTCATGCGCAATATATCGTGCTTGGTAGGCCCGTGTATCTCATGGAGTCGCGCATTTCTCTCTGTGATCAAAGGCGATGGACCCCTGCTGCGGTACAATTTTTGGCTGGCCGCACTGTCCCCACTTCGGTAAGATTCCCACAGATCTCTGATAAGATAGTAATTTACGATAAGATAGCGTACTGAATGCCATCACAATGAAGGATGAGATCTGTAGCTATCGGGAAAGTTTGCCGTTGTCAGATGCCCTACCTACCTAGGTAGAAATTGGACAACCCGGATTAAACGTACCAATTTTACAAAGTTGAACAGATATATTATAATCACAGTGGGTATAAATTCATTATTACCTACCGGGGCAGTAGCTGCCCCCTGATGTCAGCTCCCTTCTTGACCATTGCAGTTCTCCGAGTCTTGCTTCCCCTCTTTCGGCCTATCTTTTCCATCTTTCCCTTCCTCCTTCTCTCCCTCTTGTGGCCTGTCATCCTTAGGAGGTGGTGCTGGAGCCGCTGGCCCCGACTTATCGACCCCCTGCCACTCCCTACTCCATCCCTGTTGAGGATCAGCCGCCCCTTTGGACCCTCCCTCGTCGGCAACCCCTTTTACATCACTCCAATACTCTAGCCTTCTAACCTCCTCATCCGCACGCTTGACAGCTGCCCCAAGATATCTTGCCCTCTCCTTTGATTCCTGATCACCTTCGGTCTCTAGCCTGGCCATTAACCCCTCGTATATCTCCGTCAGACTGGTCAAGAGTGTTCGCCTCGAAGCCTGGAAGACAAACATTCCCATGATATCGTGCATGATCCCCGGCAGACCACTCAGCCCGTCGCGCGCGTTGGCAATGTAGTTGTGCACAGCCTCAATCTTCTCGCGGTCAATCCTTCCCTCGCGTAGCACCTCCAACAGCTCATCCGCATGCTCAATGACCTCCAAGTCCGCACTCGGCGCGATGCTTGCTGGCCCTCCAACGGTACTCACACTCAGCCGACTACTGGCCCTGCTACCAGCGCGACTATGACTCCTGCTCCTTGACCTCGCCCTCTCACTCGACGGCCTAACTGTGAAATAATCCGGGTTCAACCGATACGGATCGTTCGACTCGACCGCATCAAGCATCTCACCCGTTTTCCTAACCCTCCTCCTTACCCACGCGCGTCTCCTCACAAAACTATCCCACCACCTCGGCCGATGCCACTTAAACCCCGACCAAAACCCACAAGCGTACATCCAACCCTCCTCATCCTCCTCATTTTCTCCTCTGCGATATACCCGCCAGGTGGGCCACTCTCGATCCCACTCCCAACTCGGATCAGGCACCTGCGCGGTGTGGATGTCTGTAGGGGACGGGCGATGCGCGTGATTCGTCCAGGCGGGCGGGTCCAGGTTGCCCAGGGCTTTGGAGGAGAACAAGGGGATGCCGCAGCAGAAGCAGCCGCGTTGGTTTTCGTAGAGGATGTCGATTTCGGAGGTTGGGGCGCTGTGGGTGGTTGTGATGCGGCGAGCTTTAGAGAGGGCGGTTTGGAGGTCGGTTATGGGACGGGGGGCTTCGTACGGGGTTGTGTAGGGGGATGGTTCTGGGAAAAGGTCAGCATGTCTGGCCGGACAGTGAAGATCGTAATGTTCTGGGCAACTTACTGTCGACCTTCACAACGGGCTGACCCGCACTCCCCGGTCTCCCCCGTCTGGCAGTAGACGTAGACGACGCGCCATCCTCGCCAACTCCAAGCGCCACCACAGTGCCTGTCACATTGGACGTGCTTTGATTCCTCACTGGCGAAGGTTCTTGCGAGGACCCCGTTTGTCCCTCATCGTCGCGATCGACCAAGCTAATCTCATGATCAAAATCGCTGTCCTTGAGTGGGGGAGCGCGGCGCGACGAACGGTGTCGCCCGTGCCTGATCTTGGGCATCTCTCTTTTTCTCCCTTTTTTCCAAGTCCTCAAACAAGACCAGAACGCGTTTTGGGGGCCAAAAGGAAGCTAGCTATGCATCGTAACAGCTTCAAGTTCTTAGTTGAGTCGAGGATGTTAGTGAAGAAGTCTTAGTTGGCGCCGATCAATGGCACGATGATAGCCCTGTTGCACAGGCAACTCTTTCAGCTTTCGCCTTTCACCCCGTACCGGGTCGAGGGCTCCTTACACGAGCCAAAATTGAGCATGGGCATGGTGACAAGAAAGGTTGGCTGGGACCATGGCTGCGCCGCGTGCGCCATGGCCCATGATGTAATGCGTTCCGTCGGAACCTGTGATGAAGGGGCTGTGCCAAGCTCGCCTGCGCCAGTCTTGGCACCGTTTTGAATCAAAGTAAGTTACATTTATGATTACAGTAACAGGATGTATTGGAGAAGGGTGGTTTACGGGCTTCGACGAGATTAAACTCGAGAACCGGAAGGTATTAAAGCTATCTGAATGTGTAAGATAGACTCAGTTGTTGAATTAATATAGATCACAGGCCATACAGCAAGATATTTCATAGGCAATGATGCAGACCGCTAACAAAACAAAAACTAACAACAACGTGCTTCCTCTAATCCCCCTGATCTCTCCCCCCCCCCCTTTCCCTTAGCTAACCCTGACCCTTGTTTTGAGCGGTGACCTCCTCCATTCCATCCATTGCTACGCTCCCCGCTCTACGTCATAGCAGCGTCTAAGAGGAAGAGCTCAAGGCCGTGACCAGTGAGTCTCAAGCTCAAGGTCCAGAGGACGAATAGCATGTCTGGATTCTTATAACAGCCGGGACGGGATGGGAGAGTCATAATCATGTGCGACTCTCTGGCTATGAGCCGAAACCTTCTTCCCGCTCTTATCCTCCATCATCTTTTGCCAAACTTGCTCGATTGTTCCTGTCGTGATCATCGTCGATTGTATTCTGACTTTGTCCATCGCCACTGAAACTTGCTACTGTAAACTTTCAGCTTTATCGTAATTTAACCCCCAAGAAAAAGAAGAGAGAACATCATGTCGCGCTCCAAAGCCCCCATCGCCATCGCCCTCGCGGCTGGAGGAGGCCTTGGCTACTACTTCTATCGTGCTGGCGGCTCGCCCCGGGCAGCTGAAAAGGACTTCGAAAGTTCGTTCACGTGATTACCATACTATTTTTATTCGGTCACAAGGGGCTGTACTGACCGCAACCGTACAGGCGATGCTCGTCGCCTCGCCTCCAGGCTCAAAGGTGAAGCCGAGCAGAAGCGCCAGTCCGTCGATATAGAGGAAAAGAGCGGCCGTATCTCGAGTGATGTGACTTCCAAGATCGAGGGGGCCGTAAGCTTTCTCTCCTATAACCCCATCTCCCTGTGATACACAGACTCCTCTCCTTATAGCCATTCGCTCCATGCTTCTATTCCTTGGCATCATATCTTCGTTCCCCGTTGACCAAGGACCAAGCTGACTTGCCTAGGTTTCTACTGTCAACAAGGAACTGTCCAAGACCGCCCAGGAGGCTGAGAACTTGGCCAAGCAAGCCAGAGCGGATGCGCTGAAGAAGATCGATGAGTTCGACCGCAAGGTTGAGGAGGGCGCTGCTAAGGGCAAGAGCTGGTTCTCTTCGTGGTTTGGAGGGAAGTAAGAGCTTACAAAATGGTGTTCTTGGAATCGGATTGAGTGGATATCATCGTGATTATAGTCTAACAGTTTGACTGGGTTGCCTGCTGGGTAATATTTTGTACTTCCATGAAACGCTGAATATCGTGAACCTTTCTCAATCCATATAACCATTAACACACTCTCCCTTTACACAGCCTGCCCCAACTGCTGCGCAACCAACTCCAACACTTCCTCCGTCTTCTTGCCCGCATTCCTCGGATCCTTAGCCACCCTCTGCCAAACCTCTCCATGTCTAGGATCATTCAGCACACACTTCGCAATCAACTCCTTCCTCTTCTCCTCCGTGCCATGCTGGCACAGGAACCGGTAATACCACGCCCATGTATCACCCAAGTCCCTGTCTAGTAAGAGCGCCCGCTCAAACCAGTTCTGCGCCCTGTCAAGCTTACGTTCGGCCCACAAGATGCGAGCGGCGGTGACTTGCAGGATGGGGTCGTCCTCGACCTTCTTGATCGCTTCGGTGATGAGCGCCTTGCGCTGGGTACGGGGCTCAAGGTACAGAATCCTCTCAGCCCACAGCAAGCCGCTGCGCGGCATTTGCTGCAAAGCTTGCGCCATGAGCGCCCGCGCCTGGGACAGATTGCCCGCTCTCCGCTCAACTCTGATAAGCTCCGTCCACAGCTCAGGGTTCTTCGGCACGGCTGTCCTGGCACGATCGAGAACACTGCGTGCCTTGACGACATTACCTGCGCGCTCTTCAAGACGAGAGTAGAGCAACCAGAGCGGGACGCTCGACGGGACGGCACGCACACCGCCAGAGTAGGCATCCCGCGCCAGCTCGATCTTGCCCAGGTCTTCGTAGATCTGCCCCTTCATCATCCACAGCTTGGGTGCGTTCGGGAACAACCGCAAGGCATCCTGTACCAGCTCCAACGCCGCCTGCGGATTGCCTTGCTGTCGTTCGAACGCGACGCTGCGCATCCAGACGCGATCCGTCGGGGCGTTCTGCCTGGCTGTGCGCAGCAACTCCCTCGCCTGGTCCACATGCCCGTTATCAGCCTCGAGCTTAACAGCGGCCAGCCAGATGTCCTCGTTATCGGGATTCTGCTTGAACGCGCGGGCAAGAACCTTTCGGGCTTCATTAATCTCGCCGGACTTCTCCTTGGCAAGCATAAGCCAGAAGGCCTCAACATGCGGGCAGGCTTCGACGGCCTTTTCCAGCGCGCGCTCGAGGTCCTCTTTCGTGCCGTGTTCGCGCTCGAGCTCGACAGCAGCGAGGTAGAGGGATCGTGAGTTGGGGAAGACACGTAAAGCGTAGGCATAAATTGCGCGCGCTGTGTGGAACCTTTCGCGGGAGATGCAGCCCTTGGCATCTTCCATCCAGATTTCTTTGCGGTCGTCGTCCTCGTCGAGACCCCAGCCGAGCGTTTCTTCGATGATGCTTGCGCAAGTAACCACAGCGCCCTCTTCTTCGCACTTCTCCGCCTCAGCAATCCACTCTTCCCGCTTGGGCATGGCGTTCTGCTTGGCCAGGAACTTCACGGCATTCTTCATCACTGGCCTCTTGGTGCCCTCGCCAAGTTGCTCCTCCAGTCTTGCGGCCGCAATCCAAAGCTCATGCGAGCTGGGTAGCTTCTTGACAGCCTTATTGAGCACCTTGCGCGCGTTATCGGGTGTCTCGAGGCGAGCAAGCGCCAGCCAGAGATCGAGCGACTCAGGGATGAGTTCTGTTGCTTTGGCGAGCAGCATCCTGGCGTCGGCCGGGTCCTCTTCGAGATTAACTGCCTCCTTCCACAGGGCTTCTGATGTAGGATTATGATCCAGCGCACGACGAATGACCTTTTTCTTCGAGCGCACATCGTTCTCGAGCTTCATCGCCTCAACCCACAGCTTGACCGAGTGTGGGTTAGCCTGGATCGCCTGCGCAGCAATGACCTTAGCGTTACGGTTGTCATTGATGTGGATGTTCTCCAGCCAGATATCCTCGCTCTTGGGGCAGTGTTGGCAGCCCTTTGCAATAAGCGCGCGCGCCGCACCAGGCTTCCCAGCCGCAATTTCTAAACGTGCCGCCGCGATCCAGCTTGCCGCTTGCTTCGGGTTCGAGTCTACTGCTGACTTGAGCATCTTTCGGAACTGTTCGATATCGCCGATGCTCTGCTCACCAACACTGGCGTTCGCCAATGAGGTAAGGTATCCCTTTGGATCGATACTCGTTGCGCTGCCGGCCGTCGCAATCCCGCTGCTTTGGCTCTGCTGTTCCAGCCTCGCGCGCAGCACTTTGTCTCTGGCCGCGCCAATCTTCGCGAAATCTGTGACTGTCCCATCCTTGTTGACTTCAGTTGCCGTGCCATCTTCGACCACTGTAGTGCCAAACTGCCCTTGATCCCTCGCCGCAGCAAGCACGCTATCCGGCACGGCATAAAACCGCTGCATCCTCGCCTGCCTTGCTCTCTTCGTTCGTCCCGTCAAGTCCTTCGGATCGGGCAAATTCGCCCACTCCTCCTCGGTAACTGCCTCTAGCGCCCTCTTCAGCCCAGCAAACTGCTGCTGAATCTTAGGGAACTTCCTCTCATACTCCTCCCGCTCCGCCTTCTCCCTTGCTTCGCGCCACTTCTGTCGTCTCCTCGCCATCCGATCATCCACCTCCTTCCAAATCCGATCTGCCTCCTCATCATCCTTCTCGTATATCCCACCAGCAAACAGTCCCACCTCATTATCCGGGTCCCCATACCGTCCATCATCCTCATCATCCAGATCAAGATCGTTCTTCCCATCCTTTATGAGCCCCAACTGGGCTTGACGCTTGGCGACGGCGGCCTTGATGGCCTCCTCGTTGTCGCGCGCAGGACCAAGGTCGGATCGGGTCGTGAAGCCGGTAGCGCCACGTCCCAGACCGGCGACGTAGTTTTCGGGCGCCGGTTGGCTGAGGAAGTCGCGTCGGACCGACATTCTGGGCGATGCGATCGATGCAATGCGATCGGTTGGGGGGCTGAGGTCGAGAGGGTGGATGGATGGTTGGTTGAGAATCCAGATCGCAATGCGCGCAGAACCGAGTTCGACATGTCGGTTGCATGGGTTAGGGTTGTTGGCTTGGTTGAGGGTTAGGGTTGCAATAGGACACCCAGATGAGAACCGGGGCAAAACTTTGTCCCGCTCTGTGTTGGAACAAAGATACGAGAACAAACTGTTGCTTGGGTTATTAGGAAATTTTAAATGTGTTCATGCATGATCGTTCGCTTCAAACAGCTGGAATGCTCCCATTGTTGGAAAGTCGGTGCTATTTACTCTCAAGCGTCAACAACATCAACGCCACGAAAGCAATTGCCAGAATCAACTCTTCAGAGGCTCCATTAACCCATAGAATCTTTTCCCGTTCCATCCTAGCTGATCTTACCAAGCCATCATAAGAGCAAGAAACCATAAAGAAAGCCAAGGTAACCTTACAGACATACCCAGTTCCTAATCCACCTCTTTCATTCCGGAGAGTTCCGTACTACTGCAACAAGAGCGCATCCTCGTCCAAAACTCCAAACAACCCCTCAATCTCCCGAGCAATGACCTTCAACTCTTCCGCAACCTGCCCGGTCACAAGGGCATATGCATATAACAGCTCATAATCCCTTTCCTCGACCTTAATCTGTCCCAGGCTCGAACCCCTCCAACCCCCTTCTGCTTCCCTCCTCAAATTCTGTGCTGAACTCGGAGATTCAGCTTCAGTCCCTGAAGCAGAAGGCTGATGCTCCTTGCGGAACATGAATATCCTCCCCAATAGCCTATCCCTCAGTCTGTTGACGCTTGGGATGGCGTCTGTCAGGGGGTACTCCAGCATCACTGAGCTAGCCAGCACTTGGAAGACGTGGCAGATTCTATCACACAGCGCGGCACGCTCTTCGGCTGTGTACAGCAACAGTGCTCTCTCGCCTTCGGTCAAACTGGCCTTGCGCTGAGTGACGAGGGACATAGCATAAAACGCGTCCAGCAGGCGGTGTGTAGAAGCCATCAACCTCTTTGCCGGTTCCGAGGGGAATGGTCCACGCAGTTCAAACTCCGACACAGCGCTCGCGCGAAGGGCATCCAAGCGGGCAGCATATTTCTGCAGAGCCTGCTGTTCACCAGACCGGAGGTACGATCGCGAGCAGTTACTCCTGAGCAAGATCGCCAACGGCCCGCGGCGCCAGATAAGCCCCATCTGGAGGTGCAGCATGGCCAGTCCTTCCTTGAACTTGCGTCGAGCCGATATGGGCCAGACCAAGCGGCAGACAATCAGCCCCCAGATAATGCCCACAGTGACGGCAACAAACCGATGGAGCAGAATTTCCCTTATGATAGGCTTTGTTCCTCCTTCGTCGTCATCGTCGTCATCGACCCGTTGGCTCAAGCTATACGCGTATAACAAGCACACGTTGTACGCCAGGAGGGTAATCCGTCCCAGGGGAGCGCGCCCCTTGGCAATGATGACGTAGAAACTCCAAAACGCAATTAGTGCTCCCAGAATGACGAGCACGACAGCATTCTGCCCTGAAATGTGCCAGTTGAGTGCGGCGGCCGCTATGCCGATGACTGTGCCCAGGAATCGAGCAAGACCGGTCGTGTTGGCTGCGCCGACGGTCATGGAGCAGACAATCATGAAGGAGAGCAGGCCCCATTCGCCGCGCCAGTGGCGGTAGACATCGCGAGTCTGCGGTAGGAAAGAGAACATGGCCCAGAGGGCGGCGCCCACGCCGACCTTAAGGCCGAAGCGAACTGAGCGGTCAGCGGTCAGCATGGGTTGGGCTCTCAAGATCCTTAAGGAGACTTACCATCATCCCTGGCCACTTTCCTCAACAGCTTTAACAACCGCTGCGACAGTGTCGCGACCACTTTATTCTTCCTACTCTCCGGTGGCGCCACCTGCCAGCTGTATGTATCCCGCCTCGCGATCATGGTATCCGCAATCCCCTTAGGTAGAGCCGTCTTCTTGATTGGCTTGATGAGCGGCGCTCGCTCCTCGTCATTGTCATACGGTAGCGTCGTCATGGTAGCCCTGCCAGCCTTATCATGCTGCCACCACTTCATCCAATGCCAGCTCTTGCTGCGATGCTCGTCCACAAACTTCAGGTCATCCAGTACGTCGAGGTACTTGAGCATCTCCTCGCCAAATGTCTGTAGACTGAAACTGAAATGCCCACATGCGGCTGCAACTTCCTCGAAATCGGCTTTCAGACTCTCAGTCCGTGTCCGGTCCAGCTCGAGTGTCTTGTACACCTCCTCAAGGGCGTTAGCTCGCGCTTCGTTATACAGGGCTAGCGCCTCGTGCAGACTGGGCCGGAAATGCTCATTGATGGTGATGTGCCAGTCAGGCGCCGAACCAAAAGGCGGCGCCCGTAGGATCTCGGAGAGCGTGTAGGCAAGGGACTTCATGGACGGCCCCAGAAGCACGATGAAGTGCTCAAAGATGTCGGACGGGTGCCGGAATGGCGGTGTCTTGGGAGTAGAGGTCGAGGGACCAGTGTCGGAGCGTCGTCGTTCTTGTATGGGATGTCCGTCCTCATCATTACTTTCCTCAGAGGCCTCATCAATCGCAGATAAGACACCAGGTCGGTCTTTCAAGCTGCGTAGGGTACCTGAGAACGTCTTTCCAGGCGGCGGTGAAAAAAAAGCTGTTGGACTAGTTTGTGTTGGGGCAGATGTAACTCTCGTCAACGGCGCTATGGGCTCTTTCAAGAGGGCAAACTGCGAGTTGGCTGCACTCCTTAACCCGCCAATCGACTGTGCCAGTGTCTCCATCGATCTGACAACTGCCCGCTCATGCCGGTAGATCGTCTCATGTCCTAAAAAGTAGCGCTCAAACTTGGCCTCGCGCAGGTTTTTCGTCATAGTCGGATAGACGGTTGAGTAAGCGGATGAAGCTGCCGTAAACTCAGGGGACAGCAGGTCCTCCTCTGAGCCACTCAGAAATGCCCTAGTAATCAGAGCTAACATATCTCCCAGCGCGACAGACGCCTTGGTCATGGACTGACGAAGGGCCGACACGGCTGATGCCCTCCAGACCAGCAGATTCACAACCGTCGTAATAGTAATTCCCATAACGAGCATCTTGAAAATTTGCACAATTTTCTGATCCGAGAACACGCTCGTCAACACGGCCGTCTCCTTCGTCACAACGCTGATAATTGCCAGTGATGCCAGCGTACTGCCCACATTCACCAGTGGATTGTTCATCTTCTGCTTCACCCATCCTACGAGCCCGAACCCACCCCCAATGAACACTATCAGCACCAGCGTATGCGCTAGCGCTGGCATGTCAAGAACACTCCCAAAGAACACGGACGTCCACATCGATAGAATGGACACCAATTCGGCATACGCGACCGCCGCGATGGCGATAAGGACAGCCTCAATCATCGAACCGAAGGAGCGGGCCGGATGGAAGTACACCGTAATCGTCGCGACAACATGCTTCCCGTCAGGACGGCCCAAGAACTTTGAGATCGGTTCAATGAAAGTCGCCAAACTGCCTAGAGTATAGGCCAAAGTACATTTGAGGATTCCATGGCCAACCGGGGAGTCGAGCCAGCGCAGAATGCGGTTGGCATACAGGAGGGCATCGGCTCCCCAGAAGCGCAGGCGGTCGCGCAGGGATATGTGAGTATAGTCGTGTGTCTGCGGAGAGTAGCCGTCTGCAGAGGAGGCGGAGCCGTTCATGGCCAAGTTCGAACTGCGCAAGGTGAAGTTGCGACGTACGCGCTCGCCCGTCGAGGGGATGATGACGGTGCCATTGCGGAGTTTCTCGTACCGAGTTAGTCTTGATGTCTCTGATGTTGATTCAGAAGACATAACGTTCAAAAATTATCAAAAAAAAATAAACACATGGCTTACACTCCTCTTAGAAGGCCGCCTAGGGGGCCAGTGAGACGGCAGCGAGGCCGAAGACGGACTCATCGCATGGTCTGCTCTGTTGTTGTTGACGTTGTTTGCCGTCAACGACGGAGCTTGTTGGTTATTGGCTCAGGACTTGGATGCTCCTCTGAAAAAATACCGAAGTTAACCAGTCGATACTTGCAAAAATTACAGCGCTTTGAGATGATCACGTGCTCGCGATCATTTTTTTATTCCAACAAAAAAAATGCATCCTGTTATCATCAAAGAGAAGCAGGTTCGATCGGCAAGCTTTTGCTGTCAGTGGATGAACATCGATCGAAGTTGGGACCCTCGCTGACAGCTTCCAGGCAGCCCACACAGTTTCGATATCACACTGTAATACTGTACCCTTGGCAGCTGGTAGCCGGTGGGGCCGAGTGACGTAGCAGTGCCGCCCGAACGCCAGCCCCTTGGACTCTTGGTCTTAGCGGGGCCGAAGTTCTGGATGAGAGTGGGGAGGGGATCTCGAACACATGAAAAAGTCAAGATCGAGACTCTGATCAAGATTATTACCGAAAAAGGGATCAGGCCAAGGCGAGACAACGTTCGTTTCAATGTTGGTTTCTGTTCGAATTTAATAGACTATAGAGAGGACTTGTGGGTTTGCGCTCGAGTACCGTTCTCTTTTTTCTTTTCCTTCTCTTTTCCCAGAACTCCCTGACCCTCAGGGTTATTATGCGGTGGTTCTGGTCTAAGATGTCGCCGTCGGCCTCGTGGAAGTTCGCCCCTCTGGGCAAGCCTTATGTTCCTAGTCCGAACATTAGGAAGCTAGAAGGTGTTGTGTTTGATGTTGATGGCACGCTATGGTGAGTTCGAAAATTCAGTTCTAAGTTTGGGTTGGGGTAGTTATGGCTATAAGACACGTGTGAGACTCTTGTCTATGTCGTTGAGAGGGCTAAGATATCTCTCCCTGAGTCCAACACGAATTCACTCACATCTCTTAATGCACTTACCTCTGTACTCCCATCATGAAAACATTGCTAATATCTGGTGCAGCCTCCCCCAAAACTACATGTTCGCCGAAATGCGTGCAGCCCTAGGCATCCCCAAATCAGTCGACATCCTCGAGCATATCTACTCCCTTCCCACTCCCGAAGCCCAGACCACAGCCATGGAGAAGATCCGCTCCATCGAGCGCCGCGCCATGGAGCACCAAAAACCCCAGCCCGGCCTTGTCGAGCTTATGGCCTACCTGTCAAGCAAAAACATCCGCAAGGGCATCTGCACGCGCAACTTTGATACCCCCGTGCATAATCTGCTGACCAAGTTTCTGGCGGGACACGAGTTTGCGCCGATTGTGACGAGGGATTTCCGGCCGCCTAAGCCTGATCCGGCGGGGATCCTGCATATTGCCCGGAGTTGGGGGTTGGTCAGGAGGAGTACGGGCGAGGCTGGTGTGCCGGCTGATGAGACGAGGGAAAAGGAGAGGGTGAAGAGAGGTGATGTGGAGAAGACGAATGGGGATGGATTGTTGGCTAAGACGGAGGAGGGCGAGGAAGTAGCTGATGCGAGCCAATTGATTATGGTGGGGGATAGCATCGACGATATGGTACGTTCATTTGCCCTCTTGAGGGTCGTGTTTGAGGAAGAAATGGGTGAGATGATGACTAACAAAAACAGACCGCCGGCCGCAGAGCAGGCGCCAAAACGGTGCTGCTCGTCAACGATGTCAACCGGGACCTCATCAACCATGAGTACACCGACATGGCGATAAACCGCTTAGACGAGCTGATAGACATTCTGGAGAACGGACGACTTTAAACCAAGCCACCTTCCAGGATACGCAATTTAGACATATGAATACACTTATATCCACCCTGTATATACTCAATGCATAGCGTGTGACTAAGATGTTGATTTAAACCTGATATTTGCTTTGCCCAGCCTACTACTACCTACACAAGTTGAGCGAGGGAACAGAAAGAGCCATAAACTGAAACCGAGTAAAAGAAAAAAAGGAAATGACGGAAATCTCCTGGGCGCTCTGCACACCAACACCAATCCCGCCGACCTGCAGCCTGCTCACCTCTGGCCTGCCCGCTTCCATTTCTCCAACTAGCATGGGACCAATGTGACCTATCGCCAACTGTCTAGATACTGTCTTTTTCATATTCTCTACAGCTAGGATAGAGAATTGGGTAGATGAACCAGATGCGGGAGGTAAATGCCTGAGAGCTCCAGCTAGACACAGGACATCCGTTCTCTGGGCAACAGCGACAGGGCCAGCTATTGACTTAGGGAACCAGCAAGCTGAGGAATTGTACCGGCCCGATACAGGATTGACGAATGAGCTGGAAGCTGCTGAGCCCGAAATCGACTCACGGCGCGTTATCCGACTACATCGGCCCACAGTAGCGGTCCTGTGGTGGCTCTCTCATCTTGGTCCCTTGCTACAACTGGCCACCACACCCTGACCGTGCGTTCCATTGCGTCCTTAGTCAAGCCCATAGATGACGGTACCGGTGAACAGGACAGCAGTCAGAAGATGGAGGGAAGCCGACACATAACAGACGAGAAAAATAAATCGTTTCATTTGCCGTTCATGTTCCGACATTTGTGTGTTCATCCAAGAACTGTACCGGTGCGATGAAATTACCCCAGGGATATCCTATGCTTGACTTTACAGAGAAACCACTACTCGTGGTCCCAGTCCCGAATATAAAGCCGATCCATCTGCGCCGGCAACCCTGCCTGGTCAACCGCATACCGGTGGTCGCGCGGGTCGACATATTCCCTCGGGTCACGCTCGTCATGATAGCCCCGGGAATCATGGTAGTCTCCGCGAGCGTCGTGGTAGTCCCTGTAGTCTCTGTGATCACCTCCGTAGTGATCTTCGTAACCGCGATGGTCGCGGTAGTCCCTGTAGTCCCTGTGCTGCTCCCGGTAGTCTCTGGGGTCGCGGTGCTCTCGGTGTTCCCTGTGCTCGCGATGGTCGCGGTAATCACGATGGTCACGGTGGTCACGGTATGCTGAGGGTAAAGTTAGCATGCTCGTCATAAAATAAAAAACAGGAAAACCTACTAGGTGTGCTTCCTGACGCATCGCCATGGTAGGTGGGTGAGTCGCTCGAGCGCAGCAGCTCCTGGGTCGATGGCGACGGTTGCGGCTGCAAATGCGACTTGCGGTTGTCGCGTTCAATAAGGCCACAAGCCCACTCCTGCAGGTTGACAGGTGTCCGCTTGGCGGCCTGGATAAAGGGGTCGCGGTCCTAGTCATACTGTTAGTGCCCTTAAAATGACACTCGTCGCTGAAAAACGTACATAGAGCTCCTGCGGTGTTGGCCGCTCGTCCGGGACCTTGGACAAGCACTTCTGAATCATATCCTCCAGAATCTGAGGGAAAGCATCACTCTTGGGTAGTCTCGGCGCCGGCTCGTGCACGATCTGCTGCAGAAGATCCAGAATACCGGCCGGCCCGCTGTCCTCCTCAGCAAACTCCTCGCTGGCCGAGAAGGGGAACTTGCCGATGGCCAGCTCCATGATCGTCAGGCCAAAACTCCACACATCCGACTTGACTGTGTACTTTTCGCCCTGAATCCGCTCAGGGGCCATGTAAGTGGAGGTACCGACGAAGGTGTCGGCAATGGAGTTAATCAGCTCGCCCGACACACCAAAGTCGCAGAGCTTGATCTGGCCGCGCGAGTTGACCAGGATGTTGGACGGCTTGATGTCGCGGTGCATAATGTGATGCTTCGCGTACAGGTAGGTCAAGCCGCCGAGAGTCGCCTCAGCGATCTTACCCAGCACGTCGACCCGAATCGGCCCAAACTTCTTAGAGATGCGGTCGAGGGAACTGTCGAATTAGCAACATGTAGTATTACACCCGGGACTACACCTACCCGACATCCATATATTCCATGCACATGACGACGTCATTGTTTTCGTTCAGGAAGGCGCCGTAGAAGGTAACAATGTATTCAGAGTGGCAGCCATGCATAATCTGCAGCTCGCGGACTATCCGCTTTCGCATCTCCTTTTTCGCCTCAACATGGATGATCTAGGCTGCAGGATTAGCATTATGTCCTCCAAGTCGACCGCCCTTCTTGCCAAAGTCCCAGATCAAAAGCCACCAACCTTGCGAGCCATGACCGTGTTGGTCGGGATGTGCCGAACTTTGCTGACGGTGCCGCCATTGCCGGCGCCCAGGTCTTTGATGACCTCAAGGTCCTCGGCCTTGAGGTCCAGGTTGAACTCGATGCCAATCTCGAGCTGAGTGGGCTCTTCACGCCGCATCCCGAGGCCGCCGGCCGGAGCTTTTGGTGCGGTCTTAAGGGCGAGGCCCTTGACGTTCTTCCGCTTCATGGTGCGCGGGGCGAAGGGGTCGGGTCTTTGGTCGGCCATGGTGGGTTGCGTCTGTGGAGGGGTTGGAGGGGCAGAGGTTGGGTCTTCGGTCGGGAACAGGGCCGCTAAGCGGTGATGAAGGAGATCTTAGAGGAGCGTCGTCGTCAGCGATCGAGGGGAAGTCAGAAGCGGGACAGGATCGGACAGATAGCGGTCGACGATGCGCAGACGGCAGATGACGATGATCGTTGGGGGGGGGGGGGCGGTGCGGTTACAGTGGACGCACAAGACGAAGTCTCGAGGCCAAGTTGGGCGCTGGAGCCAACTAAGCCGGGCAGCGCATGAAAGATGGGAAGAGATATAGGAAACAAGCCCGTACTACAGACCAGCGATGGCAACAACAGAGCTAAAAAGGAGGCGGCGTCGTCCACAGCAAGGTAAGGTCGTATGGTAGTATTTTGGGGTGGACGGAATGTGGAAGGTTCCGAGCTGGGTTGTTGCGGGCTGCCGTTGTCAGTCAGGCAATGTGGGGTTCTCGCGCTCTCCAAGGTTCCAAGACGCCGTCGACTTTTAAGAGTTGGCCAGGGTTGTCGCTTTGCCGCTATGAGCCACTCGGCGGTTGCAGTCTACAAAGACTGATGAGCCAAATCTTCAAATGAGTGCCTGAACTTGCGATGAGAGCGATCTTTTCTATTTTCTACGGCGGCGGCAACCTCAAATATCGATCCCTGGCGGTTGGTCCATGCTCTGAGCGCCCAAGTTTCCAAGCCCCCCCCTCTTTTGTCTCCCATCACTTTGAACCCCGAAGTCGAGCTTCATCTGTGTCCAAGTCTCTAACAGGCCGCTGAAACGCCCTGCAATTTAGGAGACTCCGAGACGCGCTTATCCAGCGCTTTGGATCAGGCGCCGGGTCTTGGGCTTCTCTCAGCTTCTGCTCCGGTGACAAAGGGAGCGAATCAGCGCTTGAGCATTGGGTCTGCGCTCAGCGAATGGAATGGGCACATGCTAAACTCCACTGCAGTTTACGAAAGACTTCATCGTGATCCAGCTGGACCAAAAATAGGCTGTGAATTTGCCATGAAGTCATTTTGCATTCTATCTCTATCCTCAGAATAAAGCTAGACACAACTCTTCATCATTTAGACCCGAGTCCTATCGCAACCTACGATGACGCTACCCATCTGCAGCATGTACGGGCTGCCCCTGGATCTGGTGGCGGGATATCCACTTCCCCGCCTGTGCTGACTCCTGAGAGGAGGGACGTACCTGGACGCAGGAGCCGCACAAGGGTGGGCCGCCTGCCAGTTGAAACAGCCCATCATCGTCATTCTGTCCGGCGTATGGCTGATTGTAACCATACGAGGCAAAGCTCTAGCATTACAAGGATGTATCGCCTGTATGACTGAAGATTGTCATGCCGAGCGTCTTGGTGGTAGCCGGCGCAATCCGAAAAAATGATTATGACCACTGGAATCAGATAGAGGGATATGCAGGTGAATAAGTTCATTGCTATCTTGTATGACTCCTGTCATCACCCAAATATAACCCTTGCATGCTCTCCTCAGTGAGTTCTTGTGAAGAAGTTTGCTGTCAGGCGAAAGTTGGCCTCGACTATTCCAATATCCTGTCATGCCTGGCTAGAAACTCTGACGCCAAGGCTAGATTATATAATCCAGATCTTATGCTTGGCACCGCACGGGCCACTACGCAAACACTGCGGCGCGGCCAGAGGCGAGGCTGAACGCGTTCTGAGATGCCATTGACGCTTCTTGCAGCTTGCAAGTCGGTCTGTTCCAAAATTTGAGCCCTTCTTCTCTGACCTGCCTGCCGCCGCCTTCCTCCTTACCATCGGATATTTGCCAATTCTCTCATCTGGCTCGTCAAACGACGTGATGCGTTGTTAGTATCTTAATTATCAACACCATTTGCAACCCAACACGGCACAAGCGGCGACCCTAGTGCTTGTTCCAGCAGCACATCCTACACCTGTTTCGACCGACTACTCACTTAGACCCAGCGCATCATTATTACCGGAACCATGAGCGACGAGGAGATGCGCGATCTGATCGATGGCGAGGCGGAGCTGAATGAGGAGAACGATGAGCCGGTCGACGACGAGGCCGGCGAGGCTGTTGGCGATGAGGACGGCGAGGATGAAGAGGCCGCCTTGATCGACTCTAGCGAGGAGGAAGAGGATGATGAAGACGAAGAGGAAGCTAGAAGGGTATGTTTGCCTTTTTTTTTTTGTTTGTAAAGAGTGGAGCTCTGACCCTCGCAGATCCGTGAAGGCTTCATTGTCGACGAAGACGAGGAAGAAGAGGAAGAAGAGGACGAGGAAGAGAAGGAACGCCGAAAGAAAAAGAAGCGCCGCATTCGCGAAGAGGAGGAGCAGCTTGATGAGGAAGATTTGGACCTCATCGGCGAGGCCACTCAACAATGGGAGCGTCCCCGCCCTGAGCCCAAGTTTAAGCGCCTGAAGCGCGGCCACCGTGCCGAGTCCCGTGGTTCCGAGCGCCGTGGTCTGGCTGAGATCTTCTCAGACGATGAAGACGACGAGACTGAGGAGCAGCGCTACAGCCGGTCGCATCGCGCTGTGGTCGATGAGTTTGACGACTTTATCGAAGATGATTACCCCGAAGACGACCAAGAGCGTATGCAGCGCGAACAGGAGGACAAGGAGGTCGCCCGCCCCAGAGATAGGCTCGTTGTCGATACTACCGGTCTCGACAAGGATGCTCTTGACGACATGGAAGCGATCTTCGGCAACGGCGAGGACTACGATTGGGCCTTACAGATGGAGGAGGAGGAAGAAGAACGCGAGCGCGAAGAACAGGCCATAGAGCTTAAAGACGTGTTCGAGCCGGCTCAGCTCAAGGAGAAGCTGCTCACGGACGAGGACAACCAGATCCGCATCATTGATGAGCCTGAGCGCTTCCAGATCGACCGCAAGCCCTTCAAGGAACAGCCCACGTCCGCCGAGTACTTCAAGGAGGAGGCTCGCTGGATTACCAACCTCATCTGGCCTAAGAAGAATCTGCGGGCCGACCTGCATGGTCCCTTCAACAAGGCTGTTGGCAAGGTCCTCGAATTTTTCATTATCGATGGCGTCGAGGTTCCTTATATCTTCCAGCACCGCCGCGACTACCTCATCCACGCCCGCAAGATCCGCAACAAGAGCGACAACCCCGACTCGCAGGAGTACACGCTGGACGCGGAGAAGCTCCTGAATCAGGATGACTTGTGGCGCATCCTGGAGCTTGACCTTAAGTTCCGTTCGCTCGTCGAGAAACGCAACTCGCTTGAGAAGGCGTATAACAACCTCAAGGAGGGCGCTGGCATCCAGGACAGCATCTTGGATGAGATGATTCACCAAGCTGCTACAATTGAGGAACTGCAGGACTTGCAGGACTACCTCAACTTCCAGTATTCCTCGCAGATCAAGGCGATCGCTGCCGCCGGCAATGGGGAGACTCGCGAGATCAAGCGTCCTGGCGCCAAGACGGCTTTCTTCGAGCGAATCCGGCGGTCTAAGGCTTATGAGTTCGTAAAGGCCCTTGGTATCTCGCCCGATCGCTTGGCGCAGAATGCTCTGCGTGAGGGCAAGAAGGTGTCGTCTGACGATCCGTCTCAGCGCCCCGTTGAGCTTGCCGACTCACTGTGTGACTTGGAGTTCCCGTCGGCCGACCAGGTCATCAATGCGGCGCGTCAGATGTACGCCGAGGAGATGTTTGTCAGTCCGCGGATGCGCAAGCACTTCCGTATCCAGTACTACCAGATGGGCTCTGTCAGCTGCCGGCGGACAGAGAAAGGTCTGCGCAAAATCGATGAGTCGCACCCGTACTATGAGATCAAGTATCTCCTCAACCAGACCATCCGGGATCTCGCCATGCGTCCCGAGATCTTCCTCAAGATGATGAAAGCTGAGGAAGAGGGCCTGGTCGAGGTTCGCCTGAGTCTCGAGAACGAGCGCGAGTTTCGCAAGCAGCTGTACAACGAGTTTATTTCGGACAACTTCAGCGAGCTGGCTGATGCGTGGAATGCTGAGCGCCAGAAAGTGCTCGATCTCGCGTTCGGCAAGCTTGAGAAGGTTATCGCCAAAGGCGTCAAGGACTCATTGCGCACTGCTTGCCAGGAGGAGCTGCTCAAGACTTGCCGCGAGGAATACTTCAAGCGGCTCGACCAAGCACCGCTCAAGCCGAAGGGCATGGTTCTTGGTACTACTCCGCGTGTGCTGACCCTCACCAACGGCATGGGCGACCCCAACCGTGATCCCATCTACTGGACTTGGGTTGAGGAAGACGGCCGGATTGTCGAACACGGCAAGTTTGTCAACCTCGCCCGGGATGAGAACCAGCGCGAGGCTTTCGCTGAGCTGTGCCGGCGCAGACATCCCGATGCTATTGGTGTTTCGGGCTTCTCAGTTGACACTCACCGGCTGATCAAGGATATCGAGGGCATCATCAACGAAAAGGGCCTGATGGGCCCCGAGTACCAGGACCCTGACAGCGACGAGTACCGGAGCGACTTGCTCGACGTTATCATCGTCAACGATGAGGTCGCCCGTCTTTACAAGGACAGCCCCCGTGCGCAACAAGAACATCCGACGCTCAACCCGCTGACGCGGTACTGTTACGCGCTGGCGCGGTACATGCAGAACCCAATGAAGGAGTACGCGGCGCTGGGCAAGGACGTAGTGTCTCTGCGCATTCATCCTTACCAACAGTACCTGCCACAGGATAAGCTGCTCAAGGCAATGGAGACGGCTATGGTGGATATCGTCAACCTTGTCGGCGTCGACATTAACGAGGCCATGAATGACCCGTACACGGCCAACCTGCTGCCGTATGTCGCTGGTCTCGGCCCGCGTAAGGCCCAGCTGCTGATCAAGGGCATCAATGCCAACGGCGGCGTGGTCACGTCACGCGATGAGCTCGTCGGCGATCCTGAAAGACACAAGATCCCTGTTCTTGGTCCCCGCGTCTGGAACAACTGCGCCAGTTTCTTGTATATCGAGTACGACAGCAGCAACCCGGAGTCGGATCCCCTCGACAATACGCGTATCCATCCCGAGGATTACGACCTGGCTCGCAAGGTTGCTGCTGACGCTCTAGGTCTCGACGAAGAAGATGTTAAGGCCGAGACGGACGAGCACGGTCCCGGTGCTATTGTCAGCAAGCTGTTCCGCGAGGAAGAGCAGGACAAGGTCAACGAGCTTATTCTTGACGAGTATGCCGACCAGCTCGAACGCGAATATCAGCAGCGCAAGCGTGCTACGCTTGAAGCCATCCGGGCTGAACTTGTCGGCCCCTTCGAGGAGTTGCGTAAGGGTTTTGCCATTCCCTCAACAGACCAGATCTTTACCATGTTCACGGGCGAGACACGCGACTCGCTGTGCGAGGGCATGATTGTCCCCGTCAACGTTCGCGTGGTCAAGGACGACTTTGCTATTGTCCGGCTCGACTGCGGCATTGAGGGCCGCATTGAAGCCCATGAGGTCTCCTACCGTCACTCTATCAAGGACCTGCTGTCGGTCAACCAGACGGTGCAGGCCAAGATTCTCGACATCAATCGCAAGGACTTCACCTGCAAGCTTTCTCTGCGCGAGGAAGAGCTACGCCGTCCTTTCCGTCGCCACTACGATTACGGTCGCGGTCAGTGGGATTACAAGCAGGAGGATCTGGACCGCGAGGAGCTGCGCGAGAAGGATAAGGTCACCGGCCGCACTCAGCGTGTCATCCGTCATCCTCTTTTCAAACCCTTCAATAGTGTGCAGGCTGAAGAATACCTAGGTGGTATGCCGCCGGGCGAAGTGGTCATTCGCCCGTCAAGCAAAGGAAACGATCACCTTGCGGTCACCTGGAAGGTTGCTGATGGGGTCTACCAGCATATTGATGTGTTGGAACTGCAGAAGGACAATGAGTTCTCTGTTGGCAAGGTCCTGCGCGTGGGCAGCAAGTACACTTACTCTGATTTGGATGAGTTGATTGTGGAGCATGTCAAGGCCATGGCGAAGAAGGTGGAGGAGATGATGCAGCATGAGAAGTTCCAGAAGGGCTCGCGTGCAGATCTGGGTATGTTTCTTTTGCTACTTCTAGGTTTTTTTTTTTTTTTTTACATGCAGAATGCTAACTATCTCTACAGAGAAATGGCTCACTACGTACATCGACGCAAACCCCAACAGGTCGACGTACGCGTTTTGCATTGATCCCAAGCACCCAGGCTACTTCTATCTCTGCTTCAAAGCATCGCGTACATCGCGCGTTAACGCCTGGATGGTGCGTGTTGTTCCTCACGCCTTCGAGATGATGAAGAGCCAGTACCCAGACATGCGGGCGCTCTGCAACGGGTTCAAGCTGCGCTATCAGAGCGAGATGCTCAAGGCCCAGCAGCAGGGCCATGTGCGGCGGTAGACTTATACCAGGTCAAAAGAACCATAATAGTTCAGAGGGGGGTCACTAGGGGGACCATATTCAAGTTTGTAATTTTAGTTACTGGCCTTATTGAGGTTCACATTACTCAGATGGGGTCGAATATGCGGGTACGGAATCAGTACGCTAAATTCAAAGAATAAAGATGTTATGATATTGGGCTTCCGTCTGACCGGTAGGGTAGCGATGCGTAGTGTTGCTGTGTCTTCTCTTCATGTCTTGTCCTTTCATGATGGTTGTGTAAGTCCTGGCGCCTTGTTCAGTTCCTGATGAGTAAACAGAAATCAAGTCCGACAGGAACCATCTCGAGTCAACCGTGTGTTACAAATCAGCGGCGCTCAAGTTTCATGTTGTGCCATTAGAGCATCCAAATCTCTCTCTGGACTCCTTCTGCTCCGACCTCGCATTATCATTATCATCAGGCGTTTGCTGACGACGCCGACGCTGACGCGGTAAATCGTAGGGCTGACACGTCCGGCTGCCGGGGCCCAATAAAACCCCGAACAAAAAAAACGCCAGACCATAATCCGCCTAGCCCGACAGCCTAACTGGATTTGGTGGGTCCCTAAACTGCCACGGTCACACGCCTGCCAGTCGCTGCCAGTGGCTGCCAAGCTGCTGTTAGTGGCTGATGTTACATTACGGCGCTTTACCGAAACGGAGTGTTGACGTTACAGCACAGCAGTGCCCAGAAGTTGCCCAGCCTGCCCAAGCAGAGAACCCCTGGCCGCAGCGGTGGAGAGGTTTCAGAGCAAAGGCTTTGGGCGTTCAACCGTTCTTCTCGTCCATCCAACCCAGTCACCACCCAGTCCCGTCTCGAATTGAAATCCCGGACTTCCCGCAGCCCTATCGACCGACGTACGACAGAGAGAGACCGAGCTCCCCTCCCCCGGCTGCACAGCGACGATCACCAACGGTCAGACCCTGGAACCCTATTCTGGATTCTGGAGAAAAAGGTCAAGAAAGACGTTGAGAACCTGAAACTTGACTTCTTGGTCTGGGTTTGCTGGAGTTTTAAAGGAGTTGGCGACGTACTGTGTTATTGTCGCCATTTTTAAGGGCACTTGATTTTTGTTTTTTTTTTAAATTGTTTGTAGAAGTCGAAGTTTCGATCGAATCGATTCCGATTCCTGATTTCCGATTTGATTCCACATTCCCTTTTACATCGAACGAGGTCCTTTGAGCGGCGGGGGACACCGATCTTCGAGGCGGGACGACACTCTCACACAAAAAAGACACGCCGCTCGATTGGCGATGGGCAGGGGCAATAGTAATATAAGACAGGCGAAAATCTGGAAACTTCAAGAACGAGATCACGACTTAGCCACCAAAACCGAACACCTCCGGCCGGCCGACACGCGATCCTTCGAACGATTGACCTCGAGATACCCTACCTGGAAAGATCCTTGCGCGCAGGAGACATCACGCTACACACACAAAATGGCGGGCATTGAGCAGCTCGAAATTCACAGCCGAGTACGCACCTTCTTATACGAGACTACGGGCAGTGAGAGGATGCTAATCGAGGATCAATAGGCCTACATCGTGCGCTGGGTCAAGGTTGACGCCGGGCACACCATCTCATGGAGTGTGCAGCCGCACAAGAAGTCCATGTGCGCCCTTCTGACCCTTCCACACTATGCATCTGATAGGCACTAATGCAGCTGGTTAACAGCAACCTCGCAATCGTCAAGCACCCTGGCACAGGCGCAACCAGCCTCACCTCGCAACAAGTCGAACTCGGCAGCACATCCGACCAACACCAAAGCGACGGCAGCACGACCGAGGCCCGGGGCGGCAGCCTCTTTGGCGGCCGTCGCGAGGCCAGCACCGCACAAGATATGCTCGCGAAGAAGGGCTTCATCCCAATCAAATGGGTCGGCAAGTGCGAAGCCGACAAAGTCTCAGTCGGCACATACGACGTTACGCAGGGCGGCATGTTCGGGCTGGTGTTTGATAATACCTTCTCGAAGCAGACGTCCAAGACGGCAACGTTCGTGTTGTTGACGTATCCGACGGGGAATCCTCCACAGACGGCTAGGCATCTGCCCAATTTGCAGGCCGGGCCGGGCGCAACTGTCAGTCGGACAAGTCTCGGTACAGGTGCTGGGGGTACTGGTGGGGGTAAACACGGGAATAGTCCGCATCTCGGGGCTGTCACCTCCGAGTCGGTCGACAGTCTGCACAGTCACAGTCCCGGCGGCGCCAGCAGGTCAAGAGCAGTTTCTGCTGCCGCAGGCACCGTCGATGCCGCTGCGGCCGCTGCTAACTCAACAACCGGCATCGTCCCCACAACGTACCACGTCGGCGTGCTCCTCAAACGCCGCCGCAAAAAGGGCCAAGGCTACGCTCGCCGCTTCTTCTCCCTCGACTACATCACCTGCACACTCTCCTACTATCACAGCCGGAACTCGTCTGCTCTTCGCGGTGCCATCCCCCTGAGCCTGGCAGCTATTGCGGCCGACGAGCGTCGCAGGGAGTTTACCATCGACTCGGGCGCTGAGGTCTGGCATTTGAAGGCTTCGAATGCCAAAGAATTCAGTGACTGGGCGAGGGCACTCGAGAGGGCGAGCAAGATTGCTCGTGGGTTGGAGAGCGTGCCGCAGGAGGATGCTGCTGCCAAGCCGGGTACATCCGGGGGACAGCCAAGTGCTACTGCGGCTGCGACGGTCGCGACGACTGTTGCCGGGTCTGCTGCTGCCGGCACAACATCCTCGTCTGCGGAGGAGGAGGAGCGTGAATGGCAGCAGGTTGAGGCGTTGGTCAGTCGGATTGTGGGCACGCGTGATGCATTGAGGAGGTTGGTTAAGGATTTGGCGGCGCAGAAACAGCCTCTGGCTGCACCCGCGCCGTTATCGGCTGTGCAGTCCCCTTCGGAGGAAGGGGATGGGCATGCTGCCGCGCAGCAACAGCAGCAGGCGGCGGGTAGGACGCCGTTCTGGAAGCGCAAGGTTAGCGGGAATAACACCCAGGGTGCGCCTGGGGCCGCCGGGGTAGTTGCTGCTGTGGCAGCGCTGGCGGCAGCTCCGGCTATTAATGGAGCTGCTAAGAGTTATGGCAGTTTGCAGCAGCAGCAGCAGCAGCAGGAGGCGAGAGATATCTACGATAACTGTGAGGCGCTGCTCAAGGACCTTGACTCGGTTGTCGTGGAGTTCTCTACGCTGCTGACGACCAGCAGGCGGAGACGTATGGGCGTCCAGCAGCCTTCCAGCTCTGCCGCGACGGCGCCGAGGAAGAGTATGGAGAGCAGCGCGTCTAGTGTGGATGAATTCTTCGACGCTGAGGCCGGAGACAGCGAGGGACAGAATCATCAGCTCATGATGATCAAGCGCAAGGACGAGGAAGAGGAAGAAGAGGAAGAGGAAGAGGAAGAAGAGGAAGAAGAGGTCTCGATCCATGAGTCCTCCTCAGCGGATGAGACAGAAGACGAGGAAGAGTACTCTGGTGCCGACGGCTCGAACCTTTTCCCTGTCCGGCCCAAGTCCCTTGCTCCTCTGCCTCTGACCGAGGCTTCTGTCGTCCGGCGCAAGACCATCCCCCCGGCAAAGGTCCCCCCTCCGAGCTTGATCGCCTTCGTCCGCAAGAACGTCGGCAAGGACCTCAGCACGATCAGCATGCCGGTCTCGGCCAACGAACCCATCTCCATGACTCAACGCGTTGCCGAGCAGATGGAGTACGCACACCTCCTCGACGCAGCAGCCAAGCACCCCGTTCCCGAGCAACGCCTCGCCCTCGTCGCTGCCTTTGCCATCAGCCAGTTTAGCAATGGCCGGGCCAAGGAACGCGCCATCCGCAAACCGTTCAACCCCCTGCTGGGCGAGACTTTCGAGCTCATCCGCAGCGAAGCCGAAGTCCCCGGCGGTATGAGGGTCCTCGTGGAAAAGGTTACCCATCGTCCCGTGAGGTTGGCCATGCAAGCCGACAGCGCGCACTGGAGCTTCGCGCAGTCTCCCGCTCCGACGCAAAAGTTCTGGGGTAAGTCGGCCGAGCTGACGACCGACGGTCGGGCAAGGTTGACGCTGAAGGTCGTGGCGGCCGATGGGATGGAGGAGCGGTACAGCTGGAATACGGCGACCGTTTTTCTGAGGAATGTGGTCATGGGCGAAAAGTATGTCGAGCCTGTGGGGAGCATGCACGTGCTTAATGAGACGAACGGGCAGAAGGCTAGTATTGAATTCCGCTCGAGGGGCGTGTTTGGCGGACGCGGCGAGGAGGTGCATGTGGATATTTTGAGGTCAGACGGGGCGCCTTCGGGAGTCACACTGTCGGGGACGTGGACGACCTCGTTGAGGGTTCTGCCGGATGGGAAGGAGATTTGGCGGGTTGGGTCGCTGGTGGATAATTATGCGAATACCTACGGCTTGACAACGTTCGCGGCGTCCTTGAATGAGATCACGCCGCTGGAAAAGGGGAAGCTGCCGCCTACTGATACGCGGTTGCGTCCTGATCAGAGGCTGGCTGAGCAGGGTGATTTGGATGCGGCGGAGGAGTGGAAGGTTAAGCTGGAGGAGGCGCAGAGGGCTCGGAGGAGGGTTATGGAAGAGCGGGGTGAGGAGTGGAAACCGAGATGGTTTGTTAAAGTCGCGACGGGAGCGGATGGCGAGGAGGTCTGGAAGATGAAGGGGGGTAAAGAGGGGTATTGGGAGGAGAGGAGTAGAGGTAGATGGGAAGGATGTGTGGAGATCTTCAAGGTTTAGGCGGGGCTAGAGAGATCTGAGTTACTACTACATCACTCCCTGACAGGTATATATACATTTTCGATTGTGTTGATATCACCATGTTGATGTTGATGACTTGTGTCTTCAGTGATCCCTTTGTCTGAAGTTTATCCCCAAGCCAAGCATGCGAGCATCCCTGCTAATGATGAAAGCGAACCCCACGTTCCACGGACCTCATCGTCCCCGCGCGTCGCTCATCGGAAGGAGGTCGGCCGATTTAAGCCGATGCGGGGTTCCGCTCTGCGAGGACGCAGGCTGCAGCTCGGAGCTTGGTCGGGATCTTTGCTGTTCTGCCAGCGTCGGCCCACGCTTATCAATCGTTGCAGGTTTGATACCGGATTTGTTAAGGTGTCTTGGGGTGTATGGTGGTGAAGGAAGGAATTGCTACCTTATCGACATCAGAGTCATCGAAAATCTGAAGAGAATCGGGTAAAGGGGTGGTGGTATCAATTAGGGAAAAAAAAAAAGCCTCGAGAGCTGAAGATAGGGGGAGAGAAATACCCCGCCCGCCTTGCTACTCTGAGCTCAAAGCGACGATCAATCATCAACAGAAAAACAGACCCAAGAAGAGAGAGAACGAGAATGGCCCGTGGCATCCGCATCGCCATCGACCGCGGCGGCACTTTCACCGATTGCGTTGGCACCAACCCGGTCACCAACGAAACCATCATCCTTAAGCTCCTCTCCGAAGACCCCTCGAACTACCCCGATGCGCCCCTTGAAGGCATCCGCCGCATCTTGTCCCACTTTCTGGGGAAGGAGATTCCCCGCGGCGCGCCCATCGATACGTCTGTGATTGAAAGCATACGCATGGGCACGACCGTCGCGACGAATGCGTTACTCGAACGAAAGGGGGAGAGAATCGTCTTCGTGGTGACAGAAGGGTTCAGAGATTGTCTGGTTATCGGGAACCAGAGCAGGCCGAGGATCTTTGAGCTGGATGTGCGCAAGCCGGGGGTGTTGTATGAGGGGGTTGTGGAGGTTGGTGAGAGGGTGACGCTGGAGGATTATGCTGAGGATCCGGAACGGAAGATTACGAGGGTCGAAAAGAAGGTCGGGGAGGGGGAGGTTAAGGATGGGGAAGTGGTTATGGGTCTGAGCGGCGAGGCCGTGAGAGTGTTGAGGAGGATTGATCGGGAGGAGGTGAGGAGAAAATTGCAGGAAGCGTATGACACGGGCGTGAGGAGTGTGGCGGTTTGCTTGATGCATGCGTATACCTTTCCGGATCATGAAAAGGTTGTGGGAGAGGTTGCAAAGGAGATTGGCTTCACGCATGTCTCGCTCTCCCACGAGCTGATGCCGATGATCAAGCTTGTCCCGAGAGCAACCTCCGTCTGCGCCGACGCATACTTGACTCCTGCAATCAAGCGGTACATTGCCGGCTTCCAAGCCGGCTTCGTGGGCGGCAAGCTGGGGACAAAGTCCGTCACGGACTCTCAAGGAGCCCGCTGCGAGTTCATGCAATCCGACGGCGGTCTAGTCGACGTCGACCGCTTCACCGGTCTCCGTGCCATCCTCTCCGGTCCTGCTGGCGGTGTGGTCGGGTACGCCATCACCTCCTGGGACCCGAATACCCGCATCCCCGTCATTGGCTTCGACATGGGCGGCACCAGCACCGACGTAAGCCGCTTCGGTGAGGGGAGGTACGACCACACGTTCGAGACGACCACGGCTGGCGTCACGATTCAGTCCCCGCAGCTGGATATCAACACGGTTGCTGCTGGCGGCGGGTCAATGCTGTTCTTCAGGAATGGGCTGTTTGTTGTTGGGCCCGAGTCAGCAGGTGCTCATCCAGGGCCGGCGTGCTACAGGAAGGGTGGTCCTGCTACTGTGACAGACGCGAACTTGGTACTGGGGAGGCTGTTGCCCGAGTTTTTCCCTAAGATCTTCGGGCCGAATGAGGATCAGCCATTGGATGTCGAGGCTAGTAGGCAGGTTATCGCAAAGTTGGCGGAGCAGATCAAGAACGAGACTGGGAAGGAGATGAGCGTGGATGAGGTCGCGTATGGGTTCTTGACTGTTGCCAATGAGGCCATGACCAGGCCGATTCGAAGTATTACTGAGGCAAAGGGCCATGACACGGCGAAGCATCGTCTGGCCACGTTTGGTGGTGCCGGAGGACAGCACGCGGTAGCAATTGCTGAAGCTCTCGGTATCAGACAGATCCTGGTACACCGATACTCTTCTGTCCTTAGCGCGTACGGCATGATGCTGGCCGATGTGGTCGACGAGCGTCAGGAGCCCGAGAGCGCAGTCTGGGACTTTAGTAAAATGGGCGTCGTTGAGGGGCTGAAGTCGAAGATGGAGTCTCTCAAGGAGAGGTCCAGACGGGCGCTCAAGGAGCAGGGATTCAGCGACGAAGACATCGTCTTCGAGGAGTATCTCAACATGCGCTACCGCGGCACTGAGTCTGCTCTGATGGTCATCAAGCCTACAGGCGAGGACGATGTGGCCGAGTGGGATTTCGGAGCTGCTTTCGTGAAGCAGCATCGCTACGAGTTCGGTTTCACCCTCGACGAGCGTGACATCATTGTCGATGATGTGCGCGTGCGCGGTATTGGTCGCAGCTTTAGGTATGAGGATAAGAGCGTTGATGAGCAGCTCAAGACCGTTGCCCGGAAGCCTGTTGCCGCTGAGAAGAGGCACTCAGTCAAGAGTGTGTACTTTGAGGGCGGCAGACACGAGACGCCCGTGTATCGGTTGGGTGATCTGGCCGTTGGTGATGTTATCAAGGGCCCAGCCATGCTGGCCGATGGCACCCAGACCATTGTCGTGACACCGTCGGCTACTGCACTGGTGCTCGAGACGCATGTGGTGATTGATGTTGGCGAGAGCGAGAAGGAAAGGTAAGCTTTTTTTTTTATTACCCCTATCGTTACTTATCTCCCACTCAGCCTACCCTACACCCGACCCTCAACCCGACTGACACTTTTAGATCCCTCACCACCACCGTCGACCCCATCATGCTCTCCATTTTTGGCCATCGCTTCATGGCCATCGCCGAGCAAATGGGCCGTGCCCTGCAAAAGACCAGCGTCTCGACCAACGTCAAAGAGCGCCTCGACTTCTCCTGCGCCATCTTCGACGCCGACGGCGGCCTCGTCGCCAACGCCCCACATCTCCCTGTCCACCTGGGCTCCATGTCAACCTGCGTACGCCGCCAGGCTGAAATTTGGAGGGGCAGGCTCAAGAAGGGGGATGTCATCGTGTCGAATCATCCTTCGTATGGAGGGACTCATTTGCCAGACGTGACGGTCATCACACCGGCGTTCGATGAGAAGGGGGAGAGGATTCTGTTCTATGCTGCCAGCAGAGCACACCATGCTGATATTGGTGGTATTACGGCAGGCAGCATGCCTCCTCATTCGAGGGAGCTGCATCACGAGGGTGCCGCGATTAGAAGTGAGAAGTTGGTGAGCGAGGGCAAGTTCGACGAAGCCAGAGTTGTCCAGCTGTTCTATGACGAGCCAGCCAAGTACCCCGGCTGCTCCGGTTCTCGCTGTCTAGCAGACAACATCAACGACCTCCGTGCCCAAGTCTCAGCCAATCAGCGCGGTATCTCCCTCATTGCGAGCCTAATCGCCGAGTACGGCGAGGAAACTGTTCACTTCTACATGCGCGCAATCCAAAAGAATGCCGAGCTCCAAGTTCGCGCTCTTCTCAAGGACGTCGCAGCCCGCTATCCCAACCAGACCCTCACCGCCGAAGATTTCATGGACGACGGCTCCCCGATCCGTCTCTCCATTTCCATCGACCCAGCCAAGGGCGAAGCCGTCTTCGACTTCACCGGCACAGGCCCCGAAGTCTACGGCAACATCAACGCGCCGCAGGCCATTTCCTACTCTGCCATCATCTACTGCCTGCGCTGCATGATCTCCTCTGACATCCCGCTCAACCAGGGCTGTCTGGCCCCTATCACGGTCAAGATCCCCCCAGCCTCTCTTCTGAGCCCATCAGACAACGCTGCCGTGGTAGGAGGCAACGTCCTTACCTCTCAGCGCATTACAGACGTGATTTTCCGCGCCTTCCGGGCCTGCGCCGCCTCGCAGGGCGATTGCAATAATCTTACCTTCGGTTTCGGCGGCAACGTCTCTGGGCAAAAAGCCGTGCCCGGATTCGGGTACTACGAGACCATCGCCGGCGGGTCCGGTGCCGGTCCAACATGGGAAGGCTGTGACGGCGTGCACACACACATGACCAACACCCGAATCACGGACGCCGAGATCTTTGAGCGCCGGTACCCCGTTATCCTGCGTGAGTTTTCCATCCGTCGCGGGTCCGGTGGGAGAGGCAAGCACCGCGGCGGCGACGGTGTCGTCAGGGACATTGAGTTCCGTGTTCCCGTGCAGGTCTCCATCCTCAGCGAGCGCCGCGTCTACAGACCATATGGCATGGAAGGCGGTGAGCCGGGACAATGCGGTTTGAATCTGTGGATACGTAAAGTCAGGAAGGAGAGCTGGGAGACCAGACTGAGGAGATTACTCCGCGAGCAGGAGGGTCAGGACAATGAGATTGACGGGGAGAATGGTGTCGAGTGGGAAGAGAGGATTATCAATCTGGGCGGGAAGAACACTGCCCAAATGCAGCCCGGCGATAGGATTATTATCAACACGCCGGGCGGTGGTGCTTGGGGTCCGGTCGGCGAGGAGAAGGCGGTTGAGGAGAAGAAGGACCCCATGGAGGGCTGGAAGAAGGGGTCGCATGCCGCGAGGGAGGATACTGCTCTGCAGGTTTAGCCTTGTTGGATTTTCCTCGAGGGTTTTCAGTTGAGCTTTACTACGAATCTTGATTTCATGACCTGTTTTTAGTCGTGATGAGTCTTATTTCTTTCGAAATCATGACTTTCTATGTATTCTCTGTTTTAGTTGAGACGTTCTCGGCTAAGTTTTCTTCAGCTCTTTGGTCTATGACTTTATGTCCCGGAATTAATGCTTTTAAACCTTACTTTTATGGCTTCTGCTTGTCAGCTGTCTACCTGCTCTCTTTCCATCACCGTTACCATAAAGCTTCCATAGTCACTAACTTTTAGGGACTGTGGGACTTTTGGGCACGCCATACATATCGCATCTCAGAGAAAACACGGGTAACTAGCGCACAGTCTATTCCCTAGTACAGTGCCGTCCCAAACAAGGATCCAGCAAAAAAAAAAGTAAGATACAAACAAGCACGAACACAACCAAGTACAACCATAGACACTATGAAACCACACAAAAACACCCCAAACAACCACAACCGCTGTGGGAGCATATCCCAACCCGCTGAACAATACCGAAATACCCATACCAGAGCCATTAAGTCTTCTCACCGAAACCATGCTCATAACACGACAAAAATGATCTGATCTCCATAAATGTCCCGCCACCTTGTATCACTGGTATCACCAGAAAGAAAAGTTCCCAGACTCTCCAAAGCTCCCACTTGTATCAAAGATTGCGAGTTGATCACAAAAGTGCTTCCTTCATGAAGCCATTGAGCTGTTGGGCCTACGTCATGTTAGCACTGCTTTTTTTTTTTCCCCTCTTCACCCAAGGAGACATGAGCAAACTTACAAGAACGCCATGCATCATGGTGAAGTGATTGCCGGGCATGTGCCGGAAGGTCATCTTGCTGATATCAAGGAACTCGTCCCACCGGTTCGGCCCAAAGTCCGTACGGTTGTCAAGCAGGAACAGGGCATGGCCCTTGGGGTACGGCTCGGGCCGCGGGTCCGTTGGCAGATGACATACACCGTCCTCGCACCAGATCGCAAACACCTTAGGGCACTTGTCCTTGGGGATTGGCTCTGCGCTGTAGTTGCTCAGTGCTGACACCGATGCCGCGAAGTGAGGGAGCAGCCATTCGGGGATCCTCTTATTGTCGTCATCGCCTTCGCCGAGCAAACCGATCGACGCGAACCAGGCGTGCAGGCCTTGTGGCAGCGGCTCGATCGTGTTGGGCGAAGGAGCGTCGATGAGGATGAGATTCTCCACCGTGTCCCCTGCTTGCGTGAGTTGGTAGACAATCTCGTACGCAATGATGCCGCCGGCGCTCCATCCGGCGACAGAGTACGGGCCTGTGGGCTGCTTCCTCTTGATCTCCTCAATGAACTTGGCCGCCATGCCGTAGACACCGCACTTGTACTCCTCGGGAGTGGTCATGAAGGGCGAGAACAGACCCCAGACCTTCCAATTGCCTCCAATATGAGCAATCTCGGTGTACGACGTGGCGGAGCCACTGCCATCGGGGATCATGAACAGATTTTTGGAGGCCGACGGGGTGCCAGCGAGGAGCACGGACTTGGCCTTGCGGTGCGGATAGTGGTCAACGATGGTGGTCGGACGAGGGTCCTTGGGCGGAGCTGGCTCTTCAACTCCGATCCTTGGGTGCTGCTTGGGTGCCTTCGGAGGAGCAGGCGCCGGAGCCGGCGGCTGTTCTGGAGCCTTACCCTGCTTCTTGGAAGCAGAAGACGAGGATGGAGCAGTACGCTTCTTCTTGGGCGGCTCATCAGTCACGCCCAAAGCCTTCTCCACCTCTGCGAGCGTTGTGTGACGGACAAAGAGATCAGAAGGAATGTCGAGGCCTGTCTTCTCACGGAGGACACCCAGGATCGTCAGGCTCATCAGTGAATCCATGCCAAGGTTGGCCAGATCGGGGGCTGCAGCAACCTCCTCGATGTCTGTAGCCATCTCAGTCGCGATAGTATCGCGAATGATTTGCCGCAGACCCTGCTTGTCGCCTGCCGACTCGTCCTTGTCAGACTCGACGTCGCTCTCATCTCCCTCGCTAGGAGTGGTGATGTTCGAGACCGACCCAATGCCTGCCGACTCTTCATCCTCAGACGTGACCTCCGAGTGGCGAGATGAGACACTATCAGGACCCGGCTGCTTCTCAAACTTGGCCAGGTAGCCCTTCAACTCGCCGACGGTCGGATAGTCGAGGAAGGCGTTGGCCGAGATGTCAATGTCGAGTTCCTCACGGATCCGGCCGTTCACGGTCAGCGTCATCAGCGAGTCGACGCCCAGGTCGTTGAAGGCAATATTGTCATTCAGCTCGTCCATGCTGCAGCCAATCTCCGCGGCAAGGATCTCCATGACCGCAGAGACGACTCCCGTCAGCTTCTTGTCGACCTGGCTGATATTTGAGGGCGTCACTGTCTTCATCGCCTTCTTCTTGTCCTTTGTGCTAGACTTCTTTGCCGGTGACGATGGAGCAGCTGCCGCAGGAGCCGGGGCAGCAGCCGGGGCAGGACGTGCAGGGGCGCCGGCAGTAGCGACGACACCGCGCGGAGGAAGCATCATGTTGAGCACTCTGCGTGGGATGGCCTGGAACTTGACGCTGCCCACGATGCCGATGAGCTTGTCGCCGTCGAAGATGTAGGCATCGCCCGCCATCATCTTGGTGCCCCGGACCTCTTGCATGCGGATGTACGAGCGGTACGTCTTGGTCGCCTGTGGGATCTCGGAGAATCGCATGGTGCCCCATGCGTGCGAGATGTAAACCGTCTCGCGCGAGTCGACCGCATCGGTGCCGTTGATGATAAAGCCCGAGATGTGGCAGAGACTGTCGATCCAGTAGGGGCTGAAGAAGAAGGTACCGTCTTCGGGGCTGGTCTGGAAGCGGACGCGGGCCGTGGCCTCGCACGTCCTGCTGTCCAGAATGACCTCCTCCATGCCACGGTAGCGTTGCTGGTAATCAACCAGAGCAGCGAACAGCTTGTACGCCAGACCGCGACCAATCTTCGAGGCCTCGCCGCGCTTCTCAGCCTCCATCAACGTGTCGATGCGCGTCTTGACCAGGTACGAGACACGATCGAACTCGGCCTGCCAGTCCTCGACATCATTGTACTCGACCCTGCACATCGCGTGATCGGTCCGCTTGTTGCCCTCGCCGGTGTGGAAGACGAGATCGGCGGACGCGGACTTCGCGTTGGCCGTGACAGTGAGCCGCAGGATCTGACTCTTGGCCTTGTCGTCGAAGATCAGTGGCTTCGGCACTTGCATGTTGCAGACATTGCAGCCAATCTTCTTGGTGCCAGGACGCAGCAGCTTGTATGCATAGTCGCATACAGTCATGGCCATGTCACCGTACAAGGAGGACGGGCACAGCGGGGCGCCGTTGACAAGATGGCCCGAGACGACGTTGCGCAGCTGAGGCTGACACAGATCGGCCTCGATCTCGACGACGGCCACATCGTCCTTGACCTCTTCACGGACAATCCTGTGGACAGTGGTTGTTGACAGCTTGGGCTTGGGCGGCTCCGACGGTGAGTTGTCGGCCCCCGTCAGAGCAGCCGTGAGACGACCCTTGGGCAAGCACCAGTCGCCTTCGTACTGGATCCAGAAGCGCTTCTCGTCGAAGGCATAGCTGGGCAGGTCCAGCAGGACGTTGGCATGGCTGAAGTCGCGATGGACCTCGTTGAAGTCGACGTTGATGCCGGCGGCATGCAGCTGGCTAAGCGTGTTGCTGAGCGTCTTGTAGGCCTGCTCCTTGCGGCGCAGCGACGGAACGGCAACTGTGTTGCGACCAAGGATGGTCTTGACCCAGTTGGCGCAGATGGGATGAGGGCCAATCTCGATCCACACAGTATCTTTGTTGAGCCGACCAGACTGCTGCGCCGCGGTGAGGGCACCCAGGAAGTTGACAGGCTCGCGAGCATGGCCCGCCAGGTAGTTGGGATTGAACGAGTCGAGGTTGGCAAAGTTGGAGAGCAGCGGTGAGATGACCGGGACCTTGGGGTGATGGAACGTGACACCGCTGGCAAGCGTCTTGAAGTCGTTCAGGATGGGCTCGACCTGGGGAGAGTGGTAGGCATAGGGCACCCGGAGCTTGGTGCAACGGAAGCCAGCCGCAGTCAGGACGGTCATCATGTCGTCCGCCTCGCTGGCAGGAGCAGTCAAAACGGTCTCCTGATGGCTGTTGACGCAGGCGACATTGGGTGGTGCACGATCTCCGCCGAGCGCGTCGATGACACTCTGCACACCGCCCGAGACGGCGATCATGTTTTCACTGTGCGCCTCGCACTTCTTGACCAAAAGTTGGGCGCGGGACCCAACGAGGTAGAGCACATCGCTGGCCGAGAGGACACCGGCGACCTCCAGGGCGGCGTACTCGCCAAGGCTGTGGCCCAAAACCACCGAAGGCTTGACACCCCACGACGCCCACAGGCGAGCGAGAGCCATCTGGATGGCGGTCTGGCCGAGCTGCAGGATAACAGGCGACAGTCTCTTAAGCTTGGCCTGCTCCTTTTGGTCCTTGGACTTATCGTTCGGGTCTTGCTCGTCCTCGGTGTCGCCCTCCTCTGACGGGTCCTCGATCACACCCTCAATCAAAGGCATGAAGGACGGGAAGCCATGGGCACGCGCGAGCGCGCTGAACTCGTCAATGGCGTTCCTGAACACCGAGTAGTGCTTGTAGAACGACTTGCCCAGCTTGAGATAGTGGCAGCCTTGGCCCGTGAACAGGAAACCAACGGCAGGCTCCTTGTTCGGGATGGGCGAGATCTCTTGCTTGGTCTTCTCCAGGAGGGCATTGCGCACCGACTTGAGGTCGTGGCCCGTCACACTCAGGCGCCAGTAATGTTGGATCCTTCTGGCCGTCGTGGTGTAAGCAAGGTACGACAGGGGAGTGTTGGGGTTCTTGTCAATCCAGTCGACGAGGTTCTCCACGTTCTTCAGCAACGACAGCTTGGACTTGGCCGTCACGGTGACGACATGCCAGCCGCGGGGATCCGCCTGCTCAGGCTTCAACACGGGAGGATCCTCAAGCAAGAGACCTGTGTTGCCGCCGGCAGCACTGAAGTTGTTGATAAAAACTCGTCTCGGCCTGCCGTCCCTCCGCTTGAACGGAGTCAGATGGAAGGCGATGTTGACATTCCGCTCGGGCAGGTCCTTCGGGAAATTGACATTCATCTTAGAGCCCTGTTTGATGCCAACGTGAGGCGGGATCTGGTTGTACTTGAGCATGAGCAGGACCTTGATAAGGGCAGTCACACCCGAAGCGGCTTCGCCGTGGCCGACGTTGGCCTTGACAGTGCCAAGGAAGAGGGGCCTATCGGCGGGGCGCTTGCGGTCAGCGGGAGCAAACACGTCAGTCACAGAACGCATTTCCGTGTTGTCGCCGGCCTGCGTGCCGGTGCCGTGCATCTCAACGTAGTCAACGTCATGGGGATCGACGCCAGCCTCCTCCAGGATAGAGCTAGAAAGAATCGCCTGTGTCGGGCCGTGCGGGTGAGTGATGGAGACGGCATCGGCCGAGTGGTTCGTGGCAGTGCCGAGAATGACGGCGAGAATCCTGTCGTTGTCGGCAATAGCGTCCTCCAGGCGCTTGACGACAACCGAAGCGCAGCCGTCACCACGGCAGTAGCCATCAGCAGCGTTGTCAAACGTGGAACAAGGGCCCCTCTTGGACAAGAACTGTCCCTTGCTGAGACCCGAGAAGATGTCCGGGTTCGTCATGCACGACAGGCCGCCGACGATGGCCGTATCGCAGTCCCGAGCCCACAGCGCAGTGCAGGCTACCTGCATGGCGGCCGCACTGGATGAGCAGGCCGTGTCGATGTTAAGACTGGGACCGCTGAAGCCAAAGAGGTAGTTGATGCGGCCGGGACCGAACGCGCGCACACCGCCCGTGATGAAGTACGTGTCGATATCCTGCGCGGCATTGATCTCACGCCAGTCGTCGGAGGTCTGGCCATAGAATGTGCCAATCCGGTCGAGCCGGGTGGACGGCGTCCTGTTGGGCGTGTAGCCAGACATCTCGAGGGCGTGGTAGGCAGTAGAAAGCGCCATCCGCTGCATCGGGTCCGTCACGTTCGCCTCGCGAGGAGACATGTTGAAGAAGCGGTTGTCGAAAAGACCCGGCTCTTCAATCCAGCAACCGTACTTCGTGTGGCTCTTGTTGACGCCCTTGCCGCTCTCGTCGACGTGAGTCCTCCAGTTGAAGCGGTCCGGAGGAACCTCCCGGTGAACATCAAGACCCTTCGCCAAAAGCTCCCACAGCTTCTCGCAGCTGGCCGCATCGGGGAACCGGCCAGCCATGCCAACAATGGCGAGCTTGCACTTGCCCATGGGACGAGGATCGCCGCCAGTCATGGTTGGCGGAACCGGTACGGTAGAGTGCGTGTCGCGAACAATGACCTCTGCGTTGAGCTGTCCACGGAGAACGCCCTCAAGTCCACTAGTGTTCTGGTAGGGCCCGATCGGCAAGATGACGACGCGACCACAGTTGCGAGCATACTCGACACAGCCATCTAGGACCTTATCAAAACGCAATGTCTCGTTGAGAATCTGCCGGGCGATGGAGCGGATAAGGTCCTTCCAATCTCTCTCAGGCTGCACCGACCCGCTCGCACAGGAAACAATGGGGATGCGCGGAGCCGCCTTGTACATGGCATCGTTGAGTTCTCGGTCCTCGAGACGGAGGATCTTGTTAATGTCTGCGGCGTGGTGCAGATGAGGAGCGTGATAGGGACCATAGATAGGCAGGCCTGTCGAGTGAGTCGTCAAAACACCCTTGTCGAACAGCGTCCTGAGCGTGAGCGGAGGTCCAGACACGGCGATGCTGTTCGCAGACACAGCACTAATGTACGCACGATTGGCTCCCGGGATGTTCTGCAGAGGCTTCATCAGCATTTTGATCACGGGTGCCAAGACAGAGAAAGAGAGGGGGGGGGGGGGAAGGGGGAGGGAAAAAGAGAGGGTTAAGGTCGTACGTGTTGGTCTTGGGCCGCGGTAAGCCTCTCTGCGAGAGCCTTCTCTTCTTGGCCCGGGAAGACATAGGTCCAGAACTTGTCTAGGGACTCCGAAGCCGGAAACATGCGAGTAGCGAGCTTATGGACATACAAGCCCGTTCTGAAAGCCAACAAGACGGCTTGAACGCCAATGGGCACCACCGCCGGCAGAGACGGGGCAACAGAGATGGCCCAGGCTGCAAAGAGACCCGAGCAGATAGCAGCGAGGAGCGACTGGCCATCAGGCTTGGGAACATCCTCGAAGTTCCTCTCGACATGGCTGTGAACATTCGTCAGTCTCCTTGAGCTTCTGAAAACACGCACAGTCCTGGACAGTGTTAAACAACATACTCTAGATAGTGCACAATCTGTGCAGCACACAGCAGAGCGCCGTCGATGCCAGTGTGCTTTTGCTGCTGGGCACGATATCTGGTGCTCAGCTGCTGGATGGATCTGAAGACTGGGATTTTGGACTGCTCGGCCTTGGGCAGCTGCGAGACTTCCTTGATCAGGGCGTGGGCAGCCTGATCCAAGAAAGCACGGCCGAGGATGCCCCGCGAACCATGGCCCAGATAGTCGGTGATGAAGCCATGGATGTCGAGGGACTGATCCCCAAGATAGAAGATCCGGTACTGCAGGGCACGGGCACCCGCATCCGCGTCCATGGTAGAAACCATCTTCGGAGAAGGCTGGTTCCTGGCCGAGTCTCTCGAGGACTTGGAGGGGCGTTAACCCGCAGAGACCTTTTGGGGGGGGGGGGGAAGGCAGAGGGCAAAAAGCCGTAAGAAATAGCAAGACCAAGTCTTGTTGAAGAGACGGCCGACAACGATGACTATGACGACAAGACGTGTTGCAACAGCTCTTCTTGCGTTCAAACAGGCCGGGGCTCTGTGAGATATCTCTGGGACTGAAGTGTATTAATGTTGATGAAGATGGTGAAGAAGAAGAATAAGAAGAAGATGAAGATGAAGATGATGATGATGATGATGATTGACTGAAACCTGGTGTGTGTGGTGGCGGGCAAAAGAAAGTCTGCGTTTGGGACAATTGGGGGCGAGACGAGGTAGTTCAACGGCAGACCCGGATCCCATGTGAATAAATATCGTTCAGGGCCGAAGGGGGCGTGTGTGCATGGACGGAAGGAGAAGGGTCTGCGGCCAAAGATACCAACACCAGACTGGCAGATACTGCGAGCTTCGAGCTGCGGGCTGCAAGCTGGAAGGAAGGCCGAGAGGCGCGGTCCACGGTGCTAGCTCACCACTCACCACTCACAACTCGCCTGCCCACTCACGGTCACAGGATATTGGGTGATGGATCCTTCTTTCTGGAGAGTGCGGAGGACACACTGAGAGCATTGCAACACTCATCAGCATGACAGCATCGGCCAAAAATGGACGGAGTAAGCGGGGTGGGGACGAGTTTTCGGTGACCGAAGGCGTGGGAAGCAACCTGAGCTTAGATCATCCTGGGCCATGGGCCATGCTCGGATGCGGCAGGTGGTTGAGATGTGGACGGGTTCCTGGGGGCCAGGGGAAGATACGGGGAAGGAAGAAGGAGAGTCCTCGCATGGAGGGCTCTTGCAGGGTACCTCGTCTAGCGCGGCCGGCAGGTAGTTCCCCCTTGGGGCAAGCATATGCCAGAATATGCCAGGAAAAGTCAGGAAACGCCATGGAATCTGGCAGATAAGCCAGCGTAATTGCTCGGCCAGGCATCTCCAACTCGGAGAAATGTCAGGCACCTCAGCCAGCAGCACATGAAGCTCCGCGTCTTCACTTCCGCCCCGTTTGGCTCTTTCATTCCCGTTGCAACTGAACCCAGTCACTGGGTTCACGAACATCCCTGACCTAGCAGGGCGCAGCAAGCAGCTCAGCAATCGAAGCTGTTGGATCACTAGAGTCGAATTGATTTCTTTGTGGCCGCACAGCCTGGACCGCACTGGTACTGATACTGGCACTGGACCAGGGCGACGAGGGCAAGTGAGTGAAACTACCTCGGTTGTTTGACGGTGACTCTTTGCAGATCTTCCCAGCATGGTCAGAAGCAGGCAAGATGCTCGAATGCGCTTCGTATACGGTGCCCGCTCGGGCGGCCGGCGGCCGGACCGTACCACGGACTCCCCCACCCGAAAAACCTCCTCGGAGACGGCGCTGACTGGAGCACAAGAATAGCTGAAGGGCGGCCTGGTGTGTTATCTTTGGCCAAACTCGCTCTAGATTTAGCCGGAGAACTTTGGGGATCATGCCGTCTTCTGCTCCTTTTCACAGCCCTCGTTTGGATGCTGTGGTTCGGAGTTTTGATGCGTCGATGCGCTCCCAAGATATGCTTCTCCCACGTGCTGCCACTTAGGGTCACATGTCGTTGGCGCCAGCTGTCAGCTAAGGAGAGCCTCAGGGGGACATCGGCGGGATGCGTCCTTAGCAGTATCCATCTATAGGGCAGGGCCCGGACACGACTGACAACGGCCCCGGGGAAAGAAGGGGGGGGGGGGAGGATGGTTGCAGCTGTCAATGATGAGGCAGTCGATGGCATGGACACGAAAGTACGGTGTTCGGGACGCGGCTGGGACGATCTCTAACCTCATGTTAGCAACCCAAGGCACCTTATTTTCTTGCTTGTAACAGGCCAACCCGGGGGTGTCTCGGCAAGCATGCTGCTCGTTTCTCGAGGACTGGAGAGCAGACCAGATCGGCAGGCCAAAGTCTCGGGTCTGCTGCTCCTTGCGCTGCAAGCCATGCATCATTGCATCTAGCATCTAGCATCACGCTGGACACCAGTTACTCTCTCCTAAACTCTCATATCTTCCCCTAATTGCACAATGGAATACCGCTCAAGATTCATGCTCCGCTTGAAAAGACAGGGGGTTGGTTGCGGCTGCAGAAGACCGGTTGTGATGAGAGAGAGGGGGAGGGGGCCTAGCAACATGGTGGGCATCAAGGACTTGTATCGGATGGTCTCAATTTCAGAGAAAACTCATTGACGGAGGGATATCATAAAACACTGCCAAGTACATGCATCTGTGAAGCAATGCAGATGCGAAGACGATGTGGTTGGCCCTGATGATACAATAATAAAACCTTTGGGGATGGGACACCGTACGCCGAGCGCTTCCAGGCTGATATCGAGGCCTTCGGCACGTGGTTCTTTATTTGGGTGCGCTGTTGCAAATCCGTAATCCGTATGCCAGACAGCCTGCAGGGTAAAAGACGAAGTGTCATATCCATGGATGGGCTGGGATAATGGGAGACGAACCGTCTCCAGGTGGTATTGACCGTCAGACAGTTGTTTGAGGATGAAAATACAATTGAGAAGTTGGGGTTTCGCAAAATGATCAAGGCCGCATCATGCTCCAGTTGGCTTGGCATATTTCACGGACTTCAACTTTGTGGGCCGTCGAGCAGAAAGTGGATCCCGGGCTCCAGATGGGGAAACAGAGGGTGGATGTAATTACAATGTGAATGCTGATTTCTGCGAAAGGATCACTGTAAGACTACCTTGAGAAATCACGCGCCATGACACTCGATTGGAACAATTGCCCAGGTTCCAACAACGAGACATGCAAAAAGAAGCTTTTTTGTCTCGAATAAATACAATCCCTGGATCAAATCCAACTTTCTTTAATCTCCCTGGCAAATCTGCTGACTCAAAAACGTTTCTCAAAGATCTCGTCTTCGCAAGCTTCGCGCTGAAGCCAGCTCTGCACGTGATAAGCCACAGATTTGTCCCGACTCAGCGCACCTTTCCTTCCCATTGCCTTTCACATGGGCAATTTTCAAGCTGTTTCAATGCCATGTCCAACGTTTCTTTCAGCTTCCATTCGGGTCATGCAGTTCGTGTCTGCCGTGGATAGCAGGACTTTTCACGTAATTGCGAATGGTGCTAACATCCAATTCTGAGTCTTCTCTCCCCTCATTTCGCTTTTACTCAGTCTCTGGCTATCATTCCTTCTCATGCCACAGGCTTTACCTCATGTGAGAAACAGAGGTTTTTTTTTGGGGGGGGGGGGGAGGTGGGGAAAGGAGGGCCAAGCCAGCATATCTTTACCAGCCATGAGTACTTGTCCAATTACTTTACATATGTACCTTAAGCAGCACTTTGGTTTCTGTCAACTGACCTCCAGGCCGTCTAGTATCGCCATCTTTCCATCAATTCATCATTCTATCACTTCTCTTCAAAAGTATGATGCAATAGTATGATGCAATATCTTTTGGATATTTTCCACTTTCTTTAGTTTCCTATACTGAATGGGCTGTGAAGCTCGAAGTGAAACAGCTACAAGAATTTTGTGTCGACAATACGATACCCTGGTTCCTTTGGATAGTCACATCAAAGGCTATCGCAACCTCTCTGGTGATATCACATCATTGAGCGTCTCTCTCCAATGCACATATCGTTACATTGATTTAATTCTATCCGACTTTTCGGATGTTCAACCAGTCCGACAGGTAATGCCAATGAAGCAATGGGTTTGTCAAGCCCTGCCGGAGTATCCCACTCTCCCCCCCCCACACTAGTACCCTCTCCCAGCACTCTCATTAGTGCCGAACCACCCTATCTTCACCACCGGACTCCGGCTCTTGCCCTACTTATGTCCTTCCAGAGTCAGGACAGGCTGTTAAGAGCTTTGGCTAACCGAACACCATAGCAAGTTACACCCATGACTGCATGTGCCTGCGATCGCTCCAACCTGTGTAGGGGATGGAAACGAAACTACAGTTGTGACACAGCATACTACAACGACATATCTTATCTCTAACCATTCTTGCTGGTTGTTGTCTCTGTTTTGCCATCAAGTGATGTTTGGTTTTCTCCTGTAGCTGATCTGCATTTCAGCCAGCCAAGGAGTCTGATAGTTTGGGGATGATAAGAGGAAACTGAAGCTGAGAACCTCTGAGATGCTGTTTGGTTGGATAGATATTATCAATACGATCAAGGACTGCCCGAAATAACTTGCACAGCATCAGAGTATCCTCCTCCAAACGGCCCTATTCGGTACGTATATGAATCGTTCCCCATCTCCGGTGGCTGGGACACACAGCGGCCAAGTTTCTGCAGAGCGATCATGTCGCTTTACTTTCGGCTACCAGGCAGATCTATGATCTCTCCGTAGTATGCAGAACCAAACAGGCTGTTTTGTCATTAATTCTCAGGGATATTGCTTTCCCAGACCCTGGACGCCTGACTCTGCCTTCGGGCAGAAGAGCGAGACACAGCTTGAACGACAGGCCAATATGAGCAATGTTTGAGGGCTGCCTGTTGCCATCCGGACTGAGTGTCACATGTATCACAGAACTCTCTTTCAGTATAGGAGTCTCAGGTGGGCTCTCTCATCACTTTTTAGTAAAGTCTATATGCTTCCGAGACTTGCGGGATGGCTTCAGAGCGGAAACTGGGTCTATAGTTTCCCATATGTTGCTGCCATTCACGTCTGCCTACCGCAAGTACCCTTCATTCAACCTTTCGGATCTTTATTAAACAGCTACTGTGTTATGCTTGTGCATTAGCGAGAACCTTGCCGATCAGTCATACATGTTTTTTTTTTTTTTCTACATGACTCTCTAGTGACAAGATAAATCCAGGGACCCAGCATCTAAGTCCTTGGTCGGAAAATATTTTACGGAAAGAGGAGAAATTTTGAATATCCTTCGCCTAAACCAGCCACCAGAATGGAACCTAAAGCATGACCTGGTCATCGTCCAACGTTCTACTAAATGCTATATGCCACTCTTATTGCTCTCAAAGAGGGTGGCTTAGAAGAACTAGACTATCGGCTTTGTGTGACAAGGAAGCTTTGTTACAGACTTGCAGCTACCTCGGAGTGGTAGCTGGGAACAGGCATGAACCATTCCTATAGAAAGGTGATCATGGTACCATTCATGTTGGACCAAGACGGCATGTTGCGTACACGGGCCATATACGACCAACTGAGGAAATGATTAAGCGCTGACATACAGACGCAAGGGAAATTATTAGTCAATTGTATATACAGATACTGATTAGTCAGGCATTTAGTTGGCACCGACTTCGTTCGTCCTGCTAGATCATTCGTGTTGGTGGGTTTGCTGTTGTTTTTTACTCTCTCGTATATGCTTCCTTGAAAGTATCTATTTGCGTTGAGGGAGAATCAAATTCTAGGCACCTGGGCCGCAGCTGAGCAGAAAGATCGGAATCAGGGGCTGAACTCTCATATGCAGAGACTCTTCATGGGTCAAGATGGCAGGGAAAAAAAAAGAAAATCAGAGTCCTGCTGTTACAATCGAAATCTAGTAATAATTTCACTGCTCTGGAGATCAGTGCCGCCCCTTGGAGCTTGAAGTTGTGCATGCGTCCGTGCGGTTGTGATCCGAGAAGTTGATGATCCCAATTTGCTTCTTAGTTCCTAACAGCTGCAAAAGTCTCGAATTGCCAGGGTTTTTAGCTCATTAAGATGGACAGATATTCAGCAGTAGGACTTTTCCTCACAGCTTAACCAAGGTATGCTTATCACTGGCTTCAGATAAGCATGTGTATTTTGATTATTCTTTTTCTCCACCTTTTCTTTTACCTAGGTGGTCACTCCTCCTGAGCGATGATATTTACTCTCCTTTGTGTTACCAACACATGCTACGACTTACCGTATCGCAAGGTTCATGCACCGCATCCCTGTGCTTATTCCACTACCTTCAGGGGCAAGCATGAATTATCACGAAAACCTCCATCAAGCCTTACGCTTGTGTGAGCCAGAAAGTATTTTATATGCCCTCCTTTCTAGCTACAGTGTTTGGGTATTAAAAGTTTCAGAACTTTTGTTTAAACCCTATTCAGAGTGAACTCTCTTCCAGACGCGTTGATGGAACAGAGAGACGTGATGCCTGGAAAAGATACGTCCCTGCCTCTGGTTGACATCGTTGGAATTAGACCTCCAGATGATCTGATGACGTAGCTTGCTACAGATGCGGATACCCGGGTCGCGGACCATCATGCCCTCGGTCCCGACCAAACGCACACTGATTGTTCTCGTCTGGGTTTGGAACCACCTAGTCTTTCAAACAAAAACCATGGTTGCATACAACCAGTGAAGGGCTTTATATTATAAGGGACCCAAGTCCAAAGTCGTGACCCTCGAAGCATGGTCTCTCCTTTTCCTACGTCTAAACAAGTCACCGGAAATTAGGAGGTAGGAGGGGCCATAGCCCTGATTCAGGGTCGATAGTCCCCACCAGCCAACACGATTCAAAACACTGGAAAGAGAACACGCCGGCAACTACACCGAAAAGGACAAATCGATTGCAATTAAAAGCTAACCTAAAAGATAACCGACCATCCCCCAAGAAAAATAACTCCAAGCTCCGAAAATTAACCTTCTGGAACCACCCGTCGGTGTCTAGATGCCGCGACGAAGCCCCATCGATTTTATCTGTGAAGAAGTCCATGGACGGGGGACCTAGCAGTGCCTTCTCCCTCTCCACCCACGAAAGATTGGAGAGAGGATGAGCCTATAGGCCCATCAACCTCTGCACCGTTGGCAAATTGTACCCCGAGGACAGGACATGAACTCCATATCCTTTAGATACAGTGCGCCTAAGCATGAACATACGCTGTAGCTGATAAGGAGAGAGCAGCACTAGCGATTACAGAGGCTGATAACATCACCTTTAATAGAAGAGCAGCAATGGCGGCCGTGATATCGTGCTCTTTAACATATAAGGTCAAGGAACATAATCGCCAGCAGCCCCCGAAACTCCACAGCTCCCAAAGCTCGTATGAGCCCTTCCAGTATCCGATTACTTCGCTGAACAGGCCACACTAAGACACGCCAGGACAGAACCACGCTCGATCCCATATCATATCAACACGGGATCAACAGCAAAACACCAAAAAAAAAAAAATTCTCGGAACAATAGTTACACCAGGGCTACGATGCCTTTTCCTATGGCAGTACTCAAGACAAGATAGGGCATCGGCTTTATTGGGTGCACTAACACCCTAAAGCCCGATGGAACCCCTACCCCCCAGGCCTGGCAAAACCCTCTGTCCCGTATTTAGAATGCCGGACGCACTAGATCGAGCACGTGCGGCACAGGCTGGGGAGCAGCAGGGCTGCTTTCGCGTCGGGCCTTGAGCTTCTTGGTACTGTCACTGTCCGACGAAGCAGACCCCGTATACTCAGCACCGACGTAGTCGGTCGGCGGTACGGTAGCCATACCGGAGGTGTCGGTAGGGTCGGCAGTGTTACCAGCAGCGTTACCAGCTGTGGGGATGCCCAGCTTGCTGCAAGCGTCAAGGTGGTCCTGTGGGAAGGACAAATCGCGCAGGCGGTCAGGGGCCTCGATAATGGTGGCAGTGAGACCCATCTCGACGTGCCACTCGATGTGGCAATGGAAGAGCCAGACGCCGGGGTTGGAGGCATTGAAGCGGATGACGGCATGCGAGTTTGGCATGATGGCCACGGTGTCGCGGCGCGGAGGGGTGCTGGCGTAGCCGCTGTCAGAGCCAGACCAGTTGCCCGTGCCGCTGGCCGGACGGGACAGGATCTGGAAGTGATGACCGTGCAAGTGGAACGGGTGCGTTGCGGCATCGATGTTATTGACGACGATCTGGACGATATCGCCGTAATCGACGATGAAGGGGTTGACCTGGCCATAGACATCTGGGTTGGTGTTGTCGTCACCCGTGGTTGCCGCACTGTAGAGCGTCGGCACCTTCTGCCCGATGTAGGTTAGGTTGTTGAAGCAGGCCCTGAATGAGCGTTAGCCGAGGTCTGACGGCAATATGAAATGTATCCGATGATGAGATTTACATACCGAGGGTACCCGTTCTCGTCAAAGCAGAAGTTGAAGTCGAGTTGGATCAGTTTATCGTACGAGCTGAACGCAGCGGCGCCGTCATGGGCCTCGAACTTGGACTCGTCGGCCGGATCCCACTTGTCGACGACGTCGGTTCCAGTCAAGGACTGAGAGTCGTCCATGACCAGGTAGCCTGTGTAGTTCATGGGCCATTGCAGGCCTGTCGAGTTGGTCCAGTCGCGGTTGATGTCCAGCGAGACCAAGAAGGGATAGTTCCCGCTGTCACGGCTGGAGGCCTCGAGCAGGAAGTCATAGCGCTGGGCAGGAGCCACACGCAGCTGAGAGGCGTCCTTCTTTTTGAGATAAGAACCGTCGTTCATGATCACCTTCATGGTGTGAGAGCTGAAGTGGATCATGGCCGAGGCGAAGGCGGCCACGTTAATCAGGCGGATGCGGTAAGTGTTTCCCGATGTAAAGTTGATGTTGGCACCGAGGCCCTCGTTGACGAGGAGGGCGTCGGGAATCGGAGGAGCGAACTGAGTGTTGCTCGGCTGAATCATGTTCTTGACAGCGGTGATACTGTCATTATGGTACCTAGGAGTGCGTTAACTCTTCTAGCCTGTCGCTGACGTGGAATGAGGCTTGGCCAGAGTCTTACCAGTCGGAGACGAGGATAATCACCTCCTCGTCGTAGTCGTTGGCATAAGGGTCATCCGTATCATGGACGATGAGGGGCCCGCGCAGGCCGTCGGGGTATTGCCCAAAGTTGTGGGAGTGGTCTGACGGTTGTTAATAACTAGAAGTTCTGGGAAGATTGTGAGCGGCAATTCGATCAACATACACCAATAAGTACCGGCAGTGTCGACGACAAAACGGTACGTGACAGTAGAATTAGGGGGAATAGGGCACTGGGTAACACCGCTAGGCCCATCCATATCCTCTGTGGTGATCTGGTTCAAGCCATGGAAGTGCAACCCTGTCGTTTGGTTGCCCAATCGGTTTTCCAGGTTGACAACAACGGTGTCGCCGACTGTGGCCTCGATTTTAGGGCATGGCCAGTCGTTGTTGATGCCGACAACTGGTCGGGCATACTTCCCATCAGGGTTTCTCCATACCCAAGTAGCATTCCAGTTGTATGTGACTGTTGCGGCAATTGCCGCCCTGGCGAATATCACCAGCAGCATTGTAGTTATGGTCGTTCGAGTGAACCACATTTTGGCGTTCCCAAGGGAAAAAAAAAGAAAGATTATTTCACAAACAGAGACGCAACCAAGATATTAGCAGCCTTCCTCTCACGACCGTGCGTGATGTCAGGTACAGAACAAACAGTGCAAGCAAAACCCGGGCTAAATCAGATGTATCACAATTCGAAGAGAATGACGTGAAGATGGCGATAGATATATGAACTGATGGCCCACGGGACAGGACGGATCGGGTTGCTTCAGCTGCGAGGTGTCCATGCAAGAGGCGATGCCTTTGGTTTGGGTGTAAGATCTCTATAAAGTGTTTGTGGCAACGCGTGAGAGTCCTTCATAAATGCTCTCTAGGATGAAGCCGGGCCCAAGACTTTCAAGTCTTTTGAGAAATCCACCATCGGTGTCTTGGGCTTGGTCCATTCGCCTTCGGTGGCTACGAAGGCCGAGTTGGCCTCTCGATAAGAAGGCATCATTGGAGATCCTGCTGCAAAATCATTAAAGCTGACCGAAGATTGAGGTGGAGGACAACACAAAATCACTCCTCCACATGATGCCTAATATGGCTGTCACATGTAGTAGGAGCACATTTCTCTTTTGAGCTCAACCAACCGGCATGCTCATAACTCATTAAGCAGCATGTGAGAAGTTATGAAATTTCATGCGCAGACCTGACCCTTGATATCTGTTGTTCCTCGTGAATGTCAACAGCCTGCAGCAAGTACAGTTGATTGGGTAGCTGAAAAGCGGGCTGAGGACGACCACGATAGCGGGGACTGAGGGACCTGGTGTTGTCGATTCCTAGCCTGACCGTGGCAATTTTTGGGCTTCTCACCATCTGCGTGAAGTAGAATGGCCGTTAATGTTAATGGGAGCTGCAACATCTCATATTGGGCGAGGTTCTGGTGTGGTTGAAGATGCATAGTCCGCGCATCTGCAGTCGCGGGAGAATGGTCGGTTCCGAATTCCTGGTAAAGGCCGAGCATGGTGAAAAGCATCCCTCGTGGCTAAAACTTTTGCATCCATAGCAACTTGTAAGCTCACTCATCTGTCTGGGATTCAAGACTAAATGATGTCACGATGGTTAATAAGGACCTTATAACCGTGGCTTCAGCCCCGAGGGAAGACCGGGCAATCACGTGTTAAGGTCTGTCATCGACCTGCTCATGTCATCACCTCGTAGCCAAAAAGTCGAATTGGTACCGCACCCACAACTCTACAAGCAACCAGAACTGGATAGAAGTTGCGTGTGCCCACTTGCTCCGATTACTCCGCTACTCAGGTTATGGTCCAAAGGGAGAAGAAAAGTTGGTCAGATTGTAAGTCGAGATAAAGCGAAGTTTGGCGCATTTTTGTTCACTGTGCATATATCCTGTAGGCAGTGAAGATATCATCCATACTTCTGGGGAGCACAAGGTGCAGTGGAAGCCTTGCTGGAAGCAACTCTTGAGATGGTGTTCCTTGTCGCCAGGCCATTGTGTCAGTTAAGCTCCGAAGTTGTGATCAGAGAAAACTAGAAGATCTCACCAGAATTGTTCAGCACACTTCGAGCTACAGTGGGCCTTTCATTAAGGGAAGCGTTCTAGAGCATGAATGGTGAAGTGGGAGAAAGTGAGTGAGGACTGAGAAGGATGGATATGGTTGCTCACAAGGCTTAGGCCGTTAGCAAGCTCCACCTCGTAGTTGCTGAGAGGAGTGGGGCTGTGGGGACATGCAGATCGCCGACGGGGATTGTAGCAAGATCAGCCAATCATAGGATGCAAAGATCTTCGGAGTTGGGTGGCCCCCACCGCCCCTTCCGCCTCTCCAGCTCTTGGCTCTTTCCTTTTTGGAACTTCAAACTTTATTTGAAGTTTCTTGTCTGCTGTGCTTTGCCCGCCCTCTTTCCTAAAATTTGTCTGTCTGTTGTGTACAGCGGCTAAGTAGTAGTCACACCTGCCCAGAGGCATGGAATTGCACTTACATCTGTACATGGCAAGCAGTGGGCATAGCTTTTCCGACATTTGTGTTGGACACTGACCCAGGATTCGGTGGCTCTGTACCAGCACCAGGACCAAGTTTTCGCGCTTACGGCTGTCCGGACACAAGCTACCATTCGAAATCGGGAAGCAGCTGTCAGGCCATCTCCATGCAATTCTCCTGCTCAGTCTTTTGACTTGGACTTTGGCTGGATTAGTTTCTGTTCGTTTTGCCTCTCAGATCTGTGGTTCTGAGTCACTTCTGTGATGGAGCCGACACTTTCCGCCATTGTGGCTTGAGTCGTCATGTGACTTCCCCTACTTGTTCAATGCATCTTTTATCTTGTGGCCTTGGATATCTGCAGACCTTGAAGATAGACACGTGAATCAAAGAACCATTTGGTACCTTAAACTGTTCGGCCTTCGTGGCCTAAGTGCCTCATCAGAGGATATCATACGTCAGGTTTCCCGACCACAAATCTCGCAGGCGGGGTTATGCATCTCTTCTTGTTTACAAGGAGTAACAGTGATTGCCAAATACAAGGGTTGTCAAGTGAAAGTTGTGCAGGGTGGACTGAAAGCACGTCGTTAATCATATATCATCGCAAAGCTAGCAGCCGAAGGGCATTGCCAGCATATGCCACAGTTGTCAACAAGATGATCTGAAGTGGTACATCAAGACCTCGGTGAGTCGCCGAGCCACCAAACCCGGAGAGTAACGCTCGAATATTTCTTCAAGAACACAGATGTTGTTTCCGGATTGAAAATGATAATGATAATGATGTTTCGTCCCAGAACACAAAAAATAACTGCTCCTGACGTAAATCATGTTTAAGGTTCTTGCAAGGCCTGAGTGCTCCAAAACAACCCGACGATTCAGGTTGGATTAAACCAACGTAAACATGGAGATACACTCTTGCAAAGAATCAAATAACAGAGAAAGGAATCAAGAAGGTGCAGGGGGGGAAAAGGGGTCCGACCACGCCTTGATTGGCAAGACATAAAATCGATGTCCAATATCTTCAAGCAACATCTCGAAAATTACCTGTCCTTTGCCACAGACAGAATTGAATGTTCAGGGAAAAGGATGGTAGTGCGGCCATTCAATGATCGGGGAGACTGTTTCCTCGACCAGGGGGATAAGGCACTCAGTTCGCAATATGAGTCCCTCCCCCCCCATGGGACCCCAGGTAATTCTGAAAGTCCGCTCCCTGAAAGACTGGTAGGGACAATGTATTGGATGAAGAACGCATATTTGTGGTCACACGAGAATAGATGGTTCAGCAGATTGGTGTTTATGAGAAGTTCTCTCACTTCAGTTAGGTGCCTATGCATCCAAAGAAAAAAAAAAAATTTGCCTCTTGTCCCTGTAAAGTGAGAAGGCTACCCGGGCTCAATGTTGCAAGTATAGCACCAAGAACATGAATTCCATCTATAAGTCATGTCATTACGTCCATGGATGACTGCTTATGATCTACCAAAAACAGATTTACCATTCCGTCTCCACCATGTGCATTCATTGACCATAACTTGATATCCCTATCCAGTACAGTAGTTCTACCTATCGAAACCTGCAAAAGTCTTTCTGAAAGAACAAACCCTCATTCTCTTCCTATTCCCCAATATGTCAAACCCCATCCTACATTAGAAAGTACATTCCCTAACCCTGCCGCCCTTCCCGCTGACGACATTATACTCTACCCATCGCGCAACCCCTTTTCTCCCAGGCACTAGCACTGGGCCCGGATTCATAACATTGCACCCTTCATACGTGACACAAAATGCGGGTGCTGTTGTGTCCACGAGTACTAGGGCTGTTGGTAAGGGGTACAGATGAAGAGCGGACGTGTAGTCCCAGTGCACAGGGCGAATGGAGGGACGGAAGGGGGACAGGTAGCCTTGGTCGAGGATGGTTTTAACGAGCTTGCGGGCAGCGAGGATATCATATGGTAGTGGTGGCTCGGTTTGTGGTGGTTGTTGCCGTTGTTGGGGCGGTCGGCTAGGACCGCTACCGTCGAGGTTGAGATTCTGTAGAGGGGGAGAAGACATGAGTGGCGGTTGGGAGTCGATATCCATATCCTCGGCAGGTTGTGGAGTAGACGACCCGTTGGCGCCGGACATCGTGACGTCTCCGTCCGCAGCAGTCTCCTCTTGGACGGGGACTTTCCCCTTCAGTCGCACTGATGAACGGCGCAGCCGAGCCGAGATATCGTCCCTGAAAAGGACAATCTCGTGGTTTGGTCCAAAGAGACTCAGCCGAGCAGGATTCGTAGCCCATACTGCTTCTCCTCCTTTTCCTTCTCCAGATAATCCCGCCTCAGAATTCGCTGACGCGAATGCTCGCCTGATGCGAGAAGTAAACAACTCTGGTACGGATTTCCTCGGCAGCGGGACGGCCGCGCCGCCTGTGAATGCGGACACCCAGCCATCGTTGTCTCCCGGCACGAAGACGAACGTCGCGGTGGTCAGCAGCGTGGGGAAATCAGCGAGCGTCGATGCTAGAGCGTCAAAACACTCTTTGTACTCGATACTACCGCCGCTGCCGCCGCGGGCCATGACGGCATGGGTGGTGAAGTTGCCCGTAAGGACAAACGTCATTGGTGTGGACCCTTCGGGGTCTGTCGCGTAAAGGGAGAGGATCTTGCGCAGGGCTTGTAAAGTGCGCGGTTGATCGAGATTGAGCTCTCCCACGATAACTATACGGCCTCGGTTGGGCGCTTCAGGGTCGGCAAGGGATGGTTGGCGGAGCAGGCGCTGCTCAAGCTTGCGCATACGTGATCCGACAGCGCGCTCGCTGCCTACGCCGAGGAAGTCGATCCAGCCGAAGCCGCCGCCGATTGTGTGGTCTGGTCCGCCGTCCGGGCCGCTGACCCCTAGCGTTACCCGGCGTCGTTCGCAAGGCGGCTGGCCGATAAAAAGACCTTGGAACTTACCGCCGATTGTACCGCCAACGCCACTATTGCCTCCTAGGCCTTTGCCTACTTGTTCCTCGTCCTCTTCGTACACGCCATCGACCAGGACGATCATACCTGGCGTAAACCAGGCCGAGTCCTCGGGAATAGCGACGGCATGTGACAAGTCAAGAGCGATTGACCCTGTCAAATCGCTGATGGCTAAGTTTCCCGTCGGAAGAACGCTCAACATGCCAAGCAACATGTGGTTTGTACCATGGCAACCCAGGAGGTTGGCGATTGGCGTGATCTTGTGGGATTGCATGGCTGCTGAGTTGGTTCGGCGGAGTCTACTAGTGGTGACGGCGGATGTCTGGAAGGCCTCATTGCGGAGCAGACGTTGATGGATGACGTTGTATCGATTGCGAAAGGCTTCGGTCTTGTGGGACGGGGGAGGGAAGAGGGAAGGTTTCGTGGTTATTCTGTATCAATGGTTAGTGACGGGGGTTAGGGAAGCCGACGAAAAAGGGCTCGCACTTTTCAAAGTGCTTCTTTGCCACGTTGTATGTATACCGCGGTTGATCAAAAGCGTTTATGACCTTCAGCCAGCTCCTAGGGTCCCGCAATGTCTCATCGTCCGGTTCATCATCAACGTCCATGCTGCTCGACACCCCCATGCCTGCTTGGCTGTCTTCGCGGCTAAGGCTTGGAGTAGGCCTTAACCCCATTCTCGTCTTCGACAATTCTGAATCATCAGCCTGTTCCAGCAGGCTATTCTGCCTACTCAAGCCCCTCGGACCGCTGATGATTCTTCCCCCACTCATGTTCCCTTCCAGCGTTTTAAGGATATCCTTAAGCTCCGGACTCGTCCCATCGACAATGACGCCTCCATTGCGATTTTTCCACGACTTGGCCACTTCTTCGAGGACTTTTTCTGCTAGTCCTTCCTCCCTCCATCCTGAGCCACAGTGCCTGCCAATGAAGGTCGCTAGCTCCTGAAGGGCCGAAGACGTCAACGTCAAGCTGTGCTTTTTGGTGAAAGTCCGGAAAGCCAATGGCCGAAGCGTCGCGGGAGGCAGAATGATCGGCAAAACGGCAGCTTTTGTAGGAGTTGGGGGCTGAAAGGGCTTTAGAGGATGGGCAGGCGTCGCGAAGGCGGGCGAGGATGAGGGGATCGCGCTCAAGGGCGGGGCAGTATTTTTGGGCGCAAAGAAGGGCGGCGGGGGCGGCTTCAATCGCTTAGACGGGCTGCCATGCTGCGGCTTGCGGGGACTCTTTTTACGGGGGCTCTCTATTGGCATCATTTTGGCGGTGATGATAGAGGGAGGGGTTTGGTGTTGGGGCGAGGCGTCGAAGCCGTTGTCGATTGTAAGTAGTATGTACCCGTTTGGGCATCTCGAATCTTAAATTGACGTGGACGCGTTGATGACTTCTCGGCGCGTCTTAGCGTGTTTTGGTGGGGCCTGACAAGGGTGCAAGCTTGACTTGGGCCAGTGACAGGGGTCGCGGCAGGCATTTGAGAACTTTCAGTTCATCAAGCTCCATCACCGTCAACATCTGATGAGCGTCAGTCATTTTTAAGCTCAAACAGCAAAATGGCGACATTATTCAGATCGATCAGCCGGTTGAGCCCGCCCATGAATGGTCAGAGTCGCATTCGGACCATAACGACATTATCCTCCAACCCCAGCATTGTCAGTCTTGCCCCTCTGCCCCTCATCACTCACCATGAAACCTCACCCTCATCTCCAGTTTATCTCAACCTCAAGTTGACCACGCTTACAGAAAGTTTTTCCTCACCCTTCTAAACCAAATACCCACCTCCTAACGTACCTTGAAACAAATCCCCCGAACCCTTCGCTCGCCATCGGCACGACGACCACAGTTCCCCCTACGCCCAACAGTTTCCGCGAGAATCCTCGTTTTCTGACCATCCTTAACGATGTGCTCGCCAAGCATGCTGCAAATGACCCGGACTTAAAGGCGCAGGCACAAGCGTTTGCGTCTCCCGGAGGCTTCAGCTTCATCCAGGCGGGCCGCAGCGGCCGTGGAGGGTCCGGAGGAGCAGGGGGTGCGAGTGCTGAAGGCGGGGCAGGAGGAGCGGGAGTTGGGGGATGGGTGCATCTGAGTGACACGAGGAATCCACCTGAGTTTGGTAGGATTGCATGGTAGGTCGACTGCATGCCGAAGAGAGGGTGCGCACGTCGCTGATGGTGTTCAGGCCGGAGGACATCTTTGGCAGTGTTGAGGTCAATGGTAAGGGTGAGATCATTGGGAATTATCAGCCAAGCGGGACATATCGGATCATTACGCCCAACGGGATGTGAGTGCTTCCTGCCTGATATGCTCTGTGGAAACAAGCTTACTCTCTTATAGTCTTGGGCTGAGCCCATTCCTCGAGGAAAAATTGATAGCTCGGCTCCGGGAAGAAGAGAAAAGGTCATGAGTAGTCGGCTGTGGCGTTGATGTTCCTCTAACCGTGTAACTATATATATCGGGTTCGTTAACTCGAGCGTAAAGTACCTGTAACACAATGAATGGATGGCCCGTTCTCACTGTTGGCGAAGGACGGTCTTTGTAATAATATTGAATATACAGCTCACGGAAGTACCATAACGGCGCAAAGGAGTATATTGACAAGTTAGTTTCAGGTGCCGATGGTGACAATGGGGACATGGAGTCGATACAGGCAAACGCAATACCCCACCGCCTTTTCCAGTTAGCAAACCCAAGCAAATGATCCGAGATTCCCATTCCTAAAGCAAGACGGCCAACTCCGACCCAGGAGAAATCCGAAGAGTTCGAAACAATTCATAGTATGAAGGTATATTCCCGATTGCCTAATCAGCCTCTTCATCTTCCTCTTTGACTCCGTCGTCCCCGTCATCTTCCTCTTCGCTGGTTGCCTCGATGTTCGACTTCTTTGGTTTTTTCTCTGACTTCACGGCGTTGCCACTGGTCTCTCCAGCCGACGGATCGTCGACGGCGTGACCTTGAGAACGGAGCTCGTCATTCAACTCCGGGATAGCCCCGAGCAGGGCTTTGTACTGATCCAGTGTTAGGGAGATGCCCTTGGTGAGGACCGTCAGTATCTTGAGCCCAAAAGATACAAGATGGTTTGGCCTACCTTTTTGCCAGGGCGCATCTCACCATCGGGGGCAGTGAAGTACTCGCGAATGTTTATGAGAGTAGTGCCCTTGAACTTAGATACCCCAACTCTCCGGTTGTGCCCGATCTGGTGATGGTAAGCATCACCTTGCTAACAAGGATCAGAAAAGGTTGGAGCACCCACCTCCCAGTAGGTATTGCCTTCTGAGTCGGTTCCCTTCACGAGACCACCATTTGCCGCACTCTGTGTAGCTGGCTTGAACTTTTTCGGGCGAGGCTTGTCGCTCTCGGCCTCAACTTGACGCTTCTTAGGAGGCATGTTGAGGGTTTCCTCCCGTGAATAGTTAAGCGTGACCTTGAGAATTATGACTTAAGAGGTCTCGAGGACAAGATGTGGGCTGGAGTAATTGGTGAAAAAAGAAATGGTCTAATGGCTTGATGGCGGTCGCTATTCAATATTCCCTGGGCAGTCACAAAATTTACCTGAAACTGTCTTGTGAGACGCGCAAACTGCGAACTTCAGTGACGTCGCCGTCGTGGCTTCCTGCTTTCCAACGCGTCGGCACGTGCAAACAGTATGACAGGTCTCCACTAAAAGTGGAGCCGAAAATGGTTCGTTGATTCTTGGCAGGCTTCTTGGCAGCAGTGCGCACAGATATATTGGTGGAGACACTTCGCGTTTGAGGTTTGGAACGATCCCCACTTCTGCGACTTGCTGGCTTCTGGTGGGACGTTGTGGGCGGTTGGGGGAGAAAAGCCCCTGATGAATGGAGACAGTGGAGCTGGAGAAGATGTCAATGGCCAATCCGATCGAAAATTGTAGCCAACAGATGCAGGGCAGCAGCAATTCCAAGTCCCGAAACCCGGGTAGGATGGAAGGGAGGGCCACTTCAGATTAGAAACACCCGCATCCAGAACCAGAACCAGGTCAGGGTCGGGGCCCAGACCCATACCACAGCCCGCAGATTCAAATCGATTCCAGGGTTTCTGTGGTTTTTTCCCTTCTTTATGTCAAATTCATTCCCGTCAGTTGGCAAATTGTACGACTGTCTCGTGTCATATAGTGTATTCTACTGTGTCCTCCTTTTTGTCTTTTTTTCGTCTTGTCCGCCGTTGCAGTGCCACCAGAGATAGCCGTCCAATAAAGCGCAGACACCCAGCCGGCTCCAACGAAGTCTCCTGATTCGCGTTTTTTCAACGGCCTGACCTTGTCCAGCGTTCCTTGCGCCGCGTCACCGCCAAACTCTCACCCAAAAGCACAACTCGCCAGGTCCGAGCCGGCCGGATTAATGGTCTGCCCACGAGCCGCGCCGCCTTTATGAGACAACAAGATGCGTCCTCGCCGGGTATGCAGCCCGACACCATGGAGGAGCCGAAGGAGATGAACAGTCCCGCCGTTGAGTCCCCCGATGCTCCCGCGCCGCGGGCCAATCCCGACTGCGCCGCCGTCGGTGCCGCCAATGGCTCGAATAGTCCCAGCAATAGCTCCGGCGCCAAAGTTGTCAATGCCGATACGAAGCCTCCAGTCTTGAACGAGGGCGCTCAATCCAGCGATCAGCAGAGCCTGACCACCAAGATCATCGACTTTCTGGCCAGTGCCAGCCCGGGCACGCTCGGTGGCGTCGCGGTCGGCCTAGCTGCGACAACGTACTTCGTGCTAGGCAGGCTCGGCCTCGTTCTGATCGGCGCCTTCGGCGGCATCGTGTCCTTCATCCATTGGGAGCAGCGCAATGTCGAAGTTGCCCGCGCCGTGCGGGGCGAGAAGGGCCTTGACTTGCTAGAGCGCTTGCTGGCAGCCAAGAAGAGCGAGCAGGATGCCCTGCGCGGCGAAACAGGCTCTGAGGAGCAGCAGCAGGACGGCGCGCTCATACGTTCGTTTGACGACTTACAGCCCGAGACGCGCGAAGCACTGACTGAGTTGGTCGACGCCGTTATCGATAACTATGTCAAGTGGTGGTACTCGCCGATCGTGCCGGCGGACAAGTTCTTCCCGCTGGCTTGCCGCAAGACGCTCACCTCGTTTGTTGCGAGCGTGGCCAATTGCCTGCGCCGCAAGCGCCCCGCCGACATGTTTCTCGACTTCGTCACAAACTCTTCCTCGCTCGTTGTCGTCTTTCTGTCCGAACTCTCCAACGCCTTTGCCGAGCTGCCCCCAGAGTCCGGCTTGACCGCCGCCGATGCTGTCTACAACTATCTGGCTTCACATCCCGACTCCAGCCTTGCAACGCTTCTCAACCAAAAGCAGCAAGCGCATAAGTTCCGTATGGCTGCCGAAGACTTGGTGGGGTTCTTGGACCGCTCAACGTACGAGTGCGATGCGGTTCGGATTTTCCTCCGAGAGATTCTAGCTGGGGTGATTCTGGAGACGGCCTTGCAGAAGTGCTCTAAGGCAGACTGGATCAACACTTGGATCGTGTACTTCTTGGAATCAGGCGAACCGGACTTCAGTCAAGCCATTGATCAGGGCATGCAAACCGGCCCGGGGTCCGACATCGTTTTCGCCGATTTCGATGGCAATGTTGGCAACATCGGCCTCACTAAGGGCAACAGGAACTCGTTCGAGCAGGAGCGGGCGCGCCGTAAGGAGTCGCTGGCGGCTCATAAAAAGAAGCTCAGCAAGGCTGACGAGGAGATGGAGTTGGCCATGGAAGGGGTCAATAAGTTAAATGGCATGGTTGCTCAGAAAGGCAATGCCAGCACCGAGTCACTCCCTCTGCCCAATGGCCAGCAGATTGTTGGGTATGAGAAGAAAGACGGCTCAGAAAAAGGAGATCAGACTAAGTCGAGTGCACGGCCCCTGAGGATGTCAGGGACCAGCATCAAGACAACCGCCAGCGAGGGGTTGGGAATCAAAAACAGCGAGGTGTCCGCGCCCTCTACTTACCAGTCTGAAGGCCTTACGCCCTCCAGCCAAGACTCATTTGCGGTCAAGAACACCGGATCGCAATTCACCAGCTTTGACCAGATCCTTCCTCCTGCTCGAGACGAGCCCGAGATCGAGGAGGATAAGAAAGAGCCACAGAAGCCGCCGCTCACCCTACATAATGCCATCATCACCGTCTTGGACGAGCCGGGAGACGGTCGGATCCGATCCCGGCCCACCTGGGATTACCTTGTGCAAATCGAGCCAGCAACAATTCATTATCCTGGTTGGATGATCGTCCGTAAGTACAGTGACTTCGAGGCTGTCCACGAGGTGCTTCGACGCATCGCAGCCGTATCTGGGGCGACCGAGTTCACGGAGCAGCACAGCGCGCTACCCTCGTGGAAACAGTACACGCGGACTGCGCTGCGCGGGGAGCTGGAGCGGTATCTTCGCGACGCCTGCAAACACCGCAGTTTGGCTGAGAGCGAGGGGCTCAAGAGATTTCTTGAGCGCGACCATGGGCACATCCCAAGCGCGCCCAAATCCGGTTTTGAGGCCGTCGAGCGCCTGGGCAAGAATGTGCTCGGGGTTCTGGCGAGTGCCCCTCTTGAGGGTTCTAAGGCTGTGGTTGGCGGCGTGACTAGCGTTCTTGGGAACATCGGCCTCGTGCCCAAGAAACAGCAACCCCAGCCGCAGCCATCCCAGCAGTCTGTGCTACAGGACGTCACGGCTGCCAGCCGGCTGTCCATCTCGTCGCTACCACGAGCGGACAGCAGCTTGTCCCTCAGCGGCCGCGGCCGTGCCCGTGATAGTATGGACAGCCAGCGCTCGTCCATCGTCAACCTTCAGCCTGGTCGGATACCTCCGATGGAGCGGCGCGCCAGTAGTCAGCACTCGCAGGGAGAGGGAGACGCTACCGATGCGCCACGACGGGCCCGTTCCTCCCGTGAATACAGCCGGGGATCGAGTCGGGCACCCAGTCGGGCCCCGAGCCGTGGCCCCGGTACGCGCTCCTCCCCTAGCCCCATCTTCGAAGGCTTTCAACTCCCTCCGCCTCCCGACATGATCCCGGATGACTACGAAATCCCTGTCTCTCCCAGCCGCCCGCCTTTCAATGGCGACCAACTTACCTTGCACCATCAGCGTTCCCTGACCATGCCAACGCTTACTAGCCATCAGCGTCTGCACGGTCCTCCCTTGCGGGGTGTGAAGCAGCACGCGAAGCTGACCGAGCAAGAGACTCGTGTTGCGGTTGAGCTCCTTTTTGCTGTCATCAACGAGCTCTACACTTTGTCGTCGGCATGGAACATCCGGCGTACGCTGCTTGCCGCCGCTAAGTCCTTCCTCTTGCGCCCCGGCAATCCCTCCCTTCTATCTATCCAGAACCTGATCCAGGAGTCTGTGCTGGACGCGAACACCAGCGACTCCGGGATCGCGGCTCATCTGAGGAAGTTGAGACAAAATGCACTGCCGACGGAGGAAGAAAAGGCCGCGTGGCCGGCCGAGATGACCGAGGAGGAAAGGGAGAAGTTGAGGGCCAAGGCGAGAAAATTGCTCATCGAGAGCGGCGTGCCAGCTGCGTTGATGGGAGTTATGGGACAAGCGGCTACTAGCGAGGCCCTAGGCCGGCTGTTCGATTGTCTCCAGATTGAGGAGATCGCCAGGGGGCTCATGTTTGGGGTTATCATGCAGGCAGTGAGGACAGTCACGCACTGAGATTATAGCTAATGGATGCTGATGATGATAATGATGATGATGATGATGATGTGGACTCGAGGGCAAACATGACTGGAACGTTTCTCTTGAAGACGTGGATGGTTTAATGAATGAGCTGAAGGTACTATTTCGCGTCTGGGTGGTTCATGCAATACGATGGCGAGAAAACATCAGCAAAACGGGCGGCTGGGATGGTGTTGGAGCTAAAGCGGGCTCTGGACAGGTTAATGACGACCTCCAATTTTACGCAATAAGTCTTTTTTAATGACTAAATAATAATACAGTTGGATTATGATTCTTCACTTTTCCTTCATCTGGTTCTTGACTTTGAGATTGTTTATTCTCGCGTGGTGAGCCTAAGGCATTTCTGCGGTGTGCGAGATGGGAAGCTGAGTTTTCAAGTGTTCTCAACACAACAGCAAAATCCCATCCCCAAAGTCACCTCCATCTCGCAACAGAGTTGACTGACTTTTGAAGACTTTTCTATCTCCAGAATATATATATATATATATATATGAGCCATACTTTTCTCAATCAGTCTGTTGCAAACCGTAGCACCTTCGAAAGTTCAGCTTACATATGGTCACGTGACATCTCTTGTGGCTGCTCGCCTACTTGCATCCATTCAGCAGATGGGCTTAAATATTGGTAGTTTGTAAACTTAAAAAAACATACGACCATATCCACTGGAAAGTACGGGATCCCGTCCGCTCTCCCTTAGTCAAACCAGTGAGGGCCGAGCTAGTAGTTGGGCCGGTGACGACCAGCGAATCTTCAGCGTTGTATGTTTTTTGCTATCTTTCTCTTACCATTATGTTGGCACCAAGACTGTTACCTAGCATCTCTGTGCAGACCCAGAAGGATGTCAAACCGGGAGACCGTGATAGGGTTGCATCAACCACCCAGTTTTAGGCATGTCTGAGTAGCTATATGACCGCAGTTGTAGGGTTTTCTCTGCACATGCAACTCGTTCAAGGGTAAGAGACACGTCAAGCGGGGGCTTAGGTTACTGTGAGGGTCCAATGCACCTAGGAAACAAGTATATTGTTTACGATCATTGTGTTACAAAACTTGTTCTATGCTTTGATGAGGACCTATATTTTCCGGTACAGGGTCTGTGTTATACCCGTTATCATCAACTGGCTGACACGTGTAAGACAAAGTGATGTCAACTCCCAATTGCAATGCTACCCTACCACCACAGAGCCGCAAATCTTTCTGGGTCAGTCAACCCGCATAGCACATCCCGTTCTGGCCTACTGGTGTACTAGTATATTAGACATGCCTCGCTATTTAAACGGCCAACCGTTATATCCCGTCCTGGAGCAAACTACTACCCTCCAGATAGCCTAGTTCCCGTCAGCAAACCTGTCATGGTCTGACTTCACGCTGCGTTCCCTGGCTCAAGTTACATTCCGCGATGCTGCATGTCAGCCGATGCCACCCACGCCATCCACATCCTGTGACCATGCACACTACCTAGTTTTGTTGTCTTTCACTCCTTCACAAGCTGGTCCAACTCTTCCCGAAGCCACTGCCGCCAGCCACAGCCGCAACGTCACCGTCGATATTTGAGCGCTTGGTTCGAATGGCCCGTATCCCCGGCTGCCTGGCTGCGGCCATGACGCTGAGACAATGGCGATGGGTCAGCAGGGGGAGCTGAGCTACGTAGTGTATGCTCCTTTGCGGCACAGAATTTACTCCGGAATAGTCACATTCGGTTTCCCCGGGTCTTTCTGGTCGGGGCAGGCCCAGGCCCAGCCCTCCCCCACCTAAAGGATCGAGCTGTTTCTGTCAGCCCCTGTCAGCCTCTGTCAGCCCTACCCAATCTATTTGAGGCTCAGGCTACTGAGCTGCGTCCCTTACTCGCTAACGCAGGGGAGTTAGCTGCCGGCGGAGGGGAGGGAGTGGGGGTTCTGTTCGCAGTCTCGGGACCGAGCGTCGGGCGTCAGATCTGCTCTGTCGAGGATGGGGAGTAAGCATGCTGTCGAAAATAACGTGTTGTTTACATGGCGGGGAACCATAAATGATGAGGGGCAGATTAATAGACTTTTCTGAGCATTATCTTTAGAAGGGTTGCTCCCTAAGAGGTAGAGAAAGGTGTTAAAATACATTGAACTCATGGAGGAGTAAGGCATTCGTAGACTAAGGTCCACCATGCCTTCTAGCACAGCTTCCAGATGACACTGTCATAGCATTCAATGCCTATCTTTTCCTTTATCTATCCGACTCTTTCAGGCATTAGTGCCATCGATAAACGGGATGACAATGTGTTCCTTAGTTAACTCGGGATATTCCACTGCATGTAAGCACTGATGACACTCCAGGATAACTATGTACTCCTTCTTGAGCAAAAATTCCTTTCGAAACCTGGGACAGGAGATGTCATCTCAACAACCAATGGGAGCGTAACACCATCCCATCTGAGAGCTGCAGTATTGGAGGACAGTACAATGTTCATCGTGGATGCTGCTTGTAACGGAGATACCCATGATGTGTGGGGTTAACCGGCGGCAAATGTGGCTGAATGACTATCAACACAATGGACTAGAGAAACGTCCGAAGATCCAGATCAGCAACAAGGAACATTGGGACAGAAGAGACTTCTCCAAACACTGCCACATCAAGGATGGCCCCGCGAAGAGTGTATGATATCCGGATAACAGCATCAGGTCCCAGAGTGCGAGTTACCACGGCGACCATGGCGTCTCCGAGAATAATTGGCTAATTCGATGATTCATATGGCTGAATGGTGTTTCTGAAGTCAGCTCAGTGTTGCCAGCCTCAATGCAAGGCTGCCTAATCCGTGCTGCATCGAGTTATCTTTACTTGGTATCATTGGTATTACCATTCCCCGCAGAGCTAGGAAGTGATACATCAAAGTCCCCTAAAACAGCGAGCGATTGGTTGTTTGGCCCTTGGCTTTACCTTCGAGAAGTCTCAAGGAGACTCAGCCGCAGACACGAGGATCAGGAACATTTGTTGCACTGCTGGCTTCACGTCGCGCAAGGAGTACTAGGATCGTAAATGAATGGTTCAAAGTAAAGAGCTAAGCTTTGTGAAAAGAAAACAAACTAAACAGCTGAAAGTCACGACCTGGTCAAGCTACGTTCGTTTCCCAAGAGCACGGTAGCGAAAGTCGCCGGAGACGCAAGCTTCGCGATGTTTTGTTTCACTAGACTATATATGCCACACGTAATCACTCCGAAGAGTCTGGGCCTTTTTTTCGCTCCTTGACCAAGCGGAACAGCCACAGATGCTCGAGGGCCAAGTGTAAGCTCCCCCGATTGGCGCACCGTTAGCAGGCGTTGTTGACATCTTTCTTTCAAAGGCTGAAACAACATTGCGTCATCGAGTTGCATCTTCAGCCTTCCGAGATCCATGTGTATTACAGTTTTGTCTTCCAATCACGCAAAAGCGATCTGCGTAGTTCGCTAGGGAACTATTGTAGAAGGGCAGATCGGCCAGTGTACGAAGGTTGCCACATGATGGAAGGTGAAGGGAGGGTATCCGCAGTTTATTAACTTCACGTGCAACAAAACATGCATGGTGCTTGACGCTGAGTCATGTCTTCCTGAGGAGAATCTTTAATGTATCTGGAAATACTGTGATAATATCTCATATCTGCTCTTAGTTGGCTCTTCAGGTAACCCATGTTTCCCGCCATTGCAGCTCTTAGCGCAGCAGTTGCTGGAAGTGTGGGAAGCGAGGAACATACCAAGCGTCAACTCAGCGCATGGAAACCGGTCTGAGCATTCAGCCATCTTCCTGCTTGCTGCAGCCTCTTGGCCAGTGGAAAGTTCCGAGGCATGTTCGGTGCCAGTCAAGAGATTCACTCTTCCGTATCCGGTATCAGACGCGGGCTGATTTAACCAAACTGCCCACATTTGCTCTTTTGCAGTCACCTAAATGGAAAGCATGGGAGCATAGGAAGTATACTGCTTGGGCTGAAGCCTAAAGACGGCTTTAACTTGCTGTTTAGTTCGGGCCAGCCTGCCGTGACGGCTGTGATCCGATCGGCTGTCTTCCTGCTTTGCGCGTAGCACAGCTCTTTTGTGGCACTGTCTTGGTATGTCGGTTATTCGGTATCCTATACGTATTGTTAGAGTTGCCTGTTCTTTGCAGGAGCGAATATACGATCCAAGAGATTTCCAACCTCAACCTGAACCACTTAACAGCAACCTACGATAAGTCACCCATTTTTTTTGTTCGATGCGTCCGAACACTTTTTTTTTCTGCGCCTCGTGCCAATCATACCAATCTCTCTACTCACGGAAAGCCAGATGATGTCTTATTCGATATTCTCTCAGGAGGATGCACCTTCACGAGAGCTGTTCTCTGCTTTTCATCAATCACAAATTGTTTTTGACTATCAGAATTACCTGCTTTGAGCACTCCCGTGGACCCATGAAACAAAACCCATGCCGCTTCACGGTGTGCAGCTTGCCCAAAGATCACAGTCGTTTAGCAGTCAGCTTCTACAAGCACTGTGAGATGCATAGCCGTCGTGTACTCATACCTGCAGCGTGGCTCCAGCGCTCACTAATCGCATACTCTGTGTAGCCCTTCCAGTCTTACATATTCTGAATACAAATAGTTAGCCAGTGCCACTCCAGTTGGCCTTCGCCTCCCCGTCAGTGCAGTTCTCATCTCACCTTAGATGGTTTCTTTGGCTCAAGACACCGTCCCTCGGTGTGCCGTCCATACCTACCCCCCTCCTCGCTGGTAGGACGAGATCAGCAACAGTTAAGAAGCCACATCCTTGCCGGCAACCAACAGGACGGCTTCTAGACGAACAGGGAGGAATGTGTGAACATAGCCCTCCTCCCTATTCCCTATCGAGGACACCGAAGTGCATGGATCCTAGTGCTTGGGCATGGGAGACAGGACACACTCCCCAGTCGGGTTCAATCTCAACTCTATCAGCAAGGAAACAAGTCTTTTCAGTTTCTTAATTACAGGGAAGAACGATCATACATCTCACAGATCGCCGCGTTCGT